CAGCATAGTTCTGTTAGCTATATTCCTATAATGCCAAAAATGACGATATAAATTTTGCACGATTTTCTAAACAGTCACAAAATGCAATGAACTTTATAAAGGTACCTCAATCCTTACGCGCATTCCTATTGGTTTGTCGCCCCGGGCTGTCAAAAACACCTTAAGCGTCACATATGTATAATGAAGCGTATTTACAGTGTGTGAGTTTAGTCTTACGCCGCATTCAGCAATATTCCAGGTACATGGCGGCGGTCTGTAAATAATCGAGTCTGGACCAGACACTCCAGTGATCAACAGCGCGAGCATCAAACTACGCAACTGGGATACGATGACATACGTCAACCAAGTCAGCGAGCCTGACCACCCGATCCCGTTAGTCGCCTCTTACGAAAACCTCGAGTTACCGAAGATCAATTCTAACCCGGAAGATAACATGTGTGAAGATAATTTTTTCCCCGTAAAATGTATGCTCTTTTACCTCTACATTCTCAACAAAGCCTCAATCAAAAGCGTTTGGTTTACGTTCGAGCCCGGGTCAAGTCAGACTCAACATTTGTGACAGTCTATATATGTTGACAGTCAGGGAAATTGGGCTTCATTTAGATCAACTTGTGAGCTATGAATACTACGCTTTGAGAATATATAAAGTGGTATTTAGTTAGAGATAATACTATTCTATAGATACAAACACAGTTCAGGATATATCTATGGCGTTTAAGTTCCTTTTGACAGCGCGGACCAAGTCGGACCCAACATTTGTGATGTAAAGAATATGTTGTCCCCATTCCCATGTTGAAACTTACAAATAACCTGGAATCAGTGCGTAAAAGATAAGGTGTTAAATCAACAGACATCAAAGAAATGTGATGCAGTTGACAATTGTAATTTGCAATTGACTAAGTTGACAAATCAATATAAATCACCACAAAGGAATGTACAAATTCAAATGTAATGTGATACAACAGCAGTTGTCATAGTAATATAAACACCGATGGTCTAGATCACCTCTCAACAATAATAATCCTTAGGAAATGCATGATACATTATACGCGACAACGTATCACGTTATGGTGCTGGAAAGATTCTTATACCGTTGTCAAGCAAGGGTCATAAAATCATAAATTAATAAAGAAGCTGTCGTCCATAACGTTCTATTCATCAAGTACTATAATGCCAATCAAATAGAACATTATTCCAATCTGAAACTAGTCAGACTAATCCAGGATAATTATTGGAACACACAATGCTGGTTTGTTGAGATGTAACGTGACATGAGAAGCAATAGTTAGCTCCCCTTATTTACCCAAGAAAAAGAAACTTCAACACTTTTATAGTCAAATGATCACTTTCCTATCATACTAACCCTTTATGGATGTAACAGACAAATAAAACATAAACAAGATATAATGTAAATGGACTGCGTGTAAATAATATTCACAGATGTACATGGAGAAATGTAATCGATGCCTTTAGAATTATTCGTTGTCTGGGCATCATAGTTTTATTAATATAGTGTTCTCAACCTTGATTCACTTGTGGAAGCTTTGACCATTGTTGTGCACAGTGGTGAAAATGTAAATGTACATCGGAGAAAAATGGTACGAAAAAGGTGTTGGATATGAAGACTTAATCGTTTAGTAGTAGTAGTAGTAGTAGTAGTAGTAGTAGTAGTAGTAGTAGTAGTAGTAGTAGTAGTTGTTGTTGTACATTCAAATCATGTATACATAAATTTATAGAGCTGTACATGCACACGCCGCCAGAAGGCTATAAGAAGCTTAAAGAGCATTAAAGTACGTGAGATGGATAAACTGATTAAAATAAATTACATAAAATTATTCAGCTGAAATAAAACATATCACACACACACACACACGCACGCACGCACGTACGCACACGCACACACACGCACACATGTACACATTTAATATATAAGGGTACACTATAAGTTTCGTGTAACTGGCGATAAGGAGGTTCCTTCTAAATATTGTACATTAAGGAATAGTTACGGGTCTTCATGCAGAAAGAGAAGGATAGAATAAGAAGAAAATGTTTTCGTGAGCTTGTAGCGAGTAATGAAGATAGTAAACTTATGTGAAAATGCTAAATACCACAACTTCATTGCAGATTGTTCCAAGAAGAATAGATTGAATAATTACTTAATTATAACCTTACTGATATTCCCGTGATATTATTGAGTAGATTTTAGTTTTTATTAAATGAATCAAAACTAAAGACTAATGCAGATGTCAATAACACTGTTAATAGTTATATTACACAGAATGAGATTGAAGTATCAATGAAATATCTGAAGCCGGCAAAACCCTCAGGACCAGATGGTATCAAGCCTGAAGTGACCCTGGGGTCCAGTGCTGGTGTAAGTCAGCATTTGTCAGTATGTATAATGATATTTTATCAACAGGTATTTTTTCAACTGAAAGGGATAAGAATGTTATTGTACCACTCCATAAAAAGGAAGTTATTTAAAAGTGAATATCTGTAAGAGACATTTAATTCTGCCAGATATTTCCGCGATAGAGATATTTTCCGTCTGAAAAGATACATTTGTCCAGAATCTGCATCCTCTGAGTTCCTGTGTGGGGACATGGTGATGGTTGTACGTCTGGGACAACAGATCACTTTATCTCACGGAGAGCTTTTCGATGACATGGCGTTTGTTCTTGAAGCTCGATCCAAACTATGGTCAAGACTGGCAGCAGTTTTGTTCTGAAAAAATGTCCCACCCTCTCTAACTACTAGTATATAATATGGTCGTTGCACTCTACGGCGGGTCCAAATCATCTACCCTGGTGCCCCACCCCATATTACCCTACCCTACCCGGATACCCGTTATGTTCATTCCTGATATCATATTAGAAATATATTTTTTCAGCTCGGAAGCTAAATGTTCGAGTTTTACAATATCTTAGTCCATGTATTATATTCAAAAGAAGCGACTGTATTGCGGCGTAAAACTAAACTCACTCACTAATAGACTGGAATTTTCAAAGCAACTTTGCGATCCGCTTATTTATTGTAACACATAAAGAGGAACTGGCCTTTTATTACCGAATATTAAAAAAATGTTCCAACATTTAGATTGCAATACGAGTTGATTTCAACTAGAATCCGCTGTCTGAAACATCGATGTGCTCTGTAAATATACCGAGTATTTCAAAGATCAGCGAGTGGGGTAACCTAAACAAAGTTTTCTCGTGGTTTTCTGAGAAGACTAACTTACTTTGTGATGTATCGGCGAATCCCCTACACTTGCGGTTTTAATTTGACGTTTTATACTACTGATGAAGACAACCTTACACGGTATATATATTTACTTGTCTTAGTTGTTTCTGTTATTTTATTTATACCACATCAAATCAGAATGCGTAGCACTTCTCGTTGGGTAGCCTTCACTACAAACTGAATCATCTAACATTTCTCTCTCTCTCTCTCTCTCTCTCTCTCACTCTCTCTCTCTCTCTCTCTCTCTCACTCTCACACACACACTCTCTCTCTCTCTCTCTCTAATAGAAGGAACGACAACACCCAGTTCACATTCATAACAAGCAGAGTGTTGTGTCTTTTTTCATGAGCAGATATTTGTTTCAGCAGCTTTACAGCTGTGTGGTGCTGTTTGTAAACAAATCGCGTCTGGACCAGACAATCCAGTGATTAACAACGGAGAGAGTTCTATGGATATACAACTTTTTCATTGTAAATGAAGAAGCTGTAAATATAGAACAGAGCTTGATAACGGTGTTAGTTTTTGCGAAAAGGTGAGTCTAATTGCTCACCTGAAACGTCGCTCATATTTACAATTAATGGGAGTTGTATATCCATATAACTCTCATCACATCAACTTCTAAATGCCTCTGTTGATCACAACTTGAATTCGTAACAAGAGCACTGGGACATAGGATGAGAATACAGAAAGGTACCCTAGGAATTCTTCACCTGATTCAGAATACATTCCCCATTGTGTCGTATTCTTGATCGGAACTGTCATGCTGTTGTATTAGATACATTTGATTGCGTTATGTAAGTAATGAGAATACACAGTAACGGATATTTCGCGATGCATATGAATACCACTCGCAATCAGTTGAACAGGAACAACTACAAACGGTTTCGGGTTTGGATTGCGGAATATGGACTCGTCCGCCTTTTAGGGTACCGGGTACGTTTCTGTATTTTGACTTTGTTTAGGGTACATATCTGTATACAGAAACGTACCTGGGGTACGTATCTGTAGTACCTGTGCCGACAACGACCCCCTCAGCTTTTAGTCCCTGAATACATATAATTTTGATAGTAGCAAATAAACCCAAAAGGAGCCCCAGTGAGACCAGAGATTCAGAAAACTATTCAATGGAAGTGAAAAGACCAGCGTCTGTTCTATGCTTGAGGATGTTCTGGGTATTTCTATTCAAGAGTGGTACACAAACATATATGGTCTCTGGGTGTAGTGACACAAGTATGCGAAAAAGTCAACCAGTTGAGTTCACAGTTGACCTGCCATATGTGCACCCAAGTCAGTCATGGAAATAATACTTTTTATCATTCAGGAGGAAAGTTTCCCTGAGATTTTGCTTGATTTGTCTCTTAATTAAATACCAAAAACTGTGCACAAGGCCTCCACTATAGCTTGCGTCACCACCATGTTAATTAAGAGTTGACAGATTAACATGTGAGGCAAGATTCCAGACAACTGGTGAGGATGTTGATCCGGCCAGCCATGGTAGTTAGATATGTTTACTTTGTAATCCGACCCCCAAAGTGAGTTAGTTTTCTTGCAGATGTTAACAGACCCTGAACCTGAGGAAATCTAGACTTGCTTTATTTAGGGCTTTAGCACTGCAGAGAGGGCTAGGCATTGAGGAAAATAATATGGTTCAGGGACTGTGAGACAGACTAATACTGATCCAAAGCGCAGCGCCACTATCAGCGATCATTAATAATAGCCTGCTTGCTACTTACAGTGACTCTCTGCACACGGCAGTCCCAGCAAATTAGGGCATTGACGCAGTGTTGATTTCACTCGTCTGGGGGCCGTAGCCAGGGGAAAAGAATCACAGCAAACTGCGTTTGATCATTCCATCGTTGGTGGTGACGAATTTTCCAAGGATCGACCTAATTTAGATGTTTTCAGATTATACCAGTAACACGTTCTGCCAGTTTAGCGAGGTAGGTGTGTTTGTTTTATCCATTGCTGGCCTAATTCTTGATTGGTGGCTGGGGCCGAAGTTGTTACCGCAGATAATCAGTCTAAGAACTGACATTGTACTGAACAGTGATCGGTGGATATATTGTGTTCTCTCCTGTTAATTTCTCAAATGTGTGTGTTTCTGTGTGTCAGTTCCACCTCAGTGAACAGGCAGGTTGTGCAGGTCACGCCAGCCTTGTTTATCCCGGTATAGGCTGCCAGGGTCGTTCATGTGACTGATCACACTAAATACCATTGCCTCATGTCTATAATGGCTTTTGAACTGAAAAATGGCGTTCAACTGTATATATTTATAGCTGTAATACCAGCAATTTGACTGCTCCATGCAACATTGGTGTATTTGCGACTTGTTTATATGGGGCGTTTAACAATTGACTGTGCAAAGAAAAACAGTTGCTTCCCTTAGCGGGTAGACGCCTCTTGATTCGCATACCTGCTAAGGGAAGCAACTGCTGCTTATCCTTTGTACAATCTGTAAAAAAGATTTGGTTCCCCCATAGTAAAAGTTCCGGCGGAACTTTTCATTCCAACATTTGTTCCTGTAATAGTGCATGCGGAACAATTATTTCGTTCCGCACACACAGAATTTATTCCGGGTAAAGAGGAACTTCCACACACATCATAAAGTGTCTAAAAGAGGGTTTTGTTTGTTGGGGTGATCTTTCCTACGGTATTTGTTCCATATGGAACAAATCATGTGGCTATCAAGAAGCAATTATCATGTGTGAAAGTTACTTAATTTTTCTTTATGAAAATATATTGTAGATTCCCCAGAATGCGAACTGATGATTCTAAATGAATCTTGTGTTAAAAAGAGTTCAGTTATTATGTAACCAAGTTACCTTCATTAATCAGGTTACAGTCAGTAGCCAGGTTACAGTCAACATGTAACCAAGTTACAGTCAGTCAGTAGCCAGGTTACAGTCATTATGTGACCAAGTTACAGTTGGTCAGTAGCCAGGTTACATTCAATATGTAACCAAGTTAGAGTTAGCCAGTAGCCAGGTTACAGTCAACATGTAACCAAGTTACAGTTAGTCAGTAGCCAGGTTACAGTCAACATGTAACCAAGTTAGTCAGTAGCCAGGTTACAGTCAACATGTAACCAATTAACAGTCAGTCGTAGCCAGGTTACAGTCAACATGTAACCAAGTTACAGTTTGTCGGTAGCCAGGCTACAGTCACTATGAAACCAAGTTACAGTCAGTCAGTAGCCAGGTTAGTGAACATGTAACCTAGTTACAGTTAGTCAGTAGCCAGATTACAGTCAACATGTAACCAAGTTACAGTTAGTCAGTAGCCAGGTTGCAGTCGACATGTAACCAAGTTACAGTCAGTAGCCAGGTTACAGTCGACATGTAACCAAGTTACAGTCGACATGTAACCAAGTTACAGTCAGTAACCAAGTTACAGTCGACAGTAACCAAGTTACAGTCAGTAGCCAAGTTACAGTCAACATGTAACCAAGTTACAGTTAGTAGCCAGGTTACAGTCAACATGTAACCAAGTTACAGTTAGTAGACATCCCGGATGTTGACAAGTTGGATGAGTCCATTTTGCATTCAATAATGACTGGAATAGGTTAGGCCTACGGTATTTGTTCCTGTTCGATGGAATATTTGCCGTATGCGCGGAATTTTTATTCGTGTCATCCATTCTCAATTTCACGGCATTTATTCCGAACCGGAACATTTACTACACGGAACTAAATCATGTTTACAAATCAACTGTTGAAAATAGTTGCTTCCTTTAACAGGTTACACAAACACACATGCGATTACCATAGACTTCTAGAGCAACGTTATAGTTTAATAACACAATCACCCAGGCTGTCAGCAGCCATTCCATGTACACATGGGTACAGTCTGCCTTTAAACTACAATAAAAACACAAATTTCAGCTAACCTAGCCTCCCTTTTTTACGAGCACAGGATGTTGAACACATCAACCCCAGTTCCGCACCAAATGTGACCTACTTGAAAATGTCTGTGCACACATTCAGCATAATAAGTCATCGTGATAGGCAGCACTAGATATTTAAAAAGGTGGTCAGTTTTAATTACTGGATGGATGTACATTCAAAATACATATATATCTGGCACAATATCATCCAATCACAGCTGTCACATGCGTCCATCAGAACTGAAGTTAACATACGATACTCGCCCAGGGCGCAACTAATTGTTATTTAGTGTAGTAGAACCAGCAGGTGGGCTCCTGCTGATTGGTACCATGAAGATCCGAGTTAGAACTGATCTTCAACATCCCATGCTTGTCGCAAGAGGCGACTAACGGGGTCGGGTGGTCAGGCTCGCTGATTTGGTTGACACACGTCATCGTATCCTAATTGCGAAGAAAGACGCTCACGATGTTAATCACTGTATTGTCTGGTCCAGACTCGATTATTTACAGACCGCCGCCATATAGCTGAAATATTGCTGAGTGCGGTGTAAAATTAAACTCGCTCAGTCCTGCTGATTCGAATCCCAGTTTTCCCATTATGAACCTTGTATCCATAGGCGCCCGACTCTGATATATGTACATGTATGATCTATATATATAAGATATAAGAAAGGTGTGTCAGTAAATCGAAACAAAATGGCGGCCCGGCTCGGTTCGGCTGGGTTTCGGTCTGACAAACGCTTCCATCGCTTTGACCGTTGAATAAACTGCACAATTTATACTCAGTTGACCTCTGGAAAGTACCTTGCGTATCACAAACCTGATGATTTTATTCCCATTTAAAGCTTTCAATACTCGCACGAAGTCAGGACATATGCCCGGAAGTAAACAAATCTCAGGCTACAGACCCGCACCGAATGGTAGAGCGAGTCTCTGATTGGATAATATAGTTGCACGTTAAAAGAGGTGGGAATAATAGAAGAAGCTATCGTATCCGAGACTCGCTCTACTATTGGGTGCGGGTCTGTAGCCTGCGATTTGTTTACTTCCGGGCATATGTCCTTACTTCGTCCGAGAATGGACGGCAAAATTATTGAAAGCTTTAAATGGGAATAAAATCATCAGGTTTGTGATACGCAAGGTACTTTACAGAGGTCAACTGAGTATAAATTGTGCAGTTTATTCAACGGTCAAAGCGATGGAAGCGTTTGTCAGACCGAAACCCAGCCGAGCCGAGCCGGGCCGCCATTTTGTTTCGATTTACTGACCCACCTTTCTTATATCTTATATATATAGATCATACATATACATATATCAGAGTCGGGCGCCTATGCTTGTATCCACGTCCATGTATACGCCAACCGTTTGGCATGAATGTATGCATCATTAGGATTAATATGTTAATAACGCAGATTACTGATACAGATGCTCCCCGAAACACGAATTAAGGTGAAAGACTCTCCTACATATTGAAATATCCGGCAAACTGGTCATCCGTCTTCAGACCGTCTGGTAACCTGAAATAGGGTGCGATATTCCGTTAGAAGACGCAATTGCTTGTATGAGTGAGTGGGTTACTCCTCCCGACACCCACATAATTAACTTCGCATGAAACCTCTTGTTGGGACCGTCGGTTCCAAATGAAATTTCGACTTTCGAATACTAACATCCGTAAATATTAAATCGTATTTTTACCTGATTAAGAGTAGACCAGCTGACCACATCCTCCCCATGTGAGTGTTTCGGCTGATATAAAGGTGGGAGTCGGTACCTGATAAGCTGGCTTGCTTTTGATCCTCTTCAGATTCTTCGAGGTGTTGTAACCATTTTATGCCATTTACTTTCAGGTTGTGTAACTTTTTGAACCACAATGAAGCTTCCCAGGCTGTCTGTGATCGGTCTTCTCAAGCGACAGGTGCTGAATCCCACCGTCCCACAACGCACATTGCGGGCTGTAGCTTGGAGCGATGCCGACTTTCAAGAGGCTAAACCGTTTGGTGAGGTACCCGGACCGAAGGGTGTATACAATTTGCCGTTGATTGGACCCATGTTACACTTCAAACCGTTTAGTAAGTCCCATTACTCTGAATTCATGCAACATTGAGTAATACTTACGTTTTAGAAGTTCCATTACAAGAACTACACAATAAGCAAAATCGTACTATTGATTGACATCGTAATTATATGTATATGTACTAGACACACAAATTGATTGATGATGAGAAAATGCAACACACAAAAACACATACAGAACAAACAAACAAGCAAACATATGCTTATAATGGCAGCAATATGAATCACGTATTTGACACATGTGGGAGTCTGGGAGACCGAACCCACGTCTACAGCTTCTTTTGTTGGTTTGTTGTTTTAACGCCGCACTCAGCAATATTCCAGCTTTATGGCGGCGGTCCGTAAATAATCGAGTCTCGACCAGACAATCCAGTGATCAATAGCTTTAGCATTGATCTACGCAATAAGGATACGTTGACATTTGTCAACCAAGTCAGAGAGCCTGGCAACCCGATCCCGTTAGTCGGCTCTTTCGACAAGCACGGGTTGCTGAAGACCAGTTTTAACCCAGATCTCGTCTGTATCCTGACGAGTGGGTGTGAGTAAGTGGGTTTGGTGTAACTCCGCTCTAAACGACAATTTACTTCTCTTCCATTGTCTTGATACAGACGGAAAGTCTAAGTAACGCGGCCCTGGAACGTATTCCAGATTAATTAAACCCACGAAAACCCACAAATCGAGAAACATTATCAAGTAAGCAAACCGGGATTCGAACCCACGACCATAGGGCTCTACATTGCTAATTCCTGCGTCTTAGACTACTGCATACAAGTACAGACAGACAGATTATTTATTTGTATAAGTGGCCCCGAGGCCAATAGTACATGTGTAAAATTATAACGGTGGATTTATGCGCAACCTGTAAATACGCGAGTTATAGGAACATCAATAAATCCATAAACACCCATTCACAATTTACATTTTTTCTCTCAACATAAGTATGTGGTACAACACAAGGGCTACCTTAAACAACAAGTCAATATTTTCTGTGCGAAGTAGCATACAGAATTTATGTCTTGATGGTTGGTTGTAGAACAAATCAGGCAAATATTGAAGGAAAACCAAGTTCTATGGATAGTCAACTTCTTTATTGCAATGAGTACGACGTTCGATGTTGGTACTAACACCGTTATCAAGCAAGTTATCATCACTTGCTTGATAACGGTGTTAGTTCTACACCGAAACGTCGCACTCATTGCAAAAAGAAGTTGACTATCCATAGAACTTGGTTTTCCTTCATCTATACAACTTCTAATATGCCTGTCAAAGAAGGCAAATATTGTTCTCTTATTTCTAAATATTTCGGGCATATAAGTAATACATGGTACTCGTCTTCTTGAGATAAATTACAAAATGGACATTGGATATCTATTACAGTTATAGATACAGTTATGGCAAATCGTGCCGCTTGTGAGCCTTACATCTGCATTGAAATTACTGCACACAATTACATCCGTCAATGTTGACGTTTTAAGGCTGCTAACGCTCCACATGCACACACACACACTCGCACACGCACACACACTTACAATCACTATACCTGTTATGGCTTCTATATCCTCTTAATTCCACAGCCAACCACACTCAGGAAACAGTTTTCAAGTTGTTTAATGAGATGGTTGACAAGTACGGACCCTTGGTTCGAGTCAATCTTGGAGACTGGGTGGTGTTAGCGGAGGATGTGGCTGATATTGAAATTATCATGAAGAATGAGGGCAAATATCCAAAACGCAACGATTTCCCGATTCACAAGATGTTTTGCGAGAAAACCGGTTTCCAGAAGGGTGTAGCCCACCTGTAAGTCATAATGGGTGGATGGATAGATGGATGATTTTCGCCCTTGGCAGCAATATTCAGGCTATTTCACTGAGGCACAAACATATGTACTGTTCGCCAGACAAACCACTCTCGTCAGTCAACATCACACGTCGTTGGGGTATGACGACGTCACGATACCTGGCCACCCAATCCCCAGTTCAGTCATCTGTTAGGTGCTCATGGCTTTTTCCGTCAAAGACTCTCCCTGAAAAGTGCTTGTTAACGTGGTACAAATGATTGCATTTTACTCAAATGAAGAATTATTGTCAAAGTACATTGTACTCTTACCTTTTACCTAATTACCACAACACGTTATATCTAAACATATTTTCAAAAGCATTTACCACAAGTATAGTGTTTGGTCTCAGAGTACATTTTTCCTTCGGGGGACTTGACCTTACTCTGCGTCTGTTGTTGTTTTGTTTCCTATATAGATTGTTTGTTTACCATGTTCAGTTATATGACTGTATTCATCCAGGTGTTCATCCCACCTCTTTGAACATTAAGGCTCTATGGCGATCATTCGAAGTTGCTCCATTCCATGAAGGCAGTGACCAGTAACTGTTACATCCCTCCCATATCATGCAGACATGCTGTCAAAGGGCTGACATACTTTTGAAAGCGCCATTAAATCTGTTCATCTTATTCCTCTACTTCGACGTGACTGTTCTCTAATGATGTACTCTTTAAAACTATTCACAGGGATGGTATTGAATGGCAGCAACTAAGAAGTCCCGTTAATTCCCGAATGATGCGTAAGCAATCTGCACAGTACTATCTGCCGGCTCAGAACGAGGTCGCCGATGAATTGGTTTCACTAATACAAAACGGCGAGTTCAAGCAAGACAACATACTCGACCTATTTTTCAAGTACGCTTGCGAAAGTAAGTGTTTCTGGCAACAAAATAATTTGAATGTATTTGTGGCAATCGGTAAACAGTACCAACCCAATGACAATGGATTATCTCATCCGTGCCTTGATTTCAGCTAACCTCTACCCACCTGTCCAGATATAACTGAAATGACTGTATTCATGGCGCCGTTAATACAAATATTCACTTTCTTGTTAACATTTGGATTGTTATGCCACAATTATCAACTGTCATATAATCCATTGCCAGAGAAACCACCGTCACATTATCTTGTTTCAAGCAATCCACTGCCAAGAGGCTACCCTCGTGTTACTGGTTCATCTTTTTTCAGGTATAACTGTCGTTGCCTTCAATAAACGACTTGGATACCTGAGTCCTGATGTTGACAAGTACCCTGAGAAAGTCCAGGCGCTCGACGACATACAGACGTTGTTTCGGATACTCAATACTTCTTTAGGTATACCGCCATTTATCCTGAAGAACTTTCCCTTGAAGATGACAAGAAAATACAACGAAGTGGCCAGTCGCATGGTGAAGTAAGTAAGTTCCTAACAACGACGCACTTGCTCGAATTGGTAGGATATTTCGGGGGATTTAATTTCCGCAGGACACAACGTTGTGACAAGGTAAAAAATGCCAGCGCCTAGAGGATGCACTAGTTGCGTGGATATATGCGCTATATAAATATCCTACAATAATAATAATAATAGTCCACAGAATAACGTTGTAACAAAGAAAGCTTAACGTTGTGATAACGTTGTGACAACGTGGAATTGTTAGCTGGGAAGATCACAAGACAACGCAACGAGTTACGATATTTTGGTACTTCCGTTGACAAACCACGTCCCAAGGCAAGAAGCCCTTCTATAACTGGTTACAACCAATAAAAACAATGAATAAGGCAACACGGTAGGACTTTTAACGCAGTTGCATTGTTCTCAGTTGACGTAATAGCCGAGAAGCCAGTGCCTATGACTTTGTGCAGTCTAGCTGGTTATCTCTGTCTATCGCGCATGTCGAAAACAGAACGTGGATGTTAATTCCTTGAAACCGGAATGCAGTACCTTAAGTAGGACTTCACCAATCTTGACCAGCTTGCACGCTATTGGTTCGTAGACTTTACATTATGAATGTATAACATTCTATGTCGCTTTTAATAATGGGTCTAAGGCTTGTGGTGCGAGTTAACTACTTTCCTATCCCACCGCACTCAGTATTATGTAAGCGTAAAGTGATCTCAGTGGCCAGTACATGTCTGCATAGGGTCAACACCGAAGGGTAAAATATGTGTTTCTGTTCGTTAAATATATAGCATCCAGTTATTGTTGTTTCCACACTTGCCATACGTAGCTGAACCTTCGCCCAGGTCCACAAGTTTCTGCTAGTTACGTGGGTTCCATGTGCCTCCTACTGACCAAATTCCAACTGTTATATCACCTGCATTTGCTCCAAGCAAAACGGCGGCGCCCCGTCCAGAAAACCTTGGCCTAGATTTTCGAAGCTCTCTTAGCCCTAAGATAGTCGTAAGTGCCATACATTAACATTAACTTACGACTATCTTGGTGCTAAGAGAGCTCAGAAAATCTAGGCCCTGGTCGATAATCAAGACATTGTAGTATGTGCGTCTTACTCTGTAAAGTGCATGATCAACCGATATGTACGGCAGTTTGCATGTACGAAACCGTTTGTCGATTCGTCAATCGCTTTTTTATGCATTAACTAGCGAGCCGATACTTAAGTATGTATCCAGGGAGCAGATACACAAAGTGTTCGTAACGTTACGACCTGTCGCAACTCTAAAAACGTTCACAATATGCAAGTAAGTTTATAATTTGGCAATGATGTAGTTCCATCGAGTAAAACACGGCTACACTGCACCTACAAATAAATCAATCGTTTTATTCCCGGTTATTTTCCGTTAGATGTTATTGTGTGACGACTGTGCGTCTTGTTTCTTCAGTATAACCCAGGACTATTATGAAGCCACAATGACTGACATAAAGAAAAGACAAGCAGAAGGAACTCTAAACCCTGAAGAAAATAACTTCATGTTGTCCTTGATGACGACTGACAAGATGACAGTGGGTCAGATGGGCTCCATTGCTTTGGATCTGTTTGCTGCTGGCACAGATTCGGTATGTACACAGTGGTTGCTATGGTAACCATCTAGAACTATTTGTAGTTATTTCTAAGTCGTTTAATGAGCGGCAGGGCCCAGCGTAGACGAACAACTAGTCTCTGAAATGAACATATTTTACAGAAAAAAGGCTCATAGTGAAACAAAAAAAAATATAATGAAACGAAGCCCTCAGACTTTCTTCATTTTCGCCTCATTTTCCAAGAAAGCTGCTTCAAGGTCTGTATGACAGACTAGGCTTAGCGCTCCTGTCAGAATTATTCCATCAGTTACTGAAAGGGATTCTCGAATTTGCCCCGTGGGGAAGGGGGTGGGGATGGTGGATTCGACCCCAAATGCTTTGATTGTAAGCATATGATAAGTATCCTACCTGCAAAGATGGTGGTTTTGTTCTTCAGTGACACTTGCTAACGGGATCGGATGGTCTTGAACGCTAACTGAATGATGCATGTCTCGTATCCATATTGCATAGATCGACGCTCACAACATCAATCACTGGATTATCTGTTCCCAACGCGTTTACGTAGAGATCGCTGTCCCATAGCAGGGATATGTCTGTTTGTTTGTCTTTTAACGCCGCACAAGCAATATCCCAGCTATATGACGGCGGTCTGTAAATAATCGAATCTGGACCAGACAATCCAGTGATCAACAACATGAGCATCGATCTACGCAATACGTTGTCCATGACCTACAGGATACGCTGACCTGTGAGCGAGCCTGACCACCCGATGACGTTAGTCACCTCTTAAGGGATATTACTTTGACGTTTCACAAAAACCGAAGCTGTTCTAGAACCAGCAACTGATACGTAGCGTTCTTTGTTATTGTCATTGGGTTTTGATTTCTTTTTAGACTGCGAGGAACCTTCAGATAATGCTGTACACTTTGGCTCGGAACCCTGACAAGCAACAAAAACTGTACGAAGAAGTTATGGAAGTCATGGGGCCGTCCGGACCAATGACCATGGAATCGTTGGCAAATATGCCCTATCTTCTGGCCTCCCTTAAAGAAACGTTCAGGTGAGAGGTTCGAGTAAGGCCTGAGAGGTCTGCGTTAAATAAATACAGACAGACAGACAAACAGACATTTGTATAGCGCCGATATCCAGCTCAGCTGCTCAAAGGCGCTTTGTTTTTCCCTCGATCACTGGATGACAATCTCAACGGCATGTTGTATTGTGAATCTTAACTCCCTGGGGATCATACAACTCTTGCTGCCACTTAGACTAAGGCTTAGTCTCTGAATATATATCATTTTGATAGTAACAAACAAACCCATTTATATTGAAAAGGAGCCTTAGGGAGACCAGAGATTCAGAACCTGAGGAAATCTAGACTTGCTTTATTTACGGCTTTAGCACTGCAGAGAGGGAAGTAGGGAAATTAATGTGGTTCAGGGACTGTGAGACATACTAGCTGCCACTAGGCGCCCCGAGTTAGTGTGGCTTCCCATCCTTACGAGGTACCCATTCACAGCTGGGTGGACTGGGACACATTGTCACAGTACTTTGTCCAAGTTTACTGCACGTTGCTGTACCCTGTACAACACTATAGTCCGTCAACTGAACCTTTGGCACCTTGTTTTTCACATTTTACCTTTTAACCAATAATGCCTTCAAAATGTTTTTAGGCATATGCTCTTTATATCTTATGACCTATCTAAGGCTTAAATTTCATAATTTTATGTCAATTATTAAAGCTTCTTCTTAAGAAGCCATCTTATAAAAATATGAAAAATAGAAGTAGTTATACAAGGGAGTAAAATGATACGATGGAACAGCAAACAACATGGTCTGACACAAATCATCACAAATCCATTTTAAACAAGTAGATTTATTGAAGTCTTTAAATACTGGTTTCTCAATCTCTTGTATCAAGATCCAAATTTGAGCAACAGCTTGCATATGGTATGCTTTGATACATTGATGTCATGGTCTTCTTTTGAACAATGTTTTCTTCAGTGTGCTTGACGATATTGTCTCACTGGATCGATTTAACCGACGCATGACGTCCCTCACAACCCTTCTATCTAATTCATCAAGCTATCTTTTCTTTGCATGTTTTAAGACGGTCCCCGATTTAACTGCCATGTCATCGTCAGTCTCTGAAATAGTGTCATGGGAGGTAACTCTTTGCTATGTTCTTTTGCAGATCTTGGTGGCATTAAGTGTCTTTTGGAGAAATACTCAATTGAAAAAAGAGGGTTTTTCCGCTTTGTCTTGCGCTTGAAAAAGTTGTAAACTCTTTTGATGATTTACCGGTCATCTTTGTACAACATCGTTTTTACCACAACCTGTGTGTTGACGATCTTTGACATCACTTGAACGTGCTAATGTAAATACCCGTGCATGTACATATCACGCTGACACACATTTTACAATGTTGTTGGCTTTTCCATCACGTGCGTTAACCCCTCGTAAAACTCTCCACAGTTTTACAATTATTATATGACAGGTTTAAAGGCAAAATCTTTCATAATCGTTTTAGAATGACTAAAATCGATATCTTGTTAGGTCACAGTATACAAGTACCATATGAACAGAGAAGCGTTTTAAATTATTCAGGAGTTTTATGTAAATTGTGAAAAACAGGGTGCCAAAAGTTAAGTTGACGGACTACAGGTGTTTGCACGTATTCATGTGACCACAAGTGGGTTGCTTTGAGCGCACAGGGTTGTTTAATGTACACTAGGGGTTGTGACAACACTGAAGTAACATGTATTGAAATATACCACCCTTACCAATGTCGTAAGATCTAAGAGGCCAGAGTTAAATACTAGTATAACACGCATTGAAATATATCACTCTTACCAATGTCGTAAGACCTAAGAGGCCAGAGTTAAATGTAACACGCATTGAAATATATCACCCTTACCAATGTAGTAAGACCTAAGAGGCCAGAGTTAAATGTAACACGCATTGAAATATACCACCCTTACCAATGTAGTAAGACCTAAGAGGCCAGAGTTAAATGTAACACGCATTGAAATATACCACTCCTTACCAATGTCGTAAGACCCTAAGAGGCCAGAGTTAAATGTAACACGCATTGAAATATACCACCCTTACCAATGTAGTAAGACCTAAGAGGCCAGAGTTAAATGTAACACGCATTGAAATATACCACCCTTACCAATGTAGTAAGACCTAAGAGGCCAGAGTTAAATGTAACACGCATTGAAATATACCACCCTTACCTAAGAGGCCAGAGTTAAATGTAATGTAGTAAGACCTAAGAGGCCAGAGTTAAATGTAACACGCATTGAAATATACCACCCTTGTACCTAATGTAAATGTAACACGAATTGAAATATACCACCCTTACCAATGTAGTAAGACCTAAGAGGCCAGAGTTAAATGTAACACGCATTGAAATATACCACCCTTATCAATGTAGTAAGACCTAAGAGGCCAGAGTTAAATGTAACACGCATTGAAATATATCACTGTAGTTATCAGGCCTTGACAATGTAGTAAGACCTAAGAGGCCATACAAACGGTGAACAAATCATCAAAACTGATCTCATATACACCAAAACAGAACAAAAACCACCAAAACTGCAACAATATCCTCTTAAACCGAAACAATACATCTGTAATGGAACACAAATCGTTTGAAATGGAAACAAAACTCGCGTATCAGCTACAAGAGCGCGCGAGAACGGTCGCCTAGCGTACAAAACGGCATTCATAGCATCCCAACACGCCAGTCATAGCATCCCGAAACGGCATACAAATCGTCAAGGATGGCGGCGAGGGGAGACGAATAGGCTTTGGTACATAATTGTTTTTCGTCACTATGAGTCTAATCTTGAAAATTTGATATCGGGATGTAGTGTATAAACCTCCCATTTTAGTAAGCTTCAAACCTATGTCCATACTTCTCAGTGTCAGGCTTGCAATTCTACACAATGTGGTCCCTCGTTCGACCGAATAAGATTTCTTGTCAACATGCCGTGGTCCTGTTTCTCTTCAGTTTTGTAAATAAAGTGTTCATAGCGTCACATTCAACATTACTTTATTTTAGTGATTTAAAAAGTTTACAAAAACTTTGTTCATTTTCAAACGTTGGAATTTTCGGAATGTTCGGTATCACAGAGATATCACACTGAAAAAAGGGGTCAAACTTTCAATTTGCACGTTGTGAAATTACGGGAAACTTCCTTTTTGAAAATCACAGCGTACATCGTTTAACAGATCTTCGACAAGGCAAAACTATGTCCTGTGTATATAGTAGGCTAGCTCAATGCGGGTATTAAACTACATTTGCTGTATGCAAAGGCAAACATTACGTTCACAGCAACAAACGTTAATGTACATAATGTGAGTGTATGCAGTAAAACGGGGTCAGTAGGTTAGACTGTATAGTGAGATAAACAGCTACGTGAACAAGCTGCCTTGGTTGGTCCGCAGATGGAAAACTATTGAAAACAATCCCCGCATTGAGCTTGCCTACGATGTACACAGCACATATCTGCACTTGGCGTACGAGGGGCAGTCAAAAAGTAGTAAGCCTGACCTAGTAAATGATTCAAATGCAGCTATTTTTATGTTTTATTTTTCTACATATTATCTGTCAACCTTAAGCAAATTGGATTTGCTACGTTCCAGCCTTACGATCCTCATTTTGTTTGAAATTTTATCTTGGTACCCCCCAAAAGCGCAAAATCTGCAATAAATGCACCACAAACTTCAGGTAACAAAATATGCAAGAAACAGTGTGTGTGTTTGAGATAGGTAGACGTCCGCTAGAATCAAACTTAGATATTAAAAAGACAAAAAAGAAATTTGAAAGGACAATCGCTTGTTAAAGAGATTCCCCTTTTATTTTTACTGAAACAGCTTGTCTGGGAGACACTACCCACCCCCTTTCAGACGACGAATCCCGATCCACTAAGCGTTCGTAACATTACGATCTGTCGTAACTCTATAGTTCAAGGACATAACTTATTCTAATGTTTTCACTTTTTCTCACATGATGCTAAAATTTCAAAGTAAATACTGAATGGTCACACAAGTATCAACTCTCAGTATATTGTAAACAGGGCCAGCTTGAATATCTGGACACAATGTTTTTGAATGACTAAAATAGGTGTGTCCTAAAAAACAGCCCTGTCTAAACATAAATCAAGCAATCCAAATCTTTGAATGTTGATTATGACGGGAAATCATCAAATACTATACTAACATATTTTATATGACATTATCCGAGGGCATACCATTATCCAAGAGGTACTAAATGACGGATCGTTTTTCATTTTTTGCATTTTTTCTAGAAACATTACACCCCAATGTGTTGTGATGACTAATATCCCGTTAATCACATTACCCACATATGTGAGTTTTTTTATACCATTTGCTAATGATTCTTACAAACTAAAATGGAAGCTTTTCAAACATTGGACATGGAGAATATAGTTAGGCTGAGTACTTTTTGACCGACCCTCGTATACTTGCAACCTCCCTCGTAGAATGATGATGTTGTACTTGTTCATAGCAATCGATGTATTCAACAACATGTATGAAAACAAGACCCTGACTGTTTTGTGAAAGGACATAGTGAAGTATTAACAACAAGGTAAAGTAATGAAATAGGATAAGGGTCGTGAATTCAACAAGAGAGTGAGATCATATTAGTAAAATAAGGATATTCACCTATTAGATCAAACAGAATTAAAAAGAGGCTTCATATACAAAAAATATTCCCATCTCAAAACCCTAATGTACAGGTATTTCAATGACATATCACTACCCAGGCTAATCTTGGAAAGACGTGACATCTTATTAGTGGTTGTATCATCTTTACCTGTAAGCACCACTGAACATTTATACAGCGGTCGTAATTAATAATAAACTCTGTCAAAAAAGAAACGCAACCCCTGTATGTTAGAGATTTTGATCTGAAGTTTTAGGACGACACGGCATTTTTATTATTTAAGACAGAAGTCTGAAATTTGGCAGAATAATAACCCAGATGGGCATGTTTAAAATTGTCATTTCAAAAGTCATCTCACAGACACCAGTTGGTCACCAGGGGGGCGTCTTTCTCAGTATCTCGTATGAGCACCACGCGCTGCAATCACTGCACGGCATCTCCTTGGACAAGAACGGATAAGACGCCGGATTCTTTCCTGGGGAATGGCTCTCCACTCCTCCTGCAGTGCAACGGCGAGCTGTTGCAGCGTCTGTGGCGGCGGCTGACGTTGACGTACGCGTCGATCCAGAGTATCCCACAGGTGTTCAATAGGGTTGAGGTCTGGTGATTTAGAGGGTCAGCGGCAAGACATTGACGTTGGAATTCTGCAGAAAGTTCATTGTTGCACGTGCAGTATGAGGCCGGGCGTTGTCCCGTTGAAAAATCTGTGTCTGTTGGTCAATAATCGGGAGAAGGTGAAGCTCTAACACGTGGTTGATGTAACGTTACTGTCAGGTTCCCTGGAACGATCACCAAGTCTGATTTCTGGTTGTATGAGATGGTTCCCCAAACCATGACGCTTTCTCCGCCAAATCTGTCCACCTGTCGGACGCAGATGGGCGCAAAACGTTTATGACGTCTCCTATACAGACGCTGTCTTCCGTCGTGACGTTGCAAAAGAAAACGTGATTCATCAGAAAACCAGATTCGCCTCCAGTTTTGTAAAGTCCGTATCCTTACGTTGTTGCACCACCTGAGTCGTCGGCGTCGATGTAGGGGCGTAGTACAGGTCCAACAACTGGTCTACAGGCACGTAAACCCGCTTCTTTCAGACGGTTCCTAATCGTTTGAGCTGACACTCTCCTCAAACCTGGTATTTGTGTGGCAGTCACGGTTGGTAGGGCATGCCGATTACGCAGGTGATGGACCCGGATGTACCGATCTTGAAGGGGGGTCGTGATTCTTGGCCTTCCACTTCTCGGGCGATCGTTGGTCAAATTGAAGTTGTTGTAGCGGCTCCAAAGTCGGGATATCGTTGTTTTGTGAACATTTAGGTGCCGTGCAACAGTTCCAAAACTTTCTCCGGCTTCAACACGACCAATGGCGATATTTCGGTCGGCAGCAGCTCAATCAGGTATTCAACTACATTTGCTGTATGCAAAGGCAAACATTACGTTCACAGCAACAAACGTTAATGTACATAATGTGAGTGTATGCAGTAAAACGGGGTCAGTAGGTTAGACTGTATAGTGAGATAAACAGCTACGTGAACAAGCTGCCTTGGTTGGTCCGCAGATGGAAAACTATTGAAAACAATCCCCGCATTGAGCTTGCCTACGATGTACACAGCACATATCTGCACTTGGCGCACGAGGGGCAGTCAAAAAGTAGTAAGCCTGACCTAGTAAATGATTCAAATGCAGCTATTTTTATGTTTTATTTTTCTACATATTATCTGTCAACCTTAAGCAAATTGGATTTGCTACGTTCCAGCCTTACGATCCTCATTTTGTTTGAAATTTTATCTTGGTACCCCCCAAAAGCGCAAAATCTGCAATAAATGCACCACAAACTTCAGGTTACAAAATATGCAAGAAACAGTGTGTGTGTTTGAGATAGGTAGACGTCCGCTAGAATCAAACTTAGATATTAAAAAGACAAAAAAGAAATTTGAAAGGACAATCGCGTGTTAAAGAGATTCCCCTTTTATTTTTACTGAAACAGCTTGTCTGGGAGACACTACCCACCCCCTTTCAGACGACGAATCCCGATCCACTAAGCGTTCGTAACATTACGATCTGTCGTAACTCTATAGTTCAAGGACATAACTTATTCTAATGTTTTCACTTTTTCTCACATGATGCTAAAATTTCAAAGTAAATACTGAATGGTCACACAAGTATCAACTCTCAGTATATTGTAAACAGGGCCAGCTTGAATATCTGGACACAATGTTTTTGAATGACTAAAATAGGTGTGTCCTTAAAAAAACAGCCCTGTCTAAACATAAATCAAGCAATCCAAATCTTTGAATGTTGATTATGACGGGAAATCATCAAATACTATACTAACATATTTTATATGACATTATCCGAGGGCATACCATTATCCAAGAGGTACTAAATGACGGATCGTTTTTCATTTTTGCATTTTTCTAGAAACATTACACCCCAATGTGTTGTGATGACTAATATCCGTTAATCACATTACCCACATATGTGAGTTTTTTTTATACCATTTGCTAATGATTCTTACAAACTAAAATGGAAGCTTTTCAAACATTGGACATGGAGAATATAGTTAGGCTGAGTACTTTTTGACCGACCCTCGTATACTTGCAACCTCCCTCGTAGAATGATGATGTTGTACTTGTTCATAGCAATCGATGTATTCAACAACATGTATGAAAACAAGACCCTGACTGTTTTGTGAAAGGACATAGTGAAGTATTAACAACAAGGTAAAGTAATGAAATAGGATAAGGGTCGTGAATTCAACAAGAGAGTGAGATCATATTAGTAAAATAAGGATATTCACCTATTAGATCAAACAGAATTAAAAAGAGGCTTCATATACAAAAAATATTCCCATCTCAAAACCCTAATGTACAGGTATTTCAATGACATATCACTACCCAGGCTAATCTTGGAAAGACGTGACATCTTATTAGTGGTTGTATCATCTTTACCTGTAAGCACCACTGAACATTTATACAGCGGTCGTAATTAATAATATGAACAACGTGATTTCCTTGTTGGATGCTATTTAATTGTCTAGTTTGTTTACAGGACGCCATCGCATCGGGAGTAGGTTTGGGGTTCTAAATTCTTACCTGTTAGGCGGATGTTACTAGGAAGAAAAACACATACTTATCCTGAACACCCGGTGCCAACACAGACTGGGTCGACTGATCGGGAAGTGGTTGTAACTGGTGGCCTCCCGCTTATGGGTCGGTCTCTAGTTGTGCCAGTATTCTGGAATCGCTGACGCAGCCTTAGAATAGTGAGGCGATGACACCCGAATGCAGCAGCCACTTCCCGATCAGTCAACACAGTCTGCAGCATTCCAATTGCCCTCTCCCGCTCTTCTGCTGTTAATCTCGGCGTTGTAGTGAATGTATGGTGTGAAATGATAAATCTAGGGGCCCTATATACCCGTTTCCAACAGTTTTCACGTGCATTTCATGCAAGGTGAAGTTACAGTGGGTACGTTTTGGCGTTATGCTTCCTTATACAAGGACTGAAATAGGCAATATTTTACAGTATCTAAGGGAAAAATTCGTCTTTTCTCGTTTGACGACTCTTCCTCAAACAGTCGAAAGTCATGATGATCCAAAAATTAAACCTCAAGTGGTTGGACTGTGTTTCAAAGGGACAAAAATCCAATTTCAGCATTTGGTCCCTTTTTACGGTAAACAACCATTCTTTCATATCCAAAACCCAACGTTATCACTCTTTGTGAATGTGCATGCATTATCAGTATGAAGTAGTATGATATATGTGTTACTATTCCAGAATACAGCATCCAACGGCATCAGGAACGCAGCGCTTCATTTCCAATGACGTAATTCTCCAAGGATACCGGATACCTGCTGGGGTAGGTACCTAATGGTATCCCTATTTAGCTCATATGAGTCTGTGTATAACGCGTGTCCACTTGCTGTCTACTTCCTAGCAAGGTAAATGAACCATACAATTAGACTCTTATATAATATTCACAGAATTTCGTTCCCATGTGGAACATGGCCGTCATCGCGGCCATATTGAAAGTGTTAATTTGTATGTTTCTTGACAATTTCTTAATGAAATACTGTGCCAAGGTTGAACCATCAAGACATATCTTCTGATCCATGTAGTACTGACAAATGGAAATGGTATGCTCGTATCTTCGAGGTGTAAGTAATCATACCTAATTGGTTCATGTGTTTAAATCGATGAGATAAGGGCGTTTTAGGTCGTGAAAAGATCACAAACGATATTTGCATTTCGCGGCCAGTGTTACGGCAGATGCACAGTCAGATTCTTTGAGGCCTGCTTCGGATGGGTTGGCCAAGGCAACCTTGACATATGCCGTTCCATTGTTGTCGTTCTTCAGAGAAAGCAACACCTCCTTCGGGAGTCACATCTGCCAATGGCGTCTTAGTCAGAATATCCTCGTTTCTCTATTTTCCTTTTGAACGATTTCAGGCGCGGAGCAAGCAATTTTTTCCTGTAAGTCCGATAGGTTGCAAAGCTATATATTTCGATAGTATTGTGGGCTTGCCCAACCTTTTTAGCAACAATCATATGTAAGCCCAAGCTTTTTATATAATGCTAGCTACGCCCCAGGGGACCGTTTCACGAAGCTATCGTATCGCTACGACTGTCGTACCTCCTATACTGTAACACAGACTTACGACAGTCATAGCGCTACGATAGCTTTGTGAAACGAGGCCCTGGAGTTTGACGACTGCTTTCAAAAACACAATTTTTCTGTCCAGACATCTGTTGTACTGATGAACCAGAGGACTGTGAAGAACAAGAAGTATTTCCCAGACCCCGAGGTATTCCGCCCAGAACGTTGGATGCGGGATGAGGAAGGGTTGCGATCTACTCCCATCCCCACAGCAGCATTACTTCCGTTTGGATTTGGACCAAGGCAGTGCCTAGGAAAGAGATTCGCTGAGCAGGAAATATACCTTGCTGTTACAAAGGTACGTAATGAAACAATGAATGCATTTATCACTAAGCGTCCTAGTGTACCCACAGTTTGCTTGTTTGTTATTGTTTAACGACGTACTCAGCAATAGTCAAGCTTCATAACAGCGGTCTGTAACTAATCAAGTCTGGACCAGGCAATCCAGTCACAACAGCATGAACATCGATCTACGCAATCGGGATTTGATGACATGTGTCAACCAAGTCAGCGAGCCTGACCGCCCGATCCCATTAGTCGCCTCTTACGATAAGCAAGGGCTGCTGAAGACCAATTCAAACTCGAATCTTCATGAGTCCGGTTATCTTTAGAATTTACATCACGATCATACTTACCCTGGACACATTCACCACAATCGTCAGCTCACAGTTCAAACATTTCTCTCATTAGTTGGTCTAATATGTTTTGAGGTTTAATTCAGCTTCGTGCCATTCCCATACTGTTTAAAACGTGCTCCTTGTTTGGGGTTTATTCGTCAGCCATATTTCAGCAATACCACGTCGGTTGAAAATCGCCTGGTTGACATCATTACCACCTCTCCACAGAACGTGGACACTGACATGCACTCAACGAAGTCCAAGAGAATCACTTCCCGACTTTATATTGCCTCAAAGGCAGTGTTTACCCGTAACTCTGATAAGCTGCAGGCCCCGAGGACCCACAACCATAAAACGCTGTGGGTCCTGATCAGAATGAGTAGGCCCTATGTTTTAGCTGCAATATAAGTAATTCCCAGGCCATAAGGACCTGCAGAAAAGAAAACCTGTGGGTCCGAGAGTGCTTTTTGGTCGGCTTCGGGACTAAGGACCTACGTTAATTTCGAACGCTGCTCAAACGTAAACTTTGGTTATCAAGATAAAAAAATATGGTTTGCTTAATTGGCGAGACGTATGCTGCTTGATACCAGTCGAAGGTGAGAGAGATGGGACAGCGGAAGGTTGTATGCGTCACAGGGTCGATTCCATGACCCCGTATATAGTATACATGAGTAGGCAAGATTATAGTTTGTGAGACTCGTTTCCAGAGACTCGTGTCCCCCACCATGATATGGCACACTGTTAAATATGGAGTGGAGTCTTGGAGTCGAGTCTTGGGGTGGAGTCTGGAGTAAGGAGAGTGGAGTATATGTGCACTTGCCACTTCTGTAATACGGTTTACTGTTTAGAATATGCCATTAATGGCTCTTCCCAGTTATCATTTATACCTCTGGAATCACCGGTTTCAAAAGTACTACAAATTAATATACTCTCCCAAAAAGGAAAAACATATAGGAATTTCAACTGTATTTTTATGTTTATTTTGAAACATCTTATAAGCTTTATGAGTCAATGAAATATAGCGAAATTGCACACTGGGAATGCAGACTTATCCGTCTTTGGCACCAACTCGAGGAAAGTCAGTTTGAGTGTCACATGGAGACGTGCGGTGGCGCTGAAGTCAACTCCCTCTGGCGATCAATCATTGGAAGGAGATGTGGGCGTAGGATTTCGTCACAGTACCGTTGAGCTGTCAGGTTGCCCTGGATCATCACCAAATCACTTCTCCTACGGCAGGTGATTGCTCCCCACATCATAACACTTCCCCGGCCTAATCTGTCCACCTGGGGAACGCAAGCGTCGGCGAAACGTTCACGTCGAAGTCTGTAAACCCGCATTCTTCCATATCGTCGTTCCAATAGAAATCGTGATTCATCACCTAACCAGATTCTACGCCAATTCGGTAGGTTCCAGGCCTGAACGTTGGTGCACCATTGAACTCGATGTCGACGATGTTGTTGTCGAAGCAAAGGGCCAAAATAAGGTCTTCTGGCACGTAAACCAGCCTCACCTGTTCCTGACGGTCTGTGCAGAAAGCCTCCTCAATCCGGGTATTTGTCGAGCGGTACTGGTCGCCGTAGCTGTTCGATGACGCAGGTGATGTACCCGGATGTAGCGATCCTGCGCCGCAGTGGTCGCTCGAGGTCGCCCACTACGAGGGGCATCTGCTACCGCATTCTGCCGGCGATATCTCTCCCAGAGCCGTGAAATGGTGCTTTGGTGAACATTCATGCGTCGGGCAACTGCACGTTGAGACGGCCAGCTTCAAGCAAACCAATGGCGATATGACGGTTGGCTTCACTTAGACGTGGCATTTTGCCTTCGTCAACAATATTCCAAATACAGTGAATAATCGGCAGACAGCGATCAACCTTTTATACCCATCATTGAGACTATCTGATCCCCAACTTTCACGTGCAATGCATGTGAATGGTGTATTCTGTGACACTACACGACGAAATTGAAAATCCTGCTGTTAAATACAGGTATTTTACAGATGGTGCGTTTTGTTGTGATGTTTCAAAACATAGACACCATAGGACTCATAAACAGAGCAAAACCTTTTGTAAAATGAATCACGTTTTAATTCATTGCTACATGAAATTGCTATTTTCATGATGCGTTTCTTTTTTGGGAGAGTATATATATGCCAGAATACCTAAAGTTTCTACATATATTATTATTACTATATATTATATGTGTAGTTTATAGGATATGCCACTGTCCCTTCAAGGAATGCTGTGCAACAAATATCTTATCTCACGCATCTTAGAGATTATTCTTTCGTTTTTACAGCTCTCGTAGAAATGTTTGTTAATGCTTGTCAGTTTTTTCTAACCCTATTAATAAATCGTCACAAATTCAAACTCTTTCATTTGTAGACACAACGTAATCGAGATTGTGAAAATGTTTACATGGCAATCCTCAGTAGCACTGGTTTAGCTCTCTGCCATTCTGAGGGCAGATTGTTTCAGTGATGTGTTTCCTCTAATCTGTCAATATTTTCGAAGCCCTAGAGAGCTGATGAAACTCACTAATAATCAGCTTGCAAGATATTCTGCTGCATTTATTTTTGGTTTTTGTTTATAAGTTCAAGGATGTAGAGAGATGGCTATTTTTGACAAAAAAACCCAATCAATTATGACATTGGAACAGTTACTTTTGCCATCACTGACAAAAATCCAGTTCTTGACTAATATAGTGCTATGTATCTTATGTAATCAATTTCTTTGTTAAGTAAAGAAATAAATAATTCATGTAATAATAACTATTATATTTCCTGATGATTAGTATTTTATAGCATAGACCTAATTTATACACTTTATCCCTACTACGGCTTCCTCTACACAATTTTCAATTACATGTGACAATGTTATGTATGTCGTTTTTGGAAATAAATAATGCCATTATTAATATTTTGTTTATAGGTTGAAAATAATTTACATGCCATCCATCCTTCCATCCATCCATATACATTTTATTCTTGATGGCAGCAAAGCCCCAGAACAGGACCGGTAGTTAACATGGTGCTGTTACAGAATGACATTTCTGGAATTGACAGGGTTAACTGATACGTGTATACAAAATGCTGAAACGAATGTACTGGTTTAGCTACCCTTATGATCAAATAAAAAACCTTTGTGGCCTAAATATTTACATTAAGACTCCATTCCGAGACTCCACTCCAAGGCCCCACTCCAAGACTCCACTCCATGTTTTACAGTATGCCCCATGATATTGCTGGAATATAGCTACTCTGTAACTCCGGCTTTGACGATCATACAAGACAAATCTAATGGATAACAACTTCTTTGTTTATTTTTCACAACGTTTCTGGGCTAGTTCTATCACGTGAAAAATGGTGATAGTGAACAGTACAGTATAATTATAGATGTACAGGAAGCCAGATATGTAAATTGAGTATATACAAGGGAAAAAGGAGGTATAATTAAGTATGTAACAAAATGCAGTGAGATCAAAGAGCAGAATACAATGACAGGGTATGTTTTTATAATAAGGGCAAGGGTGTGTTCACATAGCAGAGTGGTTAAAGCAGATTGAGTTTGAGAGTCTATGATTTCTGGGTGATGGACCAGGCGCTGGGGAGGTGAACCCCTTGATCTCTGTTGATCTCAGGCACTAATCTTCTTATGTTGATTGACTCACACAGTTTTCTTTTCCGCCAATTGCTGATGTTGGAAGCCAGGATTTCAGTGTGTTGCCAATTGATAGAGTGGTTGGGATTGTTAACGATATGTTCTGAGAGGGCAGATTTGAGATCAGATTTTCCAACTGAAGTTTTATGTTCTTTTAGTCTTATGTTGAAGGGCCGACACGTTTCTCCAATGTAGCTGCTCCCAACTAATTTTGTAGACACATCCTCTGGGATTTGGTTCTCCCTGATTGCTGCTACCCCTTCCACTCGCTCTCAGGATGGCTTTTAAGGTTTTGTCGAATACAATGTCACTTCAACACTGGCATTTTTTGGTTTTTGTTGTTGTTGTTTTATTTATCATGTACAGACTTATCTTGATGTATTTTCTGGTTTCTTGTGTTGTTTCAGTTGATCCAGAAGTTCGAGATATCTCTGGAGACTGGACACGAGGACATCGAAGTATTTTACAATCCTTTCCTTGCAACGAGGGACCCGATCAGATTTGTGTTCACGAGCCGCTGAGAGTGACAGATTCTATATGGTACTTGATAGTTTACATGTCAGTGGAGATTATTTTTATAGCCATTTGTCTTCCATGCTACGTCATCCTGTGACACACGTATTAGCTAAACCTCTCTTCCAGAGTATCACAAATTTTACACGAAGACAACATCAGTTATTACAGAACCCGTAGCAAGCTAAGGTATTTTCAATGTATTGTTTCAAGTAAATAATACCCTTACTAGTGACTCTGGCGTATGAGATGTCACATACGATGAATTGGTCAGGGGTAGTTTTCAACGATTTTCTCATCTCAGTTTGAATATGGACTTGGAGTTTGAAATATACCGAAATTACCCGAACTGTATGTATCAAATATATACATGATTGTCACGTAAGATTTCTAAAGAAAGTACGAACGCTACGGGATTGATAAAACACTCCTGTGATCTCGAACAAATAACTGGACCTGAGTTTTTGCAATATCACTGTACATCCTATATAGACACAACCGTTAATCATGAATTGTCATATTTTACACATGGAGGTGGAAGGAGATCTGGACAAAACAGCGTTATTACATTAAATGAGAAAGGCTGTAAGAGCCACAACGTGCCGGGTGAAGGATAAATGGTGGACCGGGGCTAGGGTCGGGTGGGGATTTGTAGTTTAAATGAAAACCAAATAAATGGGGAAGAAATACGTCTATCGCTTAAAAACAGCACTACAAGCTTTCACTGACAAATGGACATGCGTTCTTGGGTATGTCGGGCGCTAACAAAGGCTACCACGGTTTGAGTACAGCCGCACCGAGGGACACAAAGGTTAGCGAGTAATCCCAGTGATCTCCTTTCAGGCCAGAACCCAGCGGGAGGTCAGTGAGATATTCTAGCTGGGCTGGCAACCAGTACAACCAGTTGTAAAACATAAAGGCCACGGGGTCAAAGTTATACACGGTGCTGTACTTGATGATAAGATTTCCAGATGACATTACATGACCTGGGTACGAAGTATATTCATGTAATGTTATTCCTGAAAAGGTCACGGGTACACTTGCTGTGGAGTGCATCATAATGGCGCTGGCTTGATTGGCCATGTATTATGGGAACTGTTATTGAATTGTAGTAAATATCTTATATTAAGAATACGAATGTATGTGAGGGTTTTGATGAATAGGGCATGTGACAGGTAGTTTGCTTGGTCAGGCGACACAAATACTTAAATTCCTTACAAGTTAATTGGAATGAGCGCGATGCTAAGAGTAAGAGATTCCTATCGGTAAAAGGCCATTTCTGAAGCCCTGCACTAGTGCGTTACGAAACAAATTCCCTGTGAATTTGTATCCACTTTATTGATTTTCGCAAAACGAGTAGAAAAGCGTAATTTTCGCAGATTAAGTGTAATGGCGTAATTTAATGGTCAAAATCGTAATAATTACGCCCAAAGCGTAAGGGTTGGCATCTCTGTTTATTATGTTAATGTTTTGTTATTATATTGATGTTATTGTTATGTCACTTCGTACATCGACACAACCGGAATGTCGACATAAAACCCGGTACACATTTAGTTATAGGTGTACATGGCGAAGGTTACTTTACAATTCTATTTCGCAATATTTACTCTGGAGAAAAGAGAAAAAATTAAGAGAAAAGAATATCCGTCTATAGCTCTTCTTGCCTAGACTTGACTCTCAACGTTTCTATCGCATAAAAAGGACATCATGCTATGCACCATATTCTTGACAACGTGTGTATTCGGGTGAATGTTATAGGATTCCATTGCTACTGTCATATCCCAGAAGTCCATGTAAACTATTTTGTTCCTTAAAACAGAAAAATGCTCATGTAGAATATCTGCATAAAGGAGACCCCAATATGAGATCACCCCTCGTTTTACAGCCACAGATTTGTAAAATGCATGAGGTCCTCGCACAGCGAGTGTCACGGATGGGGCACGTGCAAGCAGATTCTTTGCCGATTGAACAAGTTTCTGAACATGTCGCCGGAACACATCCGGATGTACCAATGTGAAATGTACATAGAGATACAGAACAATGATGTCTTGTGTTGCGTTGGGGAGACTGTCAAGTAAAATATGTTCAGCCAGGTTAACTGTCCGGTTGTGAACATGTCTCCCATGGTAAAAGGGTAGCTCATGGGCATGCCATATGATACTAAAGTTGGACTTCTTGTCGGTTATAGTTCTTGGGCCATGTTTTTCGCTTGTGTCTCTTGTGTAAGATATATTCAGATATTGTTGAAGAAATGTCCAAAATTGAAAACTTGTTGAGTCCCCCGGTAGCCAGAGAGTTTTGTGTCTGAGACACGTCCTGTATGCAGCAGGAATCCGTGGCATAGTGTCACTGCAAAGCATGGACTTCCAGGAAGTCTTGTAGAAGAATCCTGTAGGTGAAATTCGATTCCATGTCATTCCCTGTGGGAGTCGGTTGCATGGTATTGATGGGGCCTGTGATGTGACCACACCTACATCGGAAGGAATTGCTTCCTTTCATTATATATGTTGTGATGACATTATATTTGTATCATATAATTCATGTCAGCGAACCTTCAGTTTGCCTCTATAACACAATGGCTGTCTGGAAAGAGTTGCTTTGTAGTTCTAAGGTAATCACCGTATAAACTACATGTACATCTAAACCTGTATATATTTTACAATTCTTTAAATGAATTTGCCCAATACCGCTTATTATATGCTTGTATTGTTTTAATTACAATAAGATATGTTGATGATATTTTGTATGTTCATATAACAAACACACCGTGTAGCAACAGAATCCTGAGATCTGTGCACAATCGGCTGCATTGACAGCGACAAGGATACATTCACATATTTGTATCCACTCTTGGTGTGTATTTGATAAATAACATTGTAATTGTGAGCGACGTTTGCCTGTATCCATGGCAGGCTCTGATCGTCAAGTCCCTCATTCACGTTAAGCAGGACGTACGACGAATGGTCTGGTATATTCTTAACACAAATCCATACTCGCTCAATGTACAGCCAAACTTGTAAACTTTGAGAAAACGTTGTTTCATGTAAATTTTTTGGCAAATAAACTAAACAACTTGGTTCGGTGTATGTATAGTGTGTGGGTGCCATAGGGTTCTGGTTCATTGAGCGTGTGCCAAGCAATATCCCAATTATGTGAGTGTAAATAATTGAGTCTGAACGAATTCAATGATATCATGCGGACCGTGCACCAAGGTACAACGATATGCAATCACCTTATGGATCTGCGACCTGCACTTACCCCCAATTGTGAATATCTGTGCCGCGTCTCGCAGGTGAAAGGGGCCAGGTTTCCGTTCCCTGCAAACAATCAGAGCAGTAAGCCTTCTCGAAATATATTTCATAAATAACTAAATCAGCATTTCATTCGAGCTTTCAAAGAGCCTGACGTGAAAACACAGTGAAACGCATTGTCGTGCCTGCACCTTATACTGGGTTCACCGGGTCCGTATGCATGAATGGTTGTAGAATGTAAGTCGTTGCTGAAATGAGTTTGTGTGTGTTACGGTTAATAATTTGCCGTGACAAAAGGTTTAAGAGTCCCCTTTGAACCAGTAAAATAGAACACAGACAAGTCTAATATATTCAATAATATATTGAACAAACAATGAACAAGCTACAATGAATGACAATACAGATTTCTAGTACAATGCAATTGAGTCACAAATCTAAAATAATGGGTCACAAATACAAAATATTAACTCACAAGAATCTTGACATTTACAGTAAGAGCAGATATACTGATTGGAGGTTGTTTACAATGACAACAATTGAATAGACGAGCACGGTCAGTCTTTAAACGTTGGTAAGCTTGACAGACAGATGTGTACAAAGTCTGTGTCGCACTACTCAACAGCCAGCCTTTATATAGCTCTTACACAGTTCTCGAGCATTCTATCAAAGCTAGGCTCCATCATTATTCTCTCAGAACATTCACGAAAGCCATCGTAAACACAAGACAGGAAGTCAAAACAAATACAAAAGATTGCCCCAAGGGAGGCAACTCTGAAGTGCTATCAAAAAGGCGTGCCGCTACAAATGCTACTACCATTGAACATATGTGATGCGAGATGCGAGCCAAAACCCACACTCAAAACTTTAAACATTGTGACCCATAATAAATATTACCTAATCAATGATAATACAGATTACAAAAAACACTCTCTCATAACAGTGTGCATGGGACTCACATTTCATAAATGTCCTTTTCTTTTGAATCCAGGTAGAAATCTGCCCTCACTTTAGACGAAGTTGTCCGCCAGGTGTCGCATCCCAGGTGTTCAGTTGATGGTTTCTTACAGAACCAGGGTAAACCTCCATTCCATGACGTCATATTGCACTGGTCACCGTCAAATGCCGAAGTGGAACAGTGCGTCCTTTCTGACACTTCCCCAGCTCCAAATCCTGCGTTTATGGTCCAAATACTGGAGTACAACCTGTACAGTTTATAATAAAGGAGAATCTCCTCTCTTGTCCCCGCTAGAAACACCCGGATGTTGGCCTGCCCTACCCACAATGCCTTCAGAACACCAGTGTAACTTCCGTTCCCATGGTCAATAACGTCACCCGAAACAAAGGCACCGTTTGTTTTATCTTCCATCCATAATCTGACATAATCCCCTCCAATATGTTTTCGATCATTCTCACCCTTGAGTAAGTCAATTTGTACTTTGATGATTTCACCCAGAGAGAATGATGACCTGTCACCAATGATGTTTACAGTAGAAAATAGAGCATCCGCCATGTCCTTGGTATGCAAGAATGAACCATCAGCGAGTAGTTCTCTCTCTGTCAGATACCGCTTGGGATTCGGCCTTGGGGTTAGTGCTGTTTCAAGCCGTTGAGACCAGGTTCCGTTTGTTCCATTGGTCGTTGCCTGGACGTGTGGCCCTGTATAGTTCATATGTTGTCGTTCTCTGTAATTTGACCTGTTGAGCGTAATTCATCAGATTATAGTAACATTTATCTCACCCTTTTACTGATATATCTTTTGCCATAATCTAAATATATTCAGTGCTAACTGATGCTACATATCAACTCAAGTAAGAAAGGAGAAAGTAAGTCGTTTAAGGCCCCGCAAATCACTGAGTTGTGGCCACTGGTCACTCCTTGCAGACATGTATGATCACCTGCAGCACTTCGGTCTTTCTTCCAACATTAAGCTGACACGTCTGATAACCCGATTGCTCACTCAGTCACACACTCAGATCAACCCCCGACCTAACAAGTGCGAGTTTCAGTTGAATTATGTAAATATATGTACAAGTCTTAGTGGAGACAACTGTCGACTGAATAGCCCAGCGGATAAGTGCAGTTTTTCACTGAATTGTGCACTTTGTGTTACAAGCATGAAATTTGGCATGATTGTAGCTTATACCACACTTATTAAATAAAGATCGAGGGGCCTCGAAGAGTTTTGATATTTTTCATATTTTGGGAGAAGAAAGTGAAAAATGATAATTTTTTCTACTATTTTCATCATAACTTTTTTTATATTCTCCAATTCTCAAACATCATATATCAAATTGTCGAAAATTCATAGCTGATTATTTTCCATAACAACTCAAGTGGACTAAATGAACACATTCACTCTCAAATCTGACGGAAGGTGATTTTGTACTCATAAAAAACAAACTTCAGTCAGACATGAATGGACTATTGGTGTTGTTGGGATTTTACGAATAATGTAATAATCATGTACACCTACATCTAAGTTCTAACATGCACAAATTGTGACTCAGTTTGTTCAACTGACATTTAATGTCTATTATGGTTCATGTCGGTAAGTAAAGATGGAACGGTGACTTCACGCCTTTGTTGGCTCATCATACACTCACTCACTCTGTCTGATAGAAAACAGAACCCTTGCACCATGATCAAACAGATGATCATGTAATGAGTAGTATTTAATAACCCCGAACATAAAGGATGTTTAATGATCGGTGCGATTGGGTAGGCATGTCCCTCACTACACCAAATGTTCGGGTTCTATCCTAAAGTTGGGTGCAATGTGTGACCTATAATTGCTAGAATATTGCCAAAAGCTGCGCAAAACCACTGTCACAAACCTTAGTGAAAGAGTAGAATTGATAAACAAATAAACCCATTCAGTCAAGTCACCATCATTAACTTGTGAGTAAGCGTTAAGAGATTAACATTTCCGTTCTTATCTGCACCAGTCGTGCAAATATGCTTTTCTTATAAACTCCCAAATAGTTTTCAAATACAAAGCTGACATGCCACCTAAATAATTGGATAACATCAAGATGCAGTTGACCCAACGGGATCATTCCGTGACTCATTCAACTTTCGTGGCGACTTCTTCGATTGGGTTATGCTGGTGAACGGGTTAAGCTGTAAAAATAATCATTGTCTTCTCATTATGCGTTATGAATCACGTGTATTTCCTCCACGGTATGTCATAGTGCAAATGGTATTTAAAACACACCTGACCTTATATACTTACATACAGCAGGGTTGAACAAGGTTAACTATATCGTGGGTAGCGTTTTAGATATGGGGCGTATGTACAATTTGAAGCACATTCTTACTGTTTTGTCGGATTTCAGCATAGAACTTTCATCAGGAGGCGAATGAATCTTCTTGCAAGTTGCGGAAAAGAGACGAGTTGTGACGATTGTTTCGTGTACGTGCAAACAGTGTGTGTATCAGCAGGTTGACCAGCTCATGGTTACTGGGTGATTCCCATCTATTGTTAACACATAGTTAACGGCAAAGTATCATCCAATGTTGTACAGATCGTCAGGATGTGAGCACATGCTAGGCAGCCCATCTTCTCTACGTTTCCGTTTAACGTTCTTAATGAATGGGGTGCATGCTGGAATCTGATTGGTTGAAAAACGTTGGTAAGAATCAATGGCATTCGGGACTATTGTAGATGTAAAGCTACGTCGTCAGTTGATAATCAAAATTTCCTCCACGTACCATTCAATAAAACCATTACATATGACCTAATTCAGGGTTTCCACACAACTGTGGACGCAACATGTTAATCAAGCAGACCCTCCACTGAAGGGCAGGGTATCCGGTCTCTTTGGCAAACCAGAAAGCTGCCATCGAGGATTCAAATCCCACATTCTATCTGTTTGTACTTTTGTCAGCACTATTCCCGTACACGTGGAATACGTCATTGTGATACACACCGAGGACCCTTTCCTGCCACAACGGAGAGTGAGTGAGTATGGTTTTACGCCGCTTTTAGCACTATTCCAAAAATACCACTGCGGGTGACACCAGAAATGGGCTTCATACATTGTAATCAGGGTGGAATCGAACCCTGGTCGCTTTACGAACGAACGCTTTAACCACTTTGCTACTCCACCGCCTCGTATTACAACAAGCCGACACGCCGAGATGAACAGAAATATTATAAATCAAAGCGACGTTCAAGCAAACTCACTCAGTCGCTCATGATATCAAGCTAGATTCAAAATGTATGTTCATGAAACACGACTGAAAAAAATATATAGTCAAGCAGTCCCAATATTTCCTGTTCACTAAAAATTCCACTTCACTTCAAGTTAATAATTCATGTCATAAACACTGGCAAATATTCGAAATATTAAAAGTTATGTTAATATTTAATAGGATTCATGTCGGAGTCAAGATCAACAAACAAACAAATCAATGATTACTCCCTGTATGCGTACAGTTTCAACATCGTCAAGATCTTCCAGTGACATTTATAAGTTTAAGTAGCTATTTGTCCAAGTCAGTTATCAAATTTACAGTGGTAAAAATTAGTTCAGGTTTTCGCGAGATGATACATGATATACATGTATTTCAATTCATTGGAATATTTAATCATAAAGAGATTACAAGTGATTCAATGACCTTTGATTGACATTTCTCAATTGTCCATACTCACTAGCTAACGACTTTTACCTAATTGTCCGAAAGATTGATGTGTTTGCAATTTTGTCTCTGAGTATCGATATGTACACTAGTTAATTATGTGTGATTAAATAAGCAATGCGTGAAGTTATTATTATTTACGTATTTACTAATTGCCAAAGAGTTGGCTTAAATGTTGTTTTTTGTTTATGGAGATACACAGATCAACATCCAGAAACGCAAAACACTCTTAGGGTCCGTGTGTATGTGTGTGTGTGTGTGACGATGATTTTAGGAGGAGGGGGGTGTACCCATTTTGTTCAGGGGAGGTAGGGGGTGTCATCAATTTTGTACACATGTACTAGGGGGTGGTCATATTGATTTTCTGATTTTGTACATGATATGAAGGGTGTAAACTTACTCTGAACATAAATTTTTGGTGTGTGTGTGTGTGTGAGAGAGAGAGGGGAAATACATGCCTCTCCATAAAACTCATCATCATCACACACACACACACACACACACACACACACACACACACACACACTACATTATGAACGGTCCCTAAGTTTTGTTTTTTCCAAGGTCTTAATAGCAAAAGGAAGATAAAATCTAATATATATTGTCGAGTTAGTTGCTGAGACTTCTTACATTGTGAATCAAAAGGGGTGGTCTTAGTAACTAAAGCGTCTACTCGTGGTCTCCAAGTGCGATTCCTATCATGGCAGCGATGTATAAAGGTCAGTCCTTAATTCAGCCCTGATTGTACTGGGTGCCACCAAAAACGAGTGACTGTTGATTCGACAGTCGACAGTCGACAACACCCAAACTCTATTACGGCGGATTAATAACCAACGACTGAATGCATGAGCTACGGTCCACGATATTTGGGAATGATGATAACCCATGTCTTCGAACCTTACCATTGAATTAAATTCAGTCGACTCTTATCACAACCATATGCTTTTAGGGACCGTTACCACAGGATGGCGCGCTTTAAACGAGGAAATAAGAAATACATATCAACACGAGTCGATAAAAGCTTATAGCCCTGAGTCTCCCCGAGCTAGGGTTTCCAACTTCCACAATTCGGGTCGTGTCAAGAGATGCGACTGACGAGTCCGAATGGCCAGGCTCGCTGGCATAGTTGATGCATGTCATCTTATACCAGTTGCGTAGGACCGCCTCCGTGGTGTAGTGGTTAGAGAGTCCGCCCGGTTAGTGGAAGGTAGCAGGTTCAATCCCCGACCGCGTCATACCAAAAGACGTTAAAATATGGTACTTGTTGGTCCCTGCCTGGCGCTCGGCATTAATGGGTACAACAAGGACTAGTCGGCTCGGAGTCAGTATAATGTGTCTGAGTGGGGTATTCATGCTTCACTGCGGGATGGTATCTCAGTGAGCTAGCACTATAAAACCAGCTTCAGTCTGTGCTAGTACAAGCAGCCGCACATGCACATACACACGCATGCACGTCGTCATATGAGCGAAATATTCTCAAGTACGACGTAAAACCCAATTTCACCTCACCTCACCTCACCTCACCTCACCTCACCTCACCTCCAGTTGTGTAGATCAAGGTTCATGATGTCAGTCGCTCTGTCTGGTCCAGACTCGTTCATCTACAGACATCCATCATATAACTGGAGCAATGCTTACTGCCACGTTGAACAAGCAATCAATCAAATCATGTTTTATGGAACTAAGGGACTAATATTGACCTTGATCGTTCGCCTCGATCAACATTAGATTCTTGGCTCCATAACAAATGATATGGCCTCATGAATATTAAAAAATGGTTGACAAATAATCAGTGTCTTATATCAGTAAAAAAAGTGCTAGTAACCAGCTTAAGTTACAGAAATCTTAGGATTGTCATTTGTTTGTATCATTTTCATAAATGACTTCACAATGGCGTGCAGTTTGTGATGCATTTTCATTTCAGCACTATTGTCTAAAAGAGTGAGTGAATGAGTTTAGTTTTACGCCGCTTATAACAATACCAGCAATATCGCGGCAGGGACACCAGAAATGTTCTTCACGCATTTTAGCCATGTGGGGAATCGAACCCGGATCTTGGGCAAGACGAGCAAACGATGTAACCACTAAGCTAGTCCACAGCCCCATCGCCAAGGGCTATCTTGTATGGAAACATTATTATGTGATAAATATACGTCAAACTATTATTAATGCGATTTAAAAAAAAGCAACGTACTTACATAGATATCCGTATGACTTTTCGTGATATAAGTATATCAGTTATGACGCAGATTACAACGGTAAATGCGAGACAAGATAACCTCTTCCAAGCCATTGCAGGAGAGATAGCGGTATGTGCAGACACATCGAACCCTATCTGTAGTGGTCTGAATGCGTTCGGGCGAATGTTTTCACTGAACCATGTGAGTGCATCCGTATTTCAAGACTCCATTGCACATGCAGTTTCAATTCCAAAACAATATTTTCGTATCTGTTGCCTCTTTTGACATCTTGTGTATAAACAGTTATAAACACTACTTAAAGAGACGTTTACATTCAATCTAGTCAAATCAGGGATTGGAATCCACAATCCGCGGGCAAGGCAAAGGACGTAACTCTGAACAGCAGACACCGAAATTCACGGGTGGGGGTGTTTAGTCAAAATGCACCAATTTGTTTTAAATGATTAAATATATGCCATAAATGCATAGTGTTTTGGCAACTTCGACATTATATTCTTCATATAAATGTTATTGGGAAGTAATATTTCTGATAAATGTTCCATTAGTAAACTCATACGAGTAAAAGGAATATTCCTGTATAGAAAACACTGTAATGCGAATTATTGTGGATGTTATTAATGCTTTTGTAAAGAAGTACAAGAATTAAATATAACGTTTGTATAAGCACACTAATACACAAGTATGATATACTACTTATCAAAACAATCTAGAGAGCTTTGTTAATCTTGTCAAGAGGGCTACTGTGAGGATAAGAACTGGCTATAAAAACATGTTCAATAATTGACATTCAATGCTATGGTATGTTGATGAAATGTCACATGTCAGCTGGAACAGTGTGAATGTATCAGCATTTCAACCATGCTGCTACCCCTGGCAAGTTACAAGCATCACAAGTAAGGGTCAAGGTAAGCCTCTTAAGCCACCTTAAACAACATGATCACTAACTCTAATTGTTAATCCTATTACCATCAAGAGCTACCGCTCGTTAATCCCATTATGACCTGGAGGCTGTCTGAAGACAATAATCCATTCATGCATAATCCCTGTAACAGAGGGTAGTTTTGTAAACTTTTATAATGAAGTAATATTATTTGAGTTCATTGTTCATAAACTGACCACGGCCCTGCATCGAACAATATAATATCAACGTCGACAAAAACTATTCATTTATGGCCAATAAATATTTCCTGCAGTTGATGCTCATCTTGTTGGAAGAAGTGAATGAATTACCCTTGGTCCAAAATCAATTTATACAAGGCGTTGAAATGCTCATACATTCACACTGCTAGTACCCATTTATACTACATTACATTATACCACAAGCTTTATTATGATATTTCTAACCTTAAATGGACCTTTTCATGGTCGTGTCTGCCATGTCATCAAGGCAAATTACCCAACGAGATGAAACTCGACAAAAGTGAGGTAGTCGAAAAGCATACACGAAATGTGCCTATCTCTTCCTCCGGTATAATGCAGCAGAAACACGAGTTCAAGAAGTTGTGGACAGTTAGAACAACATATTCCAGGCTGCCTGTGTCGAGAGTACCTGACCTGCTATGTTGTCCTGTATAAACGCTCCACCGTTCCATTACCCACTGGTGATAAGGTATGCTCCCGAGATAGTTTACATTTCCTTCAACAGACTCTTCTCAGTTTTGTTCCCTGGACGCTGTGCATACGCTTGGGAATATACTATGGAACCTCAGTCAATACCTTGGATGGGACCAGTGGAGCTGAAGAACCGACCTCCGTGACGTGTGGCGGGGCATGATGACAGGGAATGATATTCTTAGACTGTATGTTGGTGTAATGGAGCCGAACTTCATCCGCATGGAGAGTATACACGACCCCTAATGTCATGGTGTCAAGTTGTTGCTAGGTGCCGGATACTGTTGTCCGCAAGGAGTGCATGGCTCGCCTAAAACCCCGACCTCAACCCTAACGAAAACTCTCACGACACCCTGTCCTTCAGCCAACTGCAGGAACTCCCCACTGCTCTTGCTGAAGAATGGAACATTTTCCCATGGCAACCATCCATCCATATGTCGTTTGTTGGTATTGTCTGGCATGAAGACACATGAAACACATCATCACCCAGTATTCTCTTTGGCTATTTGGTATTTCTTTTCTTTGTGAAAAACGTGCGTTTAACCGTATTTGATTTGCTGTTCGGTTACCAAAAAATACTTACCCGGCTCTGCAAATTCTCGTGAATTCTCAGTGAAGAAAAATCGTAGTTGAATAATTCACCTTTCCATAATCAATGACGATTTAGACAACAAAAAGTAATGGTTCATATCCAAGCGTTTCGTCCAAGTGCATAGCTAGTACGGCACGTAGCGTAAATAAGAACGACATACATGTTAATTCGGAACGTGTATGATTCTAATCACATCGAATTTCATCACAAAGATGCCATACCGACTTATCTTGACTGACATGTACCATGTGTCGCTATTTGGGGCACCTTACGGATATCAAAGTTCCATACTAATACATGGTCTTTGTTGGTAGCTAGTGCTTTCATAATGTTTCATGCTTCAAAACTAGTTTTTCTTTTCAAATATACTCATCAGCAAAAGTTTGGAATTTTCCTTCGCAGAAACGGATAACTGTAAACTCATTTAATGTTTTGATTGTATAGTTTTGACAACATCTCCAAATTTACCTGAGCAAAGACATTCCTTCCCAAACTCACAATTGAACCAGGAAATGGTCTCAAAAACGCAACCTGATCTCGGAGATGGTACGGTGTTCTCCATGTTTTTCATGCAACTCATGCTGCACGTGCTGTTCACAAGGACCAGCCCTATAAAATGCACCCCAAACCTGGTTCAAACGTTCACATTACGACGTCAGCAGGATGCCGCGACTCACGACAACTCAGAGGAACCAGGCGCTAGGAAGACTGGAAGCTGGCCACACTGCACAAGCCGTTGCCAATCACTTCCAGGTCAACTTTCGGACCATCTACAGGCTGCAGCAACGTTTCCGGGCCACCAACACCACAAATGATCGCCCCCGTACTGGCTGACCAAGGGTCACCATAAGACGACAAGACCGCCATATTGTACAGATTTGTGCAGAATCCCTTCATGCAAGCAAGGGGCGGTGGGGTAGCCTAGTGGTTAAAGCGTTGGCTCGTCACGCCGAAGACCCGGGTTCGAATCCCCACATGGGTACAATGTGTGAAGCCCATTTCTGGTGTCCCCCGCCGTGATGTTGCTGGAATATTGCTAAAAGCGGCGTAAAACCAAATTCAGTCAGTCAGTCATGCAAGTATCCGAAACAGCACGCCAGACAGTGGGAACACACGGAAGACCAATCAGTACTGATACAGTACGCCGACGTCTTAACAGCGGGAACCTCCATTGCCGTAGACCTTACCGTTGACCTATCCTCACCCCTCGTCATCGGCGTGAACGTCTACAGTTTGCCCTACAACACCAAAACTGGCGATACAGGCAATGGAGAACTGTTCTGTTCACAGATGAGAGTCGGTACTGCGTATCAACTGCAGATAGCAGAACAAGAATATGGCGACGACGTGGCCAGCGTTACTCAGACCAATGTGTTATGGAAAGAGACACATGGGGAGGTGCATGCATCATGGTATGGGGTGGAATAGGCCTGAACCAGAGAGTGAGTACTGTGGTGTTCCAGAACCTTGGTCCAGGGAGGGGAGGCGGCATCACAGCGGTGCGCTACATCGACCAAGCTCTCAGACCCCACGTCATACCACATTTCGCACGTCACCGGAACAACATTTCCCAGCATGATAACGCCCGGGCCCATACTGCCAGAGCTACACGGGACTTTCTGCAGCAAAATGGTGTCAACATTATGCAGTGGCCATCCCTTAGTCCTGATTTAAACCCAATTGAACATCTTTGGGATGAAATTCAGAGGAGACTGAATAACATCATACCACGGCCGATTTATTGCGCCAGGCCTTTCTCATAGTGTGGTGCCAATGGCCTTCATCAATTGATTGGTGCACTCCATGCACAGAAGCTGTGCTGCAGTTATTGCCGCTCGTGGTGGTCACACTAGATACTGAAGTCATGAGTCTGAATGGACTGCAAACGTTCACGGAATGTCTTGAAATTGTGCTGAGTTATTCATTGATGTGTCAAGATATTGTACACAAAAAAGTGTTTTGATACGCTTATTATGTCCATTTCTGTAATGATTTGATTACAGTGCCTATCTAATTTTGAATTCGTACTGACGTTTTTATTTGCTGCTGAGTATAGAATACCCTCTGAATGAAATTCTGCTGCGCACGTAAAATCTCCATGTCTCTGCCGAATAGCACTCCCTTCATGACTTGTATAATTTGTAAAAGTGAGAGCTTGGTAACTCAACATGACCAAACGTTTATAGGTTTTTTGTCCTTTGAATTTTGTATGAAACAGTTTTAAGGACGGTGTAATTAGCATTACGATTTTTTCTAGCTCTCCGTGGTATTTCTCTTGATAATATATTTATATAAATCAATTTCATATTTTCGAAAAATCAGTACAATCAACAGGTTAAGACCTTCTGCTTGAACACAAGATTTGTTATATTTTAGCCACAGGCCCATAAGACATTACTGTTGTAAAATAAACAAACATGTTTTACAAAAGCATCATATAAACACTTGTCCCAAACTTGAATAGATATGCATACTGATATATACGTACAGAGCAACATACAACTAATTGTTTGATCGGCATTCTAGAAGTTGGTGGCTCAAAAATGAAACATACAACTTTATGGATGACAACTTCTTATTTATTGCATAGCGCGACAGCTACATCAAAACGTCGCTCTATGCAATAAATAAGAAGTTGTCATCCATAAAGATGTATGCTTCATTTTTGAACTTACAACTAAATACAGCTTTGCCACTAAGAAACGTCTGTAAAGCGTCTAGATTGCAAGCGCAACAAAAAACTCTTACCAGTTTAGTAATTATGTTCGTGGATGCACGCGACTTCCGGTATAAGAAGCCGCTTACGATATCAATGTAAACATCCGGCTTGAGCTCAGCTGTGCAATTTGTCAAATGTTTATTATGTAGCCATCATCTGACATGGTGAGTTTATGACTGGAGGATTTGGAAAGATTCAATAGAGACTTTGGAAAGAGTTCCTTCCGTTCCCTCAACTCTAAACCAAACTCTAAACCTAACCCTAAACCTAGCCCTAACCTAAATTTTGGACTTTTAATCATTTTGTGAGTTCTTTTAATCATTTTTGTGAGTTCTCTAGTAATTGTTGTGTTTTGTTTTGTTTATAATTCTAGAATATTTATACATATTATTTGGGATGGGGGAACGGGAGGAACTCTTACCGAGACTTTTCAATAGCGATTTTGCAGTAGACCTCTTTAACGAGACTAAATTGGTCAGCTGAGTTGCATATTGACTGCGCGCCGCGAGTCGCAAATTAATGTGAAACCGACGAATAGAACGATTAAACGTATCTTTCATTAGCTCGAAAGGTCAGGGATTAATGTGCCAATTAATATTGTCAAAGTTTCGTTTAATTATATGTCTTCGAGTGGCAGTGTATATTTGCGCTATAATGAGCTGTGTAAATTCTCAGATGGTCGCCAGTTTTTGGATGCAGTTGTCTTTAAATAGTTTTATGTCTTAGTGACATGTCCTGCAGATGTTCATGTGATTAATGAGTAAACAACAAATTTACTTATGCATCCGACACAGCGCTAATTTTAGTTTGCATTGATTGTTATGTATAATCTGAAAAATAGACGTAACACCGCACAAAACCAAAACCAACCAAAAACAACAACATAAGGTAAGTAACAAAGTCAGCATACAGTAATAAATGCTTTATCAGTTTAAACGTTATGAAAGGTCACTTTTGCCCAGCAGTATGGACCTAATGGTTATTTCAAACAAGGCTGTTTGAGTAATCATTTCTGATTACAAGAAAAGATGCTTAAAAATTATAATTCAACATTATTGCATTTATCATTTTGGAAAAAGTTCAAAGATGTCAGTACCATGAAATGTGAGAATCAATACTCTTAATGTTGTTATTTCTAGAAGTCTAGAAATATGAAATATAGAAATGACATGAGTGGCTATGATCTGACCTGCACACTGTCAGCCACCAGCCAGCGAAATAACGGCATCTTGAGTTCTGTCAGGTCTCTTAACTGATCACATTGAACTATGTATATTAAAATGGAGTTCATTCAAAATGTCAACACATCAGTGTTCCAGTTTTAGTGTTTTAAATGTAATCAATTCATGCATATTAATGGCTTTTTAGTATGATTTATACAAGAGCACCATTATAGATATAAATGAAATATTTAGTATCATTCTCTCAGACATTATATAGTGGGACTGCAACATTGTTGATGAAAAATACTAGGCATCATTAATAAAGGGTCACTTAATTTCAGCAAAGGGTTAATCCGAGACCGTGATCGTAGTTTAGCTGATGAAACTATCGATGAAATAGTATCAGAACTTTGCAGTCAAGGTGTCATCGAAGCTAAACGGTTCACTTTTCGCAAAGATGGGCGTGTATTTCCATCCAACACTTATCTTCTGACCTTTGACACAACAATCTTACCTAGTTCGATCAAGGTTGGCTGTTTCTCAATGCCTGTGGATCTTTACATCCTACGCGGTGTTTCAAATGTCAGAAGTTCGGACATGGGCAGAATTCATGCAGAATTCATGAAACAAAAACCGAAGATTTTACATCTTTTAAGAAATAGTGTTACCAATAGCTTGACCCTATATGAATGACGCTGAGTATACAATGGTTCAGTTATTTTTGCACAAACAGATTAAATCACATGTCAGTTTTTAACTATTTTTAACTGATGCAAATGTGTTTGTTCACAATGTGCATCTTATCCGATACCTAGGTGTCATGTTTTTGTGTTAATGTCTATAACAATATGTGGCAGCACTGTTATTTAAAAAGTAGTGTGATAAAGCTCCAAATAAGCAGACAAAATTACGCAGTTTGCAGTTGTATTGTTTAATACTGACTGACTGAGTTTAGTTTTACGCCAATTTTAGCAATATTCCAGCAATATCACGGCGGGGGACACCAGAAATGGGCTTAACACATTGTGCCCAGTATTGTTTAATAAGGCCAGACCAATATTATTTCTTGTTTTACAGATTTTTGTCCTCAGAAAACCTAAAGGCAGGAGGGAAAAAAAATAAAAATAAAATCACCAATCAAAGTAATATTCCTTCTAAATACTCAAAGTATTTTACTTTTAGCAATTTATGAAGTGTATATGGGGCAAAAAACAATCTAGAAACCGTTGTTTTGGTAAGTTTACATTTTTGGCCAATAAACACAATAGGTTTTATTTTTTGAGCGGGGAAAATTGTTTGTTTGTGGGGTTTTTTCTTGAAAAAATACGACAGGCAAATCTGTAAAACAAGAAATAATGGTCTGCCCTAAGACTAAACATCAGAAATGAATAAGAAATTAATTCATGAACAGTGGAAATTGGAAAGTTGCTTGAAAATAAAAGTTTCAACTTTCATTATGGTAGGTTGTTATCTCATCAGTGATTACTCCCTTGTGTTTGGTAACTTAGCCTTTGTACCTAAAAGTTACATTTACCTTTGAAAGCATTGCATTTACTCTGTTGTGAATGAAATGCTAATGGGCTAAAAATTACACCTGAAAACTAAAGAAACCGTTACAAAGGAAATAGGTACTGCACATCTGTTACCAAAATGGTGAAAGATGTCCAGTGTCAATACAGTATTACCCATGTCTGTACATGTTGCATAACATTTTGATAAGCTTATGTAGATTTTGAAGTAAATACAGACTATTTTAAAACCCCTGGGTACCCTGAACAGGGCAAATTTATCAAGTTTATCTTCAGAAAAAGAATCTGAATTAGCAATCCCAGTGCTGCAGTATTTAGTGTGCCATTATTCTTTGTGTACAGATATATGGATCATATTACAATACATTAAGTACTGTGTGAATGATATATATTGAATCATGTACCTGCAGTATGACACACTTTTAATTTATACCACATGTTATACAGACATGATTTGTTAATTCATCTGAGGAAAAATGATTAAGTTTGATTCATTTACATTTTCTGTTTAAACAGATTCAGCTGACACATTGGAATTCAGATCAACAGTATTAACAACAGAACTAACATGGAAAGGTCGAAAAAGAAACAGATCTATATGTAAGCATAGATATTATGATATCTTTATTATGCCACGGTGAGGTAACCAAGAAATGGTAAAGGAATGACACTGGCTTGTCATATCAATGATTTTTATCATAGTTACTCGTAGTGACTCAGCTTGGAGGCAGCAGGGGCGGATACAGCTTTTTGAGAAAGGGGTGTGTGGGGTGGGGTGCACACTATTGAGAAAAGGAGGGGTGCACACTTCATTTTCACCCCGAGTTTCAATGGTCATTTAACACACTTTCAGCACAAAGGGGGGTGGGCACCCCTGCACCCCCCTCTGAATCCGCCTATGGGCAGTATACTGTGTTGGAGTGGCTTATCCATGTTTGTCTGTACCTGGGTATCCCCTTGGGCTAGTGGTATATTGCTGTCATTGTTCTACTACTGCAACCAGACACTCACACACAGATGCATGAAAAACATTATGTAATTGCAACATTAAATTTCATTGCCTTGCATGCATGTTTTGTCAAGAAGTTTGGTTGGTTGGTTGTTGTTGTTCAACGCTAATGTTTAATGCCACACTGAGCAATATTCCAACTATATGGTGGTAGTCTTTTAATAATCAAATCTGGTGATCAACAGCATGAGCATTGATCTACGAAAATTGGTGTCAAGAAGTAGTCTTGTGGCTGCCTAATTCCAAACTTCGGAGAGAGAGATATTTGAAAGTGACCCCCAGTTTGTACCCATTGTAGTAACCCATGTTTGTCGTAAGAGTCAGCTAACGGATCGGGGTGGTCAGGCTTGCTGACTTGATTCACACAAGTCATCGTATCCCAGTTGCGTACATCGATACTCGTGATGTTGATCACTGGATTGTCTGGTCCAGACTCGATTATTTACAGACCGCTGCCATAGAGCTGGAATATTGCTGAGTGCGGCGTAAAACATTGTTAAACATCAACAATGAATCGATGAAACAGTTGATCTTTAAAACTAAGATATAGATGTTTAACAGCTAGAAGCATGATGGACATGATGAACCTGAAGCTTCAGTGACATTGTTTGATTCGTTTTGAAATTTGTCCCATTTGTTTTCATGGTTTTGTCTTAGACATTTTTGGGTCTTCAATGTTCAGTTTGCTGCCAGGAAATTATATTAGGAAGCAAGTGGCACACTGAGAGATGAAGTAAACAGGAAATATGGGACATTGTTTGAAATTAACCACGAAAGTCAACAATGTTCTGATATTACAGTTAAGACATTTAAGGGGCCCTGTATCATGAGAATTCAAATACTATTGACCCCTGGGCCCTTTTACATGTTGATCAGTGTTTAGGTTGTATTTTGCTGTGTGTTGAAGGTCTCAGTTGGACGAGCCTGTCCAGGACTGGCTGATCGAGCTCCGGGAGATGACCGAGACGGAATGTATGAGTGTTCTGCAGGGCAAGTCGATCTGTGCGGGTCAAGACACTGACCACTCCACTAAACTTGTACACGATGTTAAAGGTGAGATCATCACACCATATACCAAATACTTTGAATAATACAGCATCTGTTGGTCCCGATAATAAGGTCTGAAATGAACATGAACTGACATAGAAACTGTTAGGGGGAAAGTCCACAGAGTTATGTCCCTTGTCTTCTGAGAGGGGAACACATTCATCACCCCATCCCTCTAACAAGAATCTTAGAATTACGCCTCTGGTATATATATTTTTGTGCATTTCTTTACAACTGGAAACAATTACTATTTCACAAATTAATTTACGATTGTTTCGAGATTGCAGACTTGAGTTTTTAAGTGTTTATTGTTTCTCTTGAAAAGCTTTGAATTTTAATGCTATCCTTGAGATAGCTTAAAATACCCCATTGAACTTGTACAATATGACATAACATATTTGTTTATTAATGCATTATAATTCATGAAAAGCTGAGATTATTTCATTTTGTTACCTATAAAATTGGATTCTTTTTGTGATCAGTGATGTTCATACTACTGTTAAGGACTTGTCGTTAATATACAGTGCTGGAGTTGGTTGGTTGAATGGTGTCTTTGCTTTGGTGTCTCAGCGTGTCTTTGAAGATGTGTCTCATAAACTGCAACAAGAAATGTTTCCAGTTGTCGCATCTGATTAACGTTGTTGTGCCTTGCTTTCAGAGGGAATTGATTCAATCAAGAATGAGTCGAATGCCATTAGTCAAGACTTTGATCAACTCTTCAAGTAAGTGTATTTCTGACAGGTAGCCCTGTTGTCTACTCTGCCTCATGTCGCTGTGTAGATTAGTGTCCTTGTGTAACTTGTGATCGTGGCTTTGAGGCTTGGCTCACTCTGATTATGTTTCTAGGTGTTTCAGCACCATGGGTTTCTCATGGGTTTCCCCAAAGGGGTAAACCACAAAGATATTTCCTCCCACCATTTAGCTGACATGGCAAAATAGCAGTGGAAACCCATCTAACTCGCTGACTCTCATGGATGGGGAATGCTTGTATCACACCCATATTATGATACACACATGAGAGATCGATAATGACATTGAAAACTACTATCCTGAGTACTAGTAACATATTGGAACAGCCTCGAAGTGTTCAAAACACTACCAGCCTTGTACTGTTAACCTTAGAGGAATTATCCATGGCTTAGTTGCAATGGAGTGCTAATTTCTATCTTTGTTGGGGCGGTGGGGAAGGCTTGTGGTTAGAGCATCCACTCGTCATTCCGAGACCTGATTCCCCACATGGTACAATGTGTGAAGACCATTGCTGGTGTCCCCGCTGTGATACTGGTGGAATATTGCTAAAAGCTGTGTAAAACCTCACTCACTCATTCACTCACTATCCCTGTTGATGGTGAATCACCCACTGCAAATAGGAGACGGAAATGGTATGTTTCTTTGTGAACATGATTTCGTAAAATGACAATGAGGGTTGTGACAGGCATAAGTTGGGCAAGGTTTAAGTTACCTATTGTCTAATTTCTTTCACAGGAGTGTTGAAGCTGGTGAGTGGAGGCATCTTGGTCGACATGGTATTCAGGTAACCTGTCACATCCGGTCCCTCATCCAGGTGTGCAATCAGTGTGTGCCAGAACCACCTGTCTACATTCTGGAGGTGAGTGGAAATACAGAATCTCACCAAAGGGTCATTTGAGATAAAGAATATCGACAGAAACCCATAGAATTTTAAAGCTCCAGGCTTACTGGGGAGTTCCAAACATTTGTCAACAAATGATAGTTTAAAATAAAGGACATGAGGATAGGATGTGATTTGTCATCCAATATCATTTTTCCATCTTTTCAGTTTGTGAACAAGTAAACTCAGTTTCCTTTGTCTGCTAACAAATCGGCTTATCAGCTGTAGTGGCATAGAGTATATTGATGTCTTTTGAATGTAACATCATGGTAATGGAGGATGTCACAATGGTCATGTAATTTCATTGTAGCCATATATTGTAGGAGATGTCAGTAAGTAGCATCTCCTGTGAGACATACAAAGCACACTTCTGTAGATGAGCTGCTTGAGAAGCCTAATGATACATGTCCTGGTCTTGTTGCAGCAACAGGACACAGTGATGGGAGAGTGTGCCAAACTTGCACAGCAGGTAGATAGGTAAGTTGTATCATGTGGATGACAATACTAGAACTTACAAAGATACCTGCATTCAGGGAGCATGTTATGTCTGAGTATTGAGTTGATCAAGGTTCTACAGCAGTGGTATAAGTTTCGATACTTTTGATGAGTCTGAAAGCATATTTTATTTGATGAAATTGAGCTTTCTGCGATTGAGTTGAGTAGGTCCAAGAATATAGTACTTGATACTGAGTTGAATTTCATGTAACATTTGTGATGTAGTCTCATGGCTAGACTTGATGTATGATACCATTTCCAGAGTAGTGCCAGTCCTGATGTATGATACAGTTTCCAGAGTAGTGCCAAGCCTGATGTATGATACAGTTTCCAGATTGTGCCAAGCTTGATGTATGATACAGTCTCCAGAGTAGTGCCAAGCCTGATGTATGATACAGTTTCCAGAGTAGTGCCAAGCTTGATGTATGATACAGTTTCGAGAGTAGTGCCAAGCCTGATGTATGATACAGTTTCCAGAGTAGTGCCAGGCCTGATGTATGATACAGTTTCCAGAGTAGTGCCAAGCTTGATGTATGATACAGTTTCATGAGTAGTGCCAAGCCTGATGTATGATACAGTTTCATGAGTAGTGCCAAGCTTGATGTATGATACAGTTTCCAGAGTAGTGCCAAGCCTGATGTATGATACAGTTTCCAGAGTAGTGCCAGGCTTGATGTATGATACAGTTTCCAGAGTAGTGCCAAACCTGATGTATGATACAGTTTCCAGAGTAGTGCCAAGCTTGATGTATGATACAGTTTCCAGAGTAGTGCCAAGCTTGATTAATGATACAGTTTCCAGAGTAGTGCCAGGCCTGATGTATAATACAGTTTCGAGAGTAGTGCCAAGCTTGGTGTATGATACAGTTTCCAGAGTAGTGCCAGGCCTGATGTATGATACAGTTTCCAGAGTAGTGCCAAGCTTGATTAATGATACAGTTTCCAGAGTAGTGCCAGGCCTGATGTATGATACAGTTTCAGAGTATTGCCAAGCTTGATGTATGATACAGTTTCCAGAGTAGTGCCAGGCCTGATGTATGATACAGTTTCCAGGGTAGTGCCAGGCCTGATGTATGATACAGTTTCCAGGGTAGTGCCAGGCCTGATGTATGATACAGTTTCCAGAGTAGTGCCAAGCTTGATGTATGATACAGTTTCCAGAATAGTGCCAAGCTTGATGTATGATACAGTTTCCAGAGTAATGCCAGGCCTGATGTATGATACAGTTTCCAGAGTAGTGCCAATCTTGATGTATGATACAGTTTCCAGAGTAGTGCCAAGGTTAATGTATGTTTCGGGGCGGTGGGATAGCCTAGTGGTTAAAGCGTTGGCTCGTCAAGTCCTGATGTAATACAGTTTCCAGAGTAGTGCCGATGTTCAGAAACCCCTTTATTCATGGGTACAATGTATGATACAGTTTCCAGAGTAATGCCAAGCTTGATGTATGATACAGTTTCCAGAGTAGTGCCAGTCCTGATGTATGATACAGTTTCCAGAGTAGTGCCAAACCTGATGTATGATACAGTTTCCAGAGTAGTGCCAAGCTTTATGTATGATACAGTTTCCAGAGTAGTGCCAAGCTTGATTAATGATACAGTTTCCAGAGTAGTGCCAGGCCTGATGTATGATACAGTTTTCAGAGTAGTGCCAAGCTTGATGTATGATACAGTTTCCAGAGTAGTGCCAGGCCTGATGTATGATACAGTTTCCAGAGTAGTGCCAAGCTTGATTAATGATACAGTTTCCAGAGTAGTGCCAGGCCTGATGTATGATACAGTTTCCAGAGTAGTGCCAAGCTTGATGTATGATACAGTTTCAGAGTAGTGCCAGGCCTGATGTATGATACAGTTTCCAGAGTAGTGCCAATGCTTTATGTATGATACAGTTTCAGAGTAGTGCCAAGCCAAGCTTGATGTAATGATACAGTTTCAGAGTAGTGCCAGTTTCCAGCCAGGCCTGATGTATGATACAGTTTCCAGAGTATGTATGTGCCAAGCTTGATGTATGATACAGTTTCCAGAGTAGTGCCAGGCCTGATGTATGATACAGTTTCCAGGAGTAGTGCCATGTATGATACAGCCCAGGCTTGATGTATGATACAGTTTCCAGAGTAGTGCCAAGCCTGATGTATGATACAGTTTCCAGAGTAGTGCCAAGCTTGGTGTATGATACAGTTTCAGAGTAGTGCCAGGCCTGATGTATGATACAGTTTCCAGAGTAGTGCCAGGCCTGATGTATGATACAGTTTCAGAGTAGTGCCAGGCCTGATGATACAGTTTCCAGATAGGCCTGATGTATGTTTTCCAGAGTAGTGCCAGGCCTGATGTATGATACAGTTTCCAGATGCCAGGCCTGATGTATGATACAGTTTCCCAGCTTGAGTAGTGCAGTTTCAGAATAGTGCCAAGCTTGATGTATGATACAGTTTCAGAGTAATGCCAGGCCTGATGTATGATACAGTTTCCAGAGTAGTGCCAATCTTGATGTATGATACAGTTTCCAGAGTAGTGCCAAGGTTAATGTATGTTTTAGTGATAATAGCCTAGTGGTTAAAAGCGTTATTCGTCCGAAGACCAGGTTCGAAACCCCTTCATGGGTACAATGCCAGTTTCCAGAAGCCAGGCCTGATGTATGATACAGTTTCATGAGTACAATTTCCAGTATGATACAGTTTCCAGAGTAATGCCAGGCCTGATGTATGATACAGTTTCCAGAGTAGTGCCAAGCTTGATGTATGATACAGTTTCCAGATTAATGATACAGTTTCCAGAGTAGTGCCAGGCCTGATGTTGATGTATGATACAGTTTCCAGAGTAGTATTGCCAAGCTTGATGTATGATACAGTTTCCAGAGTACAGTGCCAGGCCTGATGTATGATACAGTTTCCAGGGTAGTGCCAGGCCTGATGTATGATACAGTTTCCAGAGTAGTGCCAGGCCTGATGTATGATACAGTTTCCAGAGTAGTGCCAAGCTTGATGTATGATACAGTTTCCAGAGTAGTGCCAAGCTTGATGTATGATACAGTTTCCAGAGTAATGCCAAGCCTGATGTATGATACAGTTTCCAGAGTAGTGCCAAGCTTGATGTATGATACAGTTTCCAGAGTAGTGCCAAGGTTAATGTATGTTTCGGGGCGGTGGGATAGCCTAGTGGTTAAAGTGTTGGCTCGTCACGCCGAAGACCCGGGTTAGAAACCCCTTCATGGGTACAATGTGTGAAGCCCATTTCTGGTGTCCCCTGCCGTGATGTTGCTGAAATATTGCTAAAAGCGGCGTAAAACCAAACTCAGTCAGTCAGTCAGTAATGTATGTTTCAGTTTTACACGTGGAGGGACTTTACCTGCCAAAGTACCTCTGACCAATCAGCTCACATTCTTGGGACAGTCTTTTAGCAGATTGGTTGATTCAATAATTGGTTACCTGGTGCAGGTAAGTGTGATATCTTTATACACATGTTTGACAGTGCAGTGTTAGTGAAAGAATGAGAAACTGAAGTCACACCAACTGAGTGAAGTATCGTACAATCGTCAGTTGTATACCGGATGTTGGTGAATCCAACATCCGGACATGCGTTTTCATGCCAAGTGATATTATTATAGGTTTATACAATATAACTCACCACCTAATTTTCACATGTGTACCCATTACTATTTCCCTCTATTTGACTTTGAATTGTTTGTATTTGGGCACCCCAGTTGGCTTGCACTTGTTTCGGAGTACAGGCAATAAACTTATTTGAGCTCAGCTGTGTAGTGACTCCTAGTTACAATATCTGACATTCCAGAGTTCTTGTGTTATAATATGCGCACAGTACACTAAGCTGGTAGTAGGACTGGGTGACTGACTTGATTGCTGGTCGACTTACCCCGGCAATGTAGATTGTTGCTTACAATATCACTCACTGGATTGTCTGCTCCAGACTTGATTGTTGACAGGCTTTTTGATACGGCTGGAATATTAGTGACTAATAGACAAATAAACAAAGTCTACCTGTGTGATTGTGTGTGTCATCATAACATGACAATATGTGCCGTGGTTTATGTAATCAATAACAGCTTTGCATGGTCCTAACTTTGTGTACAACATTCACTGACCTTTTTATACAAATTCCTGACTTTCCAGACATTTGAATTGTAAGACGAACAGGTTTCTAATCTGTTTGTGAATATATCCTATATCAGTGAATATTGAGATCCCTAGTTAATGTATTATGACTTGATTCCAGCGCCTAGTTGACACTCTAGATGAGGCGTCGGTGCCCTCAGCTGTCCACAGCGCCATCAGCAATGTCATCAGTCTGGGTCTGGAGGGGGAGCACATGTGCTATGTACTTGCCAGGGTAAGATAGCTGGTTGATAACAGAAACTATGGTCCTTCCATTGAGATGTGGATAGAGCTGGCTAAAATTATCGATAATTGGAACATCGTTCAAATGAAAAATTATCAGTGATTATCGATATGAAAATTGTGTTTTAATTTTCCAACACAATATACAAATTTTGGACTTTATTTATTCATGGTCTGCTTCTAAATTATGTTCAGGATGCTGTTTCTTTAATAATCCATGCAAAAACATGTCAACTCACCAGTGATTGTGAAATTTATTCATTTCTTTCAGACATTTTTGGCAGTATTGCTCAAAGTTACGACTCTGATTTACATTTATAATCGACTGATATTGTGTTCATGATTATCAATCTCTATGATGTATATCGACTGTCAGCCCTAGATGTGGATTTTGTGTCACCAGGCTGATAGAATCAGGCTTGCCTGATATATTTTCATTGTGCCCTATGCATTGTGCCCACCCATTGTGGTGGCACGTGGTCCTGTGCATAGCGCTCAGGTCACAAATCAGTTGAAGTTAAGCAACGTTGGGCTCAGACAATCCTTGGATGGGTGACTGTGTTGGCACCTTACCTCCTGAGAGTTTCTAGGACTTCAGTCCTGCCCCACAACGAAGCACATGTGATACATGTGGTCTCACCTTAGGCAAGTGAGTTTGTTCAAAATTGCCTCTGTTCACCCAGCAGAAAATGGGTACCCGGTTGGATAAAGCCATGTGACTATAACCTTCTAGCACCTAACAGGCAGCTTGGGTTATCCGGGGTAATAAGAATCAGGGTGTTAGTGCTTTGAGCATGCTTTGTTGTGTGGAGATCTTCTCATTATTATTATTATTATTATTATTATTATTATTATTATGCTTTGATCTTGTTGACTGCCACTTCTTTCAGCCCGTGGTATTGATTCAGTTATTTACATACAGCAGTGATGTAGTTGTGATATTACTTACTACAGCATTATAGAACATACACTTGCTCTCACTGGAGGTATGGCAATGGTGTTGTTCCCTCTGTGGTTAACAGGGAATGGTTCCTAGCTCATGTGTCAGATATGGAAGTCTATGCATTCAGGATACTTGCTTGATAAGTTGAAATAAGCACTGCGTAATCAAGGATGTTTTTCCATGTCTGGTGTCAAATTATAATTGGGGCATCCGTTTAGAAGTTTCAGTCCTTAGATTGAGCATTGACACTGTTTCCTCTTCGACTCATTCACTGACATATTGCAAATGTTATTCCAGGAAGGAGGTGTACGAGCATTACTGGACATTTGTCGGACTGATTCCCTGGAGTTTGCACATGCACAGGCTCTGCGTGCTCTTGCTACTGTCTGTTGTGTGCCGGAGAGTATCATGGAGCTTGAGAAGGTATTAAGGCTTTAAAATTTACAGTATTCGTTTTTAAGCAATGGTGTTTGGAAATGTTTTGCATGCAAGTCTCCTATGACATAACTCTGGAAGGCATGAACATCATTAAGCCATGAATCATGTTATGTTTCATGACAAGTGAAAAATCGAGTTAGATATTTTTAAAATTGAATTTATAATTCAAATTATCATTCACACCCCTTTTGGATTATTTAAATATTTAAGAAAATAAGATCTTTCCTTATCAGTCTGTGAGGTTAGCAATTTGTCTTAAGCCCTAGTGGGTGTACTTCTTCTGACACTGTTAACATGGTTGAATGGTGCCTGATAAAAATCCACATATAAACACTGCATAATGATTGCAGAAATGACTTCAGGATTGTAGGCTAATGTCAACTTCTTGTAAGTCTTCTTCTATGCCTCTTTGTTAGTTAATCAAAGTTTGCAAAAGGTTGTCTTGATGTAACCCTTATTGGGAGATCTTTATTGGGAGATATTTATTAGCACCGGAAAGAGCTAAGATTTCTTTTCAATGAGCCTGAGTAGGACCTTTACTCAAGAGAACAGAAACATTCCGCAACCTGCCAGAAACAGTTTCCTTGTTGACAGTGTTTTGTGTATGTACAGGAGAGTGGCCTCGAGCTGCTTAACGATGTCCTGTGTGATACGAAGACGTCTGAAGGTGTGCAGGGTGAGGCAGCGGGCGTGGTGGCTCAGATTACCTCCCCTAGTTTAGAACACAACCAGCATCTCAGTGGATTTGTGGACAACAATCTACAAGACTTGCTGAAGGCCCTGCTTGGTAAGGACATAAGTAACTCTTTTCCTCAAATCATTTTGGAAATTATTACATGTACATTATTTCATTCACACATCAATGAGGCCATGAACTTCAAAGAAGACTATTAACCATTATATTTATACAAAATAGAATAGTAACTAAGAAATAATAAAGATGCAAGACTCACATTTGTGTTCCTGTGTGCTACATTGAGATTAACAGGCAGAGGAGACCTCTTGACAGTATGGCGGCTGCTAACACACTGAAGCATGGGGTCCCAGTACCACATGTGTTTTTTAGGGTCACATGACAGGAAAGTGGTACAATGGGATATGAAACATAACAAATCTGCAAAAGTTTTATTAGAAAGCTGGGATTGAACCCTAGCTGGCTGGGTTACTAACAAGGGAGGTAATAGCTGATACTAGGATGAAGTAAGAGCTGCACTGTGCTACAGAGACAGTACGCATTAGGGAGACATTTATAATGCATGAAATATGCAAATGAAAATTATGTGAAAATATCTGCAGGAGGGATATGTGCACAGAAAAAATGAAACATGTATCCTGCATTAACAATCACCATGGTCAAAGGCGTATATTCACAGGATTGGTGTAATGGATAGAGTCTCTACCAAGAGAAAGGAAAGTGGATAATTCAGGTATAGACCAGGTCACACCAAAAGACGTTTAAAGACATTACATGCTGTTCCCTGCCCGGTGGTCAGCATCATGGCATAAGACTGGATGTCTTTGAGTCAGTACTAAGCAGGATATTACTGGGACTTGATATCTCACATTCTCTTCCCACAGAGGTTACTCAAATCATATCTTCCCATGTAACCTCTGTTCTAATACGGCCCTTTCATGGTGCGAGTGTTCAGGATTTGTGATTGGTTGCAATCAGATTTATTTATCAGCGACGTTGTTTCAAAAGTGATCATTCGCAAAGCCTCGGTAATTTCTGTATACTTGTAATGGCGGATCAATGGCGTCTCCATCGCCCTCGTTGACAGCAGACAAGCTAGCCATTAAATGTCTTGTGTGTCACATCAACATAAGTCATCGACACAGGAGGGATATTTGTGGCCCCACTTTTTTTGCTAGTTTCTGATTTCCAGTTAAACATGAAATACCGAATCTATCCTTCGCGTATTGATCAACTAACTCCATGGCGGCCGCCAGATCGGATCTAAGTCGATGTAACACATGTTCTGATTGAATAGAAAAAAGGGAGATAATTCGTGTTGGATATTTGTGGCCCCACTTTCTTTTGCTAGTTTCTGATTTTCAGTTAAACATGAAATACCGAATCTATCCTTCGCGTATTGATCAACTAACTCCATGGTGGCCGCCAGATCGGATCTAAGTCGATGTAACACGTGTTCTGATTGGATAGAAAAAAGGGAGATAATTTGTGTTGAAATATTTTGCCATCAGGGGATTTTACGAAAACCAGGAAATATGGTGGTATTAGAACAGAGGTTGCGTGGGAAGATATGACTTGAGTAACCTCTGTGGGAAGAGAATGGATATCTCATGATAGTACACTACAGACTGCCAGTAATACACACACACGTCCAGTTTCATTGATGCTTTCTGGTTTTCACAACACTTTGCTGACATGGCTGTGATTTACACAGCTGAGTTTAATCTAATCAGGGGAATGTTAATGACAAAAAAACATCAAACTACATGTATATAATAACACTGGCTGTATCTTGTCAGTTCTGAACACTTGTTTAACATTGACAGTCATGATACATGACATCTGGTTTCCAGTTCTGTGTCAGAAGACAAGTTCCCATGAGGTGTTCCTGCTGGCGACTGCCGCTGTGGCCTCTGTGGCCAACGTGACGTTCATTGACACCCTGGCATGTGAGATCCTCCATCAGAAGCAGGCTCCACGACATCTCATCCGACATTGTTCCATGTCCAAAGCTTCATCTCTGTTTGCCAAGGATCAGGTCTGGGCTGTTTACACTTATTTGTTTGAGTAGGGTCAGGTCCGGGATATTTAGTCTGGTCATTTATCACAGGGATGGGGTGGGCCTGAGGTTTTTGGTTTTAGGTCAAGCTGTATCATCATTTTCAATGCATATGAGGACATATGCTCGCGAAATTATTGTCGATAAAATTGTATTTTCTTCTGACCTCAATAAAATATTATCTGGTCTCAATTTTTTATACTTTCAGTAGTTATAATATTTTATCAGGCATTCAGACATTTTCATTGTGGACATTCACAGTATTTACCATGTTCAGTCAAGCAGTCAGATGATAATTTCAATGACAACATGAATCACAGAAGTCTTTCGTACATAATTGGTTTCAATCAATGTCGCTTGTTGTAAGAGGCGACTTATAGAATCAGGTGGTCAGGCTCACTGACTTTCGTTGACACATGTCATAGTATCCCAATTGCGTCGATCAATGCTCATGCTGTTGATCACTGGATTGTTTGGTCCAGACTGTGTACATTTGCACCTCCCTCTGCACCCCACTGTCTGTTGTGAAGTGTGTGTGTGAATGAAGTGTGTACATATGTTGTAATAATGGTTGTCTTTTCAGATTGCCACAGTGTTAGCCAACATGGCTGCTGTCAACACTTGTCAGTCCGGGATTGCAGAGAATTCGGGGATAGAACTGTTGGTTCAGTTTCTTCATGAACGACCGTCGTCATACAGGAACCCAGCGGAGATCGCTGCATGTGAGCGTGTACAGCAGAAAGCGGCCATTGCCCTGACAAGACTGTGTAGAGAGGAGAGATATGCTCGCAGTATTGTCAAGCTGAATGGTAGGTAGTGTGGACTGACTGACTAACTGAGTTTAGTTTTACGCGGCTTTTAGCAATATTCCAGCAATATCAAAGGCGGGGGACACCAGAAATGGGCTTAACACATTGTGCCCATGTGGGGAATCGAACCGGGTCTTCGGCGTGACGAGTCAACGCTTTAACCACTAGGCTACCCCACCGCCCCAGGTAGTGTGGATGGCTTGAAGCAGCTGGTGTACTGTATTTACAGTAATAAGAACCTTAGTTTACAATTCACAATTGGGGAGGTTTATGAAAATTGTACAGAATGAAATAATCTGTTTTAGTAGGGAAGAACAACAAATATAGATGAACAGAAAAGATAAAAGATTTAACAAGTATATAACTCTTTTGCACTATAAAAGATATCCACAAGAAAACATAGACCATCAGGAATAATTTTTAAACTTATCCTATCTCACGGTATGCACCTCTCTTCTTCTTCTACGACCATGTGTGGAAACGTGCTGTAGGCTAAGTTGAATCAAAACTTCCTGGCCTCGGATCACCTGACCTCTGCCCCCACTCCGATAGCAGTACCTGTCAATCATCTCAATAAGCGTGCAGATCGCTAAGATGATCACGTGACTATCTGTGCCTGTCATTCTCTTTCTTGTCGCTACGTCGTGTGGACGTGTGCTGAGTTTGACTGTGTTCAATATGGGTAAATCTCGTCGCAGTGCTTCTAATAAACGCAAACATTGCGACAAGTGTAATAGTAACTTTTCTGCTGCGGACCCACACGCATTGTGTGTGGATTGTTTGGGATGTATCTACTGTCATCAACTTGATGATGATGCTTTTTCGGAATATCGCTGGGTGGCTTCCTGACATTTGACTGACAGGCATCGCCGTAAACCCTCCTTCCTCATCTAAACGTTCGAACTCTGAACGTCGTTCGAAGACACCTGTTCGCCGGTCTAAGTCCCCGTCTCTGCATGAAGAATTTCTATATGATGCTTCTGATTCTTATCTGAGTGAGGATCTCCGGCGTTTATTCCGTCCGCAGCCGTCCAGTCCTATTGTTATTCAAGATCGTCGCCGCCTAGAGTTGTAGTTTTAACTACTTCTTCTGGCCAGTCTTATCCGTCTGCCCTGGTGTCGATTTCTCAGACCCCTGGTGATCCTACGCCGATTGTTTCCAGTGCGGCACTTGGATTGATGCCCAGCGCTTTCCAGCACGGTGGCGCTTTCCAGCAAGGTTAATGGGTCTGCGCTTTCTACCCATGCGCCGCTTGTCTCCAGTTCGGCGCTTTGTCCCGGTTCGGCGCTCTCATACCCTCCTGTGATGTCTACAAGTATGACGCTGAGTTCCAGTGTGGCACTTTCTACATCTGCCTCGTATGCCATCCAACCTGTCTATGGATCACTGCCTATTTCCAGTGCGCCGCTTACCTCCGAAGCGCCGCATGCTTTCAATGCGCCGCTTGCTCCCCATTGGGCGCTTACTGTCAGAGCGCTGCTTTCTTCCAATGCGCCGCTTAGATTGGCTTGCGATTTATGCCCTCAATGGGACCATCTTGGACGACCCTTACATTCTCTCCACTCTGTCCAAGGGGTTTCAATTTCCGGTCATCGGCAACCCTCCTCTCACATTATTTCCGGAGCACAGGACGTATCCCGCTTGTCAAACGACTGTGCTGCGATCCACCATAGCTACGCTTCTTCAGAAACTTGCGCTCGAATCCCTGGGCTCGACTCCAGCCGACTCAGGGTTTTACTCTCCAATCTTTCTGGTTCCGAAGAAGGATTCCGACAAATTGAGACTCATCTTCAACATGAAGGTCTTTAACGGGATGTTCCTACAACCACCGCCTCATTTCCGTATGGTGTCGGTGGCTCTACTCAAGACTATCATCAAACCGGGGGATTACATGGTCAGCCTAGACCTTCAGGATGCGTACCTTCACATCCCGATCTTCCCGGACCATCCCACGTTTCTTCGTTTCATCTTCGAGGGCACCCACTATCAGTGGCGGGTGCTCCCGTTTGGAATTTCTTCGGCTCCACGGGTATTTACATGAGTGACGAAGCCCATCACCAGCTTCCTCCATTACAAGGGGATACTGTTCGAAACTTACATTGATGACTGTATCCAGGCTCAGACCGACCATGCACTCCTCCTACGGCACATGGTGTTCACGATGCAGCTACTTCACAAGTTAGGCTGGCTTGTCAACATGGAGAAGTCGGAGCTAGTCCCTTCATGCCGCCTGCAGTTTATCGGGGCGGTGTTCGACACAGAGCTCAACAGACTGTTTGTGCCGAGGGACCATTTCTACAACATCCGGCAATTAGTTCCCCTTGCGTTGTCTCAACCCAGGACTCTTCGTCAGTGGCAGGAGCTCTGGGTCTCTTGACGTCGGCCCAGGCGTTGACCCTCAGGGATCAACTTCAGCTTCGACCGTTGCAGTTATTCCTGGCTCCACACATCAGGGTGGGCAACCTGCTTTCCCTGATCACGTTACCTCCGACGCTCCATCCCCATCTCCTCTGTTGGATGGAAGAGTTGAACGTCTGCGGCGAGAGTCTGCTTAAGGCTGTTCGTCCTGACTCATGCATCTCTACACGGGTGGGGGGCTTACCTTCTTGCTCAGTAAGTGACAGGGCGGTGGTCTCTCGCAGATCGCGCTTACCACATCAACATTCTAGAGCTCAGGGCAGTGATTCTTTCCATCACTCACTGGCAAGAGATTCTACGATCGACCTCTCTCATGGTCTGGTCGGACAATGCAGCAGTAGTGTGGCACATCAACCTGATGGGGTCTCCTCAACTCCTGCAGTGGACAGAATGGTTCTTCCAGTTGGTTGGCAATCTCGACATCGCCGTTCACGCCAACCATATTCCAGGAGTGAAGAACGTGATTGCGGATTCTCTGTCCCGGCCGCTTCGTCCCTCCCCGACAGAGTGGAAACTACATCCACAGGTGTTCCAGACCGTCTGCTATTTGCTGACGACTCCAACAGTGGATCTGTTAGCCACTCGTTTCAACCACCAGTTGCCTCTGTTCGTGTCTCCGATTCCGGACCTTCTGGCCTGGGGTCTCGACGCTCTAGCCATTCCTTGGGACGACCTAAATGCGTACGCCTTTCCACCAGTTGCCCTTCTTCCACGCATACTACTGAAACTGCGCACGACTCAGCAGATGATACTGCTTTTGGTCATGCCCTATTGGCCGGCCAGAGGGTGGTTTGTCGATCTACAAGACCTGGCCGATCCAGATCCTGTACCACTTCCCGAACGCATCGATCTTCTGGTGCATCCGCACTCCGATCAGCTGCATTGGTCTCCGCTCACACTCCATCTTCATGTCTGGCGCATCTCCATAAGTCGCTAACTGCAAAGGGATATTCTAAGCGTGTCGCTACTGCTGTCGCTACTGCCATCACTACAGCGCATCGCTCCTCCACTAGGTCACTCTATGATGACAAGTGGAAGAATTTTTAGGCGAACTGCTGGACGAGGGGTATAGCTTCCCCTACTACTGTTTTGCCGCAGTTGGTGGCAGAGTACCTCCAACATCTTCGAACCTCCAGGAAGCTTAAGTGTTCTACATTGTCTACCTACCTGGCTGCTCTTAACACCGTTATTTTGCTCCAGCCACAGGTGTGAAGGTGTCTACAGTTCCTGAGCTCCAGTCTGTCCTCAGATCTTATAGACATACTGACCAATCCCGGAAGTTCCGACCACCAGCTTGGGACCTTTCCGTTGTGCTTTATCATCTAATGTCAGCGGCTTACGAACCCTTTGGGGAAAAGACTTTGAGCAGGTCACTTTTAAGACCTTCTTTCTCTTACACTGCCCTTGACATCTCCCGGTTGCATTTTGAGAGGTCAAGACATGCTTGGTTTGCGGTGGGATTTCGTCACCAAGAACCAACTACCAGGACAGCCGGACCACATGTTCACGATTCCACCGCTGTACACTATTTTGGGTCCTGATGACACGGAAGATCTTTCCCTGTGCCCGGTTCGGGCATTGCGGATCTACTTGGCTGCTTCTAAGGACCGACGCAGTTTGCACAAGAGACTCTTCATCCCGTTGTCTGCTGCCTCCACTTTGGCGTTTTGGTTGAGATCCACTATCCTGTGTGCTATGCCTATGCCAACCTTCCTCCACCTTCGACAGTGAATCCTCATGAAACTCGGGCCTTAGCTTCCACCATGGCGCTTCATAGGAACTGTTCCCTCCAGGCAATCATAGAGGGATGTTTTTGGAAGTCGGATACCGTTTTCGCCTCACACTATCTTCGGGATCTCTCAGTCACGGACGTGGAGGGGCTGCACCAGTTCGGTCCTCTGGTCCTAGCTCAGCAGCTGTCATCGACCCGTTCTCACAGATGAAAAGCAGTCCTTCCGCGTGTCGGTTTTGCTTTCTGTACATTAATAAAAGATATCGATGTCATCTTTATCTTTGTACCTTTTTTATCTTAGGCTTAGACCACCTCACCTGGGGAACTAGGGCGTGGCTGCACTGTCATAGTTATGACTCTATAGACTGAGAGGCCAGTCTTGTGCTACATGCAGAGGTGGTTGACACTCCGCTTACTGACCTCTACTCTCTGAGCAATTGCGTCAGTGAAGTGTTGATTTCCGATTACCTGCGTGGTTTTTGGCGTTCCGCTCCTAAGTCCTTTTTTCCTTTGGTAAGTTAGGGGGATTGGTACTGAACGTTAAACCAGTTGAGCAACCGGGCTATTCCCTCTTTCACCGCCTTCCAGCGTGTGTCTGTGGGGGGTAGTTTCGAAGCAGGGACTGTCCAGATTAAGGTCTTCGACTTTAATTCACTGGGGTCACTTGATAAATCGCGAGGAGGCGGGGTCTACTTGCCAAACTCGTCCTTTTGCTTGTCAAAAGTTGCGGCTGAAAACCACATTAATTCGGGACCGCCCACTCCCTAGAGTTTTTGTGCTGTGTAAGCTAAGGGGTTATCAGAAGCAACCCATCACAAGTTCGGAGTTAGCATATCGGGAGTTGGTGCTTTCTCCTGGCCTCCTTGTGTTATGCGACCTCACGGTTGTAGAGTTGACACAGGGTTATCTGCGGCCCACCAGCCAACCGTGGGATAATGCATACCGTGAGATAGGATAAGTTTAAAAATTTGGAAATTTTACTATAAATTGTATATTTATATACTTATCCTCTCTCACGCGATGGATACCCACCCGACCTGCCCCACATCACAGATTACTGGACGCTCCAAGACGAGAATTACAGGCACAGATAGTCACGTGATCATCTGAGCGATCTGCAGCTTATTGAGATGATTGACAGGTACTGCTATCGGGCTGGGGGCAGAGGTCAGGTGGTCAGAGGTCAGGAAGTTTTGATTCAACTTAGCCTACAGCACGTTTCCACACATGGTCGTAGAAGAAGAAGAGAGGTGCATACCATGAGATAGGATAAGTATATAAATATACAATTTATAGTAAAATTTTCAATTTTCAGTCTCATTAGAGGGCACTTAAAAAGATTGTGTACAGACTGAAGCAAGGAAAAGTGGTAGAGAATCGTACCTATCAAATACTGCTCGTCCATGACAACTACTTGTTTACTTGTCCACCACAATTCCGTAGTCAGGAGCTAGTGGACTAGTATGTATTTTGATAGTTAAATGACCATGATATATTCAATTTGTTAAGCAGTCAAAGGAAGATTAAATCAAATTCACTCTGTCACCAAACAAGCAGGGATGAACGGTCTTTTTGGAAAAAGTTTGCATTTTGTTGATTTGCATGCATTAATCAACATGTCTTACATTCCAGGTGTCCCTCGACTAGTTGAGCTGTGTCGGTTTGTGAAGGAGAGAAACAACAGCGATGCGGTACTTGTGGCCTGCCTTGTAAGTAGATGATACTTACTGATTGATTCCATGTCCTACAGGGGGCGGTGGGGTAGCCTAGTGGTTAAAGCGTTGGCTCGTCACGCCGAAGACCCAGGTTCGATTCCCCACATGGGCACAAGTGTGAAGCCCATTTCTGGTGTCCCCCGCCGTGATATTGCTGGAATATTGCTAAAAGCGGCGTAAAATTAAACTCAGTCAGTCAGCCATGTCCTATAGCAGGGGAGAGACAATCTCTTCCAAAATGAATTTAACCATTATACCATAGGTTGGAGATCAGTTACACACCCATGGACTCCTTGCAGACTGTCATGACACACTAACATAATATTGGACAATTATTTGTAATTGTTTCAACAGTTCATAAGTAAGAGGAAAAAAACATCACCTCACTTTTGGTTTTAAAGTAAACCCTCACGGTGGGAATCATCCTCGATAATCTCCAGGGTATACGTTCCGATAAACCTCCACTATACCCTGGATGCATCTACGGCTCGGCCCGATAATTTTATTACCTGCCTTTGCTGGCTCTGCATTCTCACAGTAACCAGTCAAGTAAGCCGTTACAACCGAACTTGCCAGTGTCAACAAAGATAGCGGCCGTGAAGGTTTGCTCGCTGTGCGATTCAGATGTAGGGGGGAAATCATACAGTCAAATTGACAAGTCTGAAACCTTCAAAAAATACATGCAAGAACTCCTTCTACCTCTTTCAGAGTACCTGTGCAACAATTGTGTTGCCAAGTGTAATCGGTTAGATAAAACAAGCGAAAGTGAGTTATGATAGAAACCTTGTGAGTGGTACGCTCAACTTCCCAGCGTAGACACCTGATTGGATAAAAAGCCAGCCAAGGGAGGTAATAAAATTATGTGGCCGAGCTATAGATGCATCCAGGGTATAGTGGAGGTTTATCGGAGGTTTATCGAGGATGGGTGGGAATAGCCCTTGGACCTTTATCTATCAGGTTTACAACCAAAACCACAAAGGCATATTTTCTCCCATAATTAAAACAGGTCCCCCAGAATCTACATCGCCTGGCCAAGTTTTTATCGGCACCTTTGGGACCTGGAGGGAATAGTTCATCCATATCCATACCCTGAATCTTGATGGTTTCCTTGGGGATCTGGGTTAATATGACTTCAGTGTAATCTATATATGATTAAATGTGATTGGTTGGTCTGGCTTTGTTAATTTGACTTGAAAATGTTGACCCTGATGTTTCACCACACTCATGTTGTAGTCATGATAACGTCGGGATCAAGGGCGACAGTATATCACCTTGCACATGACTGATCTTCATTGCAGGCCTCACTGACGTAAGATCTGCACAACTGTTGAAGATCACAAGATGTCAGCTCAGGACTATCAGCAGCTCATCCAGCCCAGGCTCATGGACTCCTTCCTGATGTGTTCCCATAGCGACGAGAACTTTGTGTGAACTTGTCGCCAGTGGTCCACTGATCTCACTGATCCTGTCTGTAGCATCCTGCCGGAAGAACACGAGGATCACGATGAAGATGGTTGGTGGATGCTGCAGGAGACATGTTGAAGGAGCCTGGTGTATGTACATTGGCTGTTATTATTTGGAGCAGTTTGATATTGACTGTCATGGGGAGTTCTTATGAATTGAATGCTGACTTTGTTAAACTAGTTCTATTTATTTATTAACTTAACTCTTGTTGCTGCAACATTTCACTGAATACTAATGCTGCAGCTCTTCCATTCATCATGCCATGTTGTCCTGATGGTGCCAACACTGTGTATACTTCATGGACAACAGACATGACAGTGTGACCTCGGAGTTTACAGAATGTGTCAACAACATCCATGTAGGTTGTTATCACAGGACATTTGATAAACAATCTCCTGTGTCATGAACAGGAACCATGATCCATATCAGAGTTTCTCAGGCTAATTCACATTTGCAAGAGTGAGATTTCACTGAGTATCTAAAGAATGGAATAAGGTGTCACAGGGTTTGAATGGTACGATGAGTATCTGAAAATATAGATGAAAGTATTTTGAGAGTCTAAGGATATGGATGAAGGTCTCATGGAAGTCTTGTGGTAAATTATATACTGGTATCTTAAATACCCCAAGGGTGCACATGGAGGTTTTTTGAGAATCCATTGGTATGGGGGTTTCAGGAATAATTATGGTTTTGTGTGATGGTCATTAGATTGTCTGTGGTTATCCTAAGATAACTAAGGATACACAAGAAGGTTTCATGAGAATCCAGGGGTATGGTTTCACAAATAACTAAATGATGTTGATGGCAACCAACTAACTATGGAGGGAATGAGTGAAATATGCCAAGGTAAATGTATTTTGTTGCTCTGCAAGTATCTCAGTGGATGGACTGTGGGTGAAGACCATGCAGCTGATAAATATATATATATATATGATCTCATGATATGTGGTACCTTCCTGTTGAAACTGTGATGGAAACTACATTGATTTTATGATTGCCTGATGACACCCAGAATAGTTCACACATACGGTATTGTTATAATATCAGCAGCTGAGGTCCTGTTGGGTTATAAAACTGATATCTAGGCTCAGGCCATGACATTCCTGTTGAGTATTGTTGTTTCTGGATGAGATATTTTATGATTTTTATCACTATATTGCTCAAGATGCTTACTCAGGCTTCCAGGATGGCAACTTGCTTGTTGTTTTATGAGAATATTTCTCATCTTATAAGCACCTATTTGAAAATAGGTTGCCAATACCTAGGCTTCCAGAATGGCAACGTGCTTGTTGTTTTATGAGAATATTTCTCATCATTTTAAGAACCTATTCTCACATTGTCATCACATAGGCTTCCAGAATGGCAACGTGCTTGTTGTTTTATGAGAATATTTCTCATCATATTAAGCACCTATTCTCACATATTATCAGAACATTTCTCATCATATTAAGCACCAATTCTCACATAACCACGACACAGGCTTCCAGAATGGCAGTGTGCTGTGTTATTTTTGAGAATATTTCTGTCATATTAAGAACCTATACATGTATTTTGACTGTATTGCTGATTTTATTTGTTTCATCACACATAGAACTGTAGTTATAGTTAAACAAGGTACAAGGAACACATTGGTGGTTGTCATGGTGAATCATAAGTGAGAATTCTCATTACACATGTGCCATTTACAAACTGTGTTTCTATTATTCAGGTTGTAAATCCCTTTCTGGAAGTATTTTATTTTTAAAGTAAACTGGTGAATTTTTTTCATGAGTAAAAGAATGTTTTATATTTCCTTTTATCATGCTGTAGTATTTTAGGAATCATCATCATTGGTGTTCCTCTCAGTATTAATAGTTGTAGTGTTTTATTTAGTTTAACCCTGAGTGTCATGTTAGACATGCTTTTATCATCATGTGGTTACTATCAGAAGAAACATATGACGCTTGTTTTTTCTTGTTCCGTGATAGTCTAGAAAATAATCTTGTAACATGTGACATAAGTTAGGCCTTTAATTTCGCATATTGGTTTACAGATCCACCAAACCTAAAAAGGAAAAATTAAACAAAACAAAACCAGGATGGCAAGGGATTTTTGTACTCCTTACAGCAGAGATTACTTTGACAACTATCATGATAAAATTTCATGGAAATTCTTCTATCTGATGTCAGATGTATAATATTTATAAGGTGTCAAACATAGCATTCTTGTTTTTTATCACCTACCAATCTAATTCAGACTTGGATATGATTAAAAAAATGTTTTGTTGATATGATTAAAAAAACGTCTCTACAATTGACTTCATTCATGTTCTTAAGTTTGACTGACTTACAAGATTTTTCAAGATCAGTCCATCAGCTAAAAAGATAGCTGACCTTATGAAACACGCGAATGTGCAATGCTGAATTAGATAAAGGACAAGTAGGGTCTCTTTTACAGGGGTCGGTGGGGTAGCCAAGTGGTTAAAGTGTTCACTCATCACACTGAAGACCCGGGTTTGAGTCCCCACATGGGCACAATGTGTGAAGCCCATTTGTGGTGTCCCCGCTGTGATATTTCTAAAATATTGCTAAAAGCGGCATAAAACTAAACTAACTTCTTCACTGACTCATTCTGATTTTCCAGTATTTTGTATTATTATCCTGTTATATAATTCTTCAATGTTTGTAACCTAAAGCATGATAGATATGTGGGACAATGTCCTGAATACTAGGATGTCTCTAAAGTACACTGAATTATCAGACCTGCGTCATGTTCAGGCTCCACACTTTGTACATCTGTTTCAGTGGCAGGATAAAACTGATGTCTCATCACATAAATGTATAGACATTCCTACCAAAATCACAGAATTGCTTTATTAATTTTATAAAGTACGTATGCTGACTATGTAGAAATTTTCAGCAATTCTAAAGCCATCCTATGTCATTTTATTCTTTATTTCTCGTGATATGATAAAACAGTTTTCTAAATATATGGAACTAATTGTGTTATTATTTTAGGGCCACCAGTATTTTTATTGTCAAGTATTCAATTTCCCTCAGCTGTAAACAGTATTGTGTTAGTGTTGATGGGATGTCACCACCTGACATCGAGTGTACCTTTCCTTGCATAGAACTGTTCTTGCCATACTTGTAGTGAAAAGAAATACACAGTATCTATTGATTATCTCAGTCATGTAGAGATAGTTTCATAGCACACCTGAGTAGACAACTGTGTATTGAGAGTATTGTAAGAATTTAATACTGTTTTTTAAATTTATTGTAATTATATTCATAACCCATTTAATATTTTAACATTTGTTTTCCAAGTGTGTTGTATGTGTATGTTATTGTTAGTTTCCAATGAAATCCAACACAGTATTCTTCTGTTGGTTGCTGTAGGACAGAAATGTCCGAAAACTAAACTGTCCCAAAGTTTTCTTAGATGCAGAATTGGAAGGATCATTGTACTGAAATGTTTATTTATATTTGTTTGGAATATTTAGCAGAAAACCAAAGCAAAAAATCATTTAAGTGATTAGTGCTTTCTTTCAACAGAAGACTTTCAGGGTGAATCTAATCTTTACTGAGAACAATCTCCGACATAACAGAAAGTACGTTGCTTAACTTACAATTCTGTGCTTGCTTTCAAGCTTTAAAGCATAAAATACAACTTAAATTGAAGCGGTTTTAAAGCAATTGCCTATTGAAAGGTAAGCTGGGTCAAGCAGTAATGGAACTGATAACTTCTATGCCATTTGATTTAAAGTATATGTCCCGAGTCAGCGAAGAGGGAGATTTTAAGAAACAGATGCAAATACACATTATCTGAATATCAACAGAAAAAACCCCATTGTAGTCACCTTTAATCTACCTCAGGTCTTGAAATTAGACTCACATGACTGTAACCAGTTCTAACCTGAGGACACTTGTAATCAATGTAATCTAGATTCCAAGGTATCTGGACCAGTGAACGAGTGGAACTGACTACAAAGCCATATTTCATGACACATTCGACCTGTTAGTAGGAAGTATGTGTGATCGCTGATCACCTCGTGTGTTAGGATACTGGATAGATATTGTTGTGAATAAAATGCCAGTTAAGAAGTACTGATATACTGTGATATATAGTGAAATACTGTTAAATACTGGTCAGTGTTAAATCAAACTCACTCACTCATTATCAAATAGATAAGTATGTGTCATTGATAAAGGTCACTTGGATCTAATACGGGTCAGGTTTCAGGTTATCGTGGTCTTGTGCTGACCACATTGTCTAGTTTAAACAGTTAGATGGAAGCTTTGTCACTAAGCTTATTATCAGACCGGTTTATTGTTTGTGTGTCATCTACTTGTCTTGATGCTTGAGGCATGTATTTGGTATGTAATGTTGTACTCTGCGAGGGAAGGTGTTATACAATCTGTTGTATTATTCTGCAAGTTGGTTTATCACCTTTCCAGGTGACCTGATTTTTTTCAAAGATATGTGATCTATAAGGAGTGTAGAGGTATCTACTACTACTACTACTACTACTTCTGCTACTGCTGCTACTACTATCACTGCTACTACTACTACTACTACTACTACTACTACTACTACTACTACTACTACTACTTTTGTTTCTGCTACTGCTACTGCTACTGCTACTGCTATGCTACCACTACCACTACCACCACCACTACTACTACTACTACTACTTCCTCAGCTACATGAATGATATAAGATCACATTTTACTTCATAAGATCCAAACTTGTCTGACCATATACTTATGGCAAAAAGTAAGGGAACATTGAGGACATATAAACACAACACCATGTGAAGAATACTTCTTAACCCCAAGCTATTAACTGAGGTAGGTGTTAGTATAAAGTGTCACGACTGACGAAAGTGGCCCATCACCTAGAATGGAAGTTATCATTGCCATGACAAAGAAGTCCTTTCTTCTTAGCTGTTACCTTACACCATCAGTCCATATTGACTGACTGCTGTGTCTGCCTTGAAAGAAAACACAACTTAACCATGAAATCTACATGGTCTAGCTAGAGAGTTTTGTGAATAACACATGGTAACATATTCCTTTCCATGCATCTCTTGTCATTATCATTGTGATTATGTCTGTGAGGAGTTGGTGGTGGCTACAGTGGTCATGTGTCAGGCCAAGGGCTTGGGTTTGATCTCAAGACGGATGTAACGCTGGAAACTGCTTTCAGTAGCCTTACTCATTTTACTTATATTTGACCAAACGATTATTGGATCAGATTTTTCAATGTTTGCAATGTACAGGAATATTTGTTCTTCATAGTAGATGGATTTTGTTTATATGTCTTTTATTAGATTCTAAACACTGATGAAATTAATTTTTGTGTACCAGTACTTTCCAAAGAAAATTTATACTTAAATGCGGAAAATTGTAATTTATTTTCACATATTTAAATAATACATGATACATATCATACTTCCAGTTGTATTAACATATCCTAATTAGCAGCACAGTAGTTTATCAATTTGATCATATTTTGACTTGTTTGAATGGCATTTTAGAAGTTGAGACGTACAATATAGGACCAGTATTTTATGGATAACAACTTCTTTATTTCGTGAGTGCGGTGTTTCGATACAGATTCTTGATCATATTTTGGTCCAATGTGTGAAACCGAGCTCAGACTCTCAAGGTGACACGTGACAGGTTAACCACTATCTACTCAACCTTCTAGTCTCACAATCAATCTTTTGTGACAGATAGGGGTGATGTTTGCTTGCCAAGCTGATTGGTAAATATTATGATTCTCAGATTCCTTTCTGTATCTCATTTCACTACTTAATCTCTTCATCCCGCCCATGTCAGAGGTTACCACAGGATATAACTCAACTCTCCTCAAGGAACTGAGAACACAACTGATGTACTGACCAGGATTTTATCTCATACCCTTCAGCATGCCTACATCCATATTTGCTGATTCTGCTAGTATTATGATCTATTATCATTTTGATAAATTATTAGTTTATACTGTTTAACATATATATGAGTCATGTATATTTTTTCTACCATTTCATGTTTGTAGGAAAACAATTAGCCAGATTTATCAGTAAATTGTGAAGATGTAAATATTGCTCTAATAACAGACATACAGTACTAATATTTTCTTTCAAAATAACTTCTTCCATTTGTATTGGTATGTGTCCTTGTGTGTGTATCATATAAGTACCCAGTGTGTTAACCTTTTTCTATATCATATATTCTACTGTATCTTTCTCATGGTGTATTTTCAACATATTTTTGTCTTTTATATAAATGTAATTTATTATAATGGTAGTTTTACTGCTACTCCCAAGTGGTAAGTGTAATGCTTGGATCGACTGCCACTATTTTCTTGCCAGAAGGACATGTACAAGAAGTGTGCCATTTATTTTGTCTTCATCTAATGCTGAAAGATGAAGTCCGTGATTCAACATGTATTTCACTTGCTGTAGTATGCTGAAGTATTGCTGCAGTCAGTCATTTGTGCAATAACATTTTTATGAAATCTGGAGCAGGTCTTTTACACTGGTAGTATTTACTGCTGTTAAGGTCAATCAGATATATCCATTTTATCGATAATCAAAACATATGCTGCCTTTCTTGGAAAGTTCTGATGTCATTAAAACCATATAATCTGATAGGTCAAGCCACTGGAATATGGAGTTAAATTAGAAATATTACATTGAATATAGACATATCAGGGTATTTGTTATATAGAGAGATATGTTGGATGTATACAGGAGACAGTTTTATGATCTTAATCCAAACTTCATATTCCTGTGGCCTGTCATACTGAACTTTCTGTTATAGATTTACAGACTGTGTGTATAACCAGGAAATGAAATGCCATTCATTAATCATTTTCGTGAATAAGAACTCCAGTTTTTGTCCAAAGGAATTTACCTTTGTCAAAACATTCAGTACATCCTTTGAATTATCTTCTCATGTTGCATGTGTGAGGGTTGGAGCTGCTCAGGGTCAGGAATGGGGGACCTGATGGATCATTTGTGTGCACATCCCAGTTTCGGACAGAGACCTTCTTGTAATAATGGTTTTACACATCTTGAAATGTTTATTCGGATGATGTTTTTTGTGAAGGTAAGAGATGGGCTTTTTATCATGGACCAGATCATGGTTCCTTGATGATGATGATGATGATGATGATGATGATGATGATGATGATGTGTGAACTGTTATTTTATCTATTTTATATTTTATTATTATATGAAAATAAATGGTGATATGGTTAATGTATTTTCATTTTTGACTGATAATTTGGGATTTCCTCTTTGAAGACTATTTGTCAGTGACTGTTGCTATGATGCAGTAATGCTGAAAAACCGGGCATTGTGATGTCTGCCTGAGGTGGGGATGTTTGCAGTACCCCAGCTGGGACTGTATTAATTATTATAATGCTTTCACTCTTCTCCCTGGAAATAACACCACACAGTAAAGGTGACACCTTTCAATAATTATAACAAATATAGTGCACCCTGGTTATAATGCCACCCTGGATATGTTTTTGCCAAAACGGATTTCCTACCCTTTTAATACCCTGGTTATCATGCTAAACTGGATATAATGCCATTTGCCAATGGTTTTTGGAACAAAAGTCATTTCCCCCTGGTTATAATGCCAGTTATACTGGCTTCATTTGTATGCATACCCTGGATATAATGCCATATTTTCTCCTGGACAAACGGTGGCATTATAACCAGGGTATGCTGTATGTTGAAAGTAGATTTCATCTTACAGTTCTGACGTTATTAAAAGCGTGTGTTTATGATATATATATTCTTGCCAAAAGGTAAGTATATCCTGGTTTAACATTGGAACCCATCACAAATACATTCAAGTCATCTGTTATGTGAACCATAAAAATGGGAACATGGTACACATTGAAATAGATAACTACATCACTCGGTTTTCTTACTCAGGAATCAAAATTGAAAGTGTTTGCATGTTTACCATATTTTGTACAAGGCCTTGAACATTGCAACCTTGATCAAACAGCTTTTAAAGAACACCCTCAGACGCTCAGGGTCGTGAAGATGCAAGATAGAATCATGGGTGTTTCCAACCCGTGCTTGTCAAAGGAGCCGAATAGCGGGATCAAGTGGTCAATCTCGCTATCTTTGTTGATACATATCATCGTATCCCTCTTCTGTAGAGCGATGCTGATGATGTCAAGCAATGTGCTGTTTGGTCCGGACAACAAACAGACAAACGTATGGCCCCTTTAAAGTCTGAAATGAGCATGTTCGATTTACTAAAGAGTTGGGAAATTTAGACATTAGAGACGAATAATGCAGGACATATAGGGCATTGTGTGTCGATGTCCAAATTGAAACAATCAGATAACTTAGAAGTCTGTACGCACATGAAATGTATGTGAAACCTACAAATAACAAAGAAATGTCATACATTTAATAATTATATGATATAATTACAAGTAAAATGGGAGTAGAAGTTCAAGGGCAGTACGATTACAATGGCAGTATACAATATAATAGCAGTAGTAATAGCAAAAAGGTCAGTGATAATATTCTCCTAGCAGTAGCAGTGGCGGAACTTCCAAAACAGGCGTAGGCTGGCTATCCACGGGAACATAGCGATCTCCACAGGCTGTTGGTGTTGATGTCATGTTAGATGAGCGATCAAAGTGCTTCCTCTGTATATAGTTTATTTCTCTCCTAGAACATTCCATAACATGCAGGAGTGACCTCTGCTGGACAGGTCTAAGCTGTTCTAAAAAATTCTAGCTTACACTTGACTCCGGGTTTCAGTATAGTAACAAGCACACCACTGACGTTTTACAGAAACATCGAAATACAATTACAACATTCTTGTACAATTAATGACATCGTCACATAACAATGGAATGTTGACCTGTCTTGGTCTTTTCTAGTCACACTAAAGTTGTATGCATAGATCTAAACGGTATGGATCTAGATCCTCTCATTACATCCTGTTGTTCTATAGAGAGACATTCTCCTTTTTTCAGGCGACGAGTTACCTTGCCTTTGCATGTGTTTGTATCATGTGCCGCTATTCTTGCTCACTTTTTCGCGAATACCTTGTATTATCACTATTAGGTAGAGATTAATTTACACATGCTCTTGATATAGTTGTAATCAAACAATGGAGATTTCACTTGAAATTTGAAACGGTTTTGTGGCTTTTATATATTTGAATATTGCAGGTTGTTGCATGAAACCATTAGGAACTAAACCGCATGATTAGTGCGTAAGCATCAGTAGGCACTGGGTGTTTTCGACACGACTGTATAAAGAGGCATGTACTTGGTATGCCATGGACAGTTGTCTTGTCACCGACGTGACCTGTCCTTGCACGATGTTTTCTAACATGGGCTTGAGTGTATTTAATGTGTAGGCATAATGCGCCCGCACCCTTCACACACATGCATATACACTACTGTTCAAAATAAACTATACCCACACCACTGCGCCTCCGTAAGGTTTGTTTGACAAGTAATGTAACTAGTTCTAGGGAAAACATACATTTAATCCAATAATCCAAGCGTACAGAGCTTATATTAGATATCTGTGGCAATATTCACCTGTTGTCGTGGTCATATATGAACGTGAAACACACTGGCATATTGATCCGTAGCAGATCCAGAATCCACATCCACGTCCATATAACATTAAATTACCGCCTTCGTGAATATGCATACCGTGTGTGATGTTCCACAACAACGGTTCATTCAGAAAACACTGTGTAATATACGAATAATGAGTGACCCGCTTTTACAATAAATATTTAGATAACAAAACTCAAGCGAATTCATAGATGAAAGTTCAAAATGGTTAGCGCAAGAAATCCACCCTCAGAATCGTTCAGACCGTTCAGATGCTGACAAACGAGACCGTTCAGATGTTGACAAACAGCATGTCCTAAAAGTGTGTTAGTAAGAAAGGTCTGATTTGATCTGCATTCGAGAGAGCTTCAGTTCGCATTGGTCCCGCTTCTTGTAGCGTGTGTGTGAATAAAAGAGACTGGTACTTACCGCTCCGACAGATAAGGTGACCCAACTCACGGGGATCGGAGAACTATACTACGTGACACGTGTGACCGGTAGATTATGCCGGCCCTGTTGGTATGTCTCCTGTTGGAATGGGTTAACTGAATTCTTTTAGACGATGGAGTTCTGTGATGGAGAACCGTTCTGGGTAAATATTTTTTATCTATAGTCACTTGAATATGATCAAGGTCTGTGTGTACGTGAATGTTGATATATAGCTTAAGACTCTCGATAAATGAGGGTTTATTTAATATCGTTTGAAATTAATTACCAGAAATTTTTTTTCAGTGAGCTTTCTGACCAGGCATTCTGGGTAAGAAATAGATGCTCCTATCAGCCTGGGTCCCGATCCACAAAGCGTTCGTAACATTACGATCTGTCGTAACTCTATAGTTCAAGGACAAAATTTATTCTTATGTTTTCACTTATTCATACATGATGCCAAGGGTTCAAACCAAATACTGAATGGTCACACAAGTGTCAGCACTCAATATATTGTAAACAGTGCCAGCTTGAATATCTGGACACAATGTTTTTGAAAGACTGAAATGGGGGTGTCCTTTAAAAACAGCCCCGTCTAAATATAAATCAAGCAATCCAAATCACTTAATGTTGATTATGACGGGAAATCATCCAATACTGTACTGAACATATTTTATATGATATTATCAGAAGGCATACCGTTATCCAAGAGGTACAAAATGACAGATCGTTTTTCATTTTCTGCAATTTTAAAGAAATATTATACCCCAATGTGTTGTGATGACTAATATCTGGTTAACCACATTACCCAAATATGTGAAATTTTGGATATGGTTTTGCTAATGATTCCTTCAAAGTATAATGGAAGCTTTTCTAACATTGGACATCGAGAATATAGTTAGGCCGACTACTTTTGGGACGCCCCTCGTATGTTAAAGAATGGGAGCGCTAAGATCAGGTGATGGACCTAGGTTACTTGGTTGATTGCGTTTCATCCTTTTCCAAATGCAGGATTGATGTATGTAGTCAGTTACTGGAATGTTTGGTCCAGTCCAGTCAGTGGGCATTTTTTGTTTGACCCTCAGCGCATTATCTGTAACACACACAATCAGCATTTCCTGTGAACGTTTTATTCCCCCCCCCCCCCCCGAGAATATTTTCTCCAGTGTTTTCGAGATCTGATTGATATTTTCTCAAAAGAAAAGGTATCTTGTTCATTCTGAACAATGTTTCAAGAGTAAACAGAACAGAAATGAGGTTAGCGTGTTTATACGATTTTCCAAGTATCTCTTTCAAGAGGGAGTGGCTGAATTGCGTTTAACGCCGTTTTGATTGGGTCGTCCCGATTAAGTGTCTGGAGTTGTCTGCCCCATACCCGTGCTCGTGGGATACAGCTGAGTGGTATAGACAGAATACCTACATCACCCTGGGCTTGTCTCCCTCCTCCAGCTGACACGTCGCCATACTGAGCAGACTGGTGTTCCATGTCTCGTTACATCAAACTCACTCGAAGTAACTCGCCAGAACAGAATACATTCATATTTGGCATCTAAAATCACATTTGTCTCGAAGTAAGTTGTCAATCCAGAACACCTATTTGGTACATTAATTCACACCTATCTTGAAGTACATAAAATCACATTTGTCTCGAAGTAAGTTGTCAACTCAGAATACCTATTTGGTGTAATAATTCAAACCTATCTTGAAGTATATAAAATCACATTTGTCTCGAAGTAAGTTGTCAATCCAGAATACCTATTTGGTATAATAATTCAGACCTATCTTGAATTACATAAAATCACATTTGTCTCGAAGTAAGTTGTCAATCCAGAACACCTATTTGGTACATTAATTCACACCTATCTTGAAGTACATAAAATCACATTTATCTCCAAGTAAATTGTCAACTCAGAATACCTATTTGGTGTAATAATTCACACCTATCTTGAAGTATATAAAATCACATTTGTCTCGAAGTAAGTTGTCAATCCAGAATACCTATTTGGTATAATAATTCAGACCTATCTTGAAGTACATAAAATCACATTTGTCTCGAAGTAAGTTGTCAATCCAGAATACCTATTTGGTATAATAATTCAGACCTATCTTGAAGTACATAAAATCATATTTATCTCGAAGTAAGTTGTCAACAGAGAATCCCTTTTTTGGTACAATAATTCGCATCTATCTTGAAGTGTCTCCTCCGTCCAGAATACATCCATATTTGGTTAATAAATTCTCTTATATCTGGAAGTAACTCGTGCGTCTAGAATACATACGTATTTGGTGCATAAAATCATATTTATCCAAATAACTCATCAGACCAGAATACACCACTATTTGGTACATTAATTCACATTTATCTCGAAGAAATTGGTCAGTCCAGAATACATCCATGTTTGGTTCATATGGTCAATGCGTCTAGAATATATCCACAAATTCGGGAAACTTATCATGTCTGTCTCAGAGCTATCCATTGATCCTACATGCACCCTATTTGAGGTGAGGTTAGGTGAAATTAGGTTTAACGTCGCGCTTGAGAATATTTCGCTCATATGACGACGTGCATGCGTTTGTATGTGCGGCTGCTTGTACTAGCCCAGATGTAAGCTGGTTTTATAGTGCTAGCCCACTGAGATACCATGCCGCAGTGAAGCATGAATACCCCACTCAGACACAGTATACTGACTCCGAGCCGACCAGTCCTTGTTGTACCCATTAATGCCGAGCGCCAGGCAGGGACCAACAAGTACCATATTTTAACGTCTTTTGGTATGACGCGGTCGGGGATGGAACCCGCGACCTTCCGCTCTCCGGGCGGACGCTCTAACCACTACACCACGGAGGCGGTCCCACCCTATTTGAACGCAGAGCACACACACCATTCTAGGCCAGAAGAAAGGCCTTCAGTAACCCCTTCTGGCCTTAAAACGCTGTGTCGGATGATCATGGTCGATGATAGCGTGTCCTCATTCCCCGATGTGAATTGTCGCTAATAAAACCGATAATTAGATTGTCTTCACAGAATTCGATTATTTACATGCCGCTGTCATATTTCTGAAATAATTTTTGGAGCGTCCTCAAACATACATACAAATCAAACAAACAACGTATATTTCCTTCCATATCGAGTTACGGGCGTTACCTATATCTGCTCTTATTTCGAATATACCCGCCAATACATAAATTCCTTCTGCTCTGAACAGCATCTAGGTCTCCGTAGGGGTATCGCTAACACACAGACACAGAGACGCAGGTACACAAGCACTCGCTAGTGATAATACATTGAACCATGAGGACCTATGTCCCTGACGTGTCTCGGGCCGGTTAGGATTATACGCTCCCCAGATATGAGAACTATTTACTCGTTTCATGAAAATGGTTTGGTGTCGCAGCGAGTTGAGTATGTGTTTATTATTCCAGTAATATATGCTGCCTCAAAGGCCGAAATATTAGTAACTTAATCCGAGTCATGTGATTCAGGTCACGTGTATGAAAGCGGAACCAGAAGCGAAAAGGCCACCTGATCAGGACCTCAAGATTCACATGTAGAAATCGACCCGTGAAGATCCGGGTGACAATTTGTCTTCAGCAACCAATGCTTGTAAAAGGCGGTTAACGGGATCGGGTGGTCAGGCTCGCTGGCTTGGTTAACACACGTCATCGTATCCCAATTGCGTAGATCGACGCTCATGCCATCATGTTGATCACTGGATTGTCTGGTCCAGACTCGATTATTTACAGACCGTCGCCATATAGCTAGACTATTACTGAGTGGCGTAAACCTAAACTCACTCACTCACATGTAGAAGTCATGGTCGAACCGCAGACCCTAGATTACAATATTTAGAAGCTCTGCAATTTGACACCAGCGGTAATTGGCTATAAACTGGGTCACTAGGGGATTTCCTCACCATGCAAACACGTCGTTGTGTACCCGAACAGCGGTCAAAGGAGTAAGGCCAAACTCACAAACGCATCGCCCCGAACTTGAAACTAAATAGTGACCTCAGACCGTCCTGTACACACAATTATATCTAGTTCTAGCCCATCTAAAGCCAATGACCTTGTTACTATCAAAGACTGGTACGCTAGCTGATGTCGTGTTCTCAGTACCGGTGTGACTCGGCCATCTGGAAGTAGTACTCGCTCGTTATACTGCATTTTGTAACCACTATCTCAGTCACGTGGGGATGTTATTGTGAGATAAGTTGATAGAGTTTTTTTTATGTAGCGTTCAGGATTACAGCTGTCACCTCACAGTTCTCAATGTTCGGACTCGGCAAAAGGGCAGTCTCATATGCAGCGTCTCTGTGAAACTATTTGCCAGAAAATCTGAAATCTGATCCCATTATTTCCTCTTGTATATACTCAAGACATTTCTGTTAAAAAATCTTGCGTTTGCTATTGTTTTCATTTGGTTCTTGTTTTACGCCGCACTCAGCAATATTCCAGCTATATGGCGGCGGTCTGTAAATAACCGAGTACGGACCAGACAATCCAGTGATCAACATCATGAGCATTGATTTACGCAATTGGATACGATGACATGTGTCATCCAAGTCAGCGCGAGCTTGACCACCCGATCCCGTTAGACCTCTTACGACAAGCATTTGCCAGTGGAATCTGGCAAGGGATACAGCTTTTGGCAAATATTGTTGACACCAGGTGTTCGGGAAAAGGGTAAACTTGTCCAAATGGCAGCATCAACAAATTACACAATTTGCATAAGAAGTATCCGTTTGTTGCTCGACTCAGTAATACTCCCGCCATGCAACAACGCCTGAGAACAATCAAGTACAACACATATGGAGTTTACGCCTGACGCACAAACCGTTAATCTGTATTTAAATATGTAATTAAGAAATATATACCAATAGCCCTATAGAATTGGTAACAAAAGTATACTCATTGTTTTTGACACGATATTTGTATTACCACATATATGTGCACACCGATGGATAATATACAATGCAGTGTTAACATTTGTTACAAACACTTTCAAATATATCATATATCTATGTGGGAGAAAGACGTTTTTATTAGTGAAGCTGTTGCTATGAAGCAAGCATCTGGGAAATTCTTCAGTTTAAGCCTATATTATCGTCCCGATAATATACAGTTGCTAATCACACATTGTACACGGGTCGTCCGTTTCTATTAATAGTAACTAATAATAATATACAACATTTGTATAGCGCCCTATATGATTTAGGAACTAACCCACCTCCAGGATCAGATGTAACGAGAGCCGGAAGTTTCGAATAAACCCTTTGCGTTGAGAATATTGTTACGAGGTGATTTCCAAATTGAAACAAAGTGTTAACACAAAAATCGTACGCGTAAAGCAATCTCATCGTATCTTTAATTGCGTAAATCGATGGTTGTTGATCACTGGATTGTCTGGTCCAGACTCGATTATTTACAGACCGCCGCCATATAGCTGGAACATTGCTGACAACCAACAAACAACAAACAAGATTATGACATCGGTAAATAAGTCATTTATGAAAGGCACAGTTTGAGTTTTACGATAAAATATGACACCAACGATAAGTAACATGGCTTAGAATAATGTTTAGTGACGTGACGTATCACGACGTATCTGCATTTGCACAAACGGTAGAACATGGTTCTGAACGATGTCGTGTCGATGGCGTATGCTATTCAGATTGCAGTAAACGGTGATGAGTTCCACCCAACAGCTCTGGGCGTCGCGTAACACTAGCGTCGCCAGAAACCTCTCCTGGATGCCCGTGGACCCTTGCACGACCTTGGGGCAAACCTGGACTCATAAGTAAAGATAGAATTTCAGTTTTGACTTCTGAACCTCAGATGATGTCTTCAAACCGGATGTGAGCCAACATCTGTCTTTCTGTTTTTCGATTTGTCATTTCTGTACCTATGTTCCAATATACGAACACACTCAGCAATATTCCAGCTATATGGCGGCGTTCTGGACCACACAATCCAGTGATCAACATCATGAGCATCTATCTACGCAATTGGGATACGATGACACGTGTCAACCAAGTCAGCGAGCCTGACCACCCGATCCCGCTAGTCACCTCCTACGACAAGCATGGATTGCTGAAGACCAATTCCAACCCGGATCTTCACGGGTCTATAAAAGTAATAGACGAGTAATAAGAGTAATATATAAATATAAGAGTAACAGGTGCTTCTTACTCTTCTATTCTATATTGCAGGACAGTAACCTGACTCTCACCAGCTCCTGGCCCCGTGTGACGTCATGCTTCAGGAACACAGCGCTAGTGTACGGGCCATGCGGGATGCTGTTGGTGACGACGCCCTTCTACGTCTACTACCTCGCTCGGCAACCAACCAAGCGCTACCGCCATACACTGCTACAACAAATCAAACTGGTATGAAAATAAATATAAAATGTCAACACCGGAGAATCATCAGTCCAAATATATCCGCTAACAGAGATACTATTGGGCGTAATAGTAAAAAAGGGGTGTACATTAAATAAATGGACCAATTAAAATACGTGATGACACCAGGTGTTCGCGAAAAGGCCTATCATCTACTGCCCTTCTGCACCCGCAACGCAGACCATGACAAATCTGTTTCTGACAAATTCATTGCGTAACATAGCACTACCATATACATTGTCCAAGTAAAGGTATACTGAGTTACACATCATCTGAAAATGGACCAGGGCAAGGGAAGAATGGTCAAACTCCATACTGCTTACAAAACAGCCATGGGATCAAGGTCTCTGGAACATTCTACCACTCGCCCTAAAAGAAATAGGCTCACGCTTTCAAAACTGCCCTCAAGAATTGTCTACAATTTAGCGCCATTGACTTTATTATTATTACTTTTGGAAGATCATCTTAGACGGTATTTTAATCAACTTGGAAATTCTATATTTTACCCAGGGTGATGTTTCAGAACATGTAGAACAATATGTTTCCTGGAGAACAAATGAACTCTTTCCTCCGTTGTTGGAACGAAGTATCATATAATGGTCATGGTACAAACTGTGCATGACGCCATCTTCAGAATCTACAACAGTGCATTTAATGACGTCACAATGTAAACACCTGTTCGCAAACAATGAAGTGATTATGTTAATATGTAGGGAGCAGTACTGATTAGAACGGTACCATTCAAGTATGTCAGTACCCTCATGGTAAATATTGTATGGTAGTTGTTGAATTACACCATAACCTTAACTTTGAGTGACTTGAATGACTTGTCCTGACACCTGTCTGACGCAGACCTTACATTCGTGTATTCAACATTGACGATTGGTCAGCACACTTTGTTCTCGGTGTTCTGTAAAACTGATATTGAACCGGTATATCATGGAAGTGCATATCCTAATGTTTTCCATTTCCAGTTTTCCAGCGTGATACTGATTATACTTGGCGTGGTGGAGATCATCAGCATGTTCTCGGACAAAAGGGACGGTGGGCTGCCCATAGACTTCAGAGCAGATGTCATTGCGCCAATCATACAGACTACGACACTGGTGAGGACGGCCTTGACTTCCTCAATCTTTATACAGGGGCGGTGGGGTAGCCTAGTGGTACACTCGTCCGCTCGTCACGCTGGAGACCCGGGTTCGATTCCCCACATGGGTGATTTCTGGTGTCCCCCGCCGGGATATTGCTGGAATATTGCTAAAAGCGGCGTAAAACCATACTCACTCACTCACACACTCTTTATTTAAATAATAGAAACGGCTAAGGCCGAGAATAGATATGATGCCAGTGAGTGAATGTAATTCTCCGCCACAGACAACAATGTTGAAGTCCCACCACCGTGCCTGCAATTATTCACACATATTACTGTGCTTGTTTTCAGGTTGTTGCTCTACTATTCATTATACTCGAGATGACGAGAGGTCTCATCACATCAGGAGTGCTATTTATATTTTGGTTCCTAATGGTGGCAGCAAATATTATACCGTTCTACACATTCATCATAGAAAAGGTAAATTTGCAATGAATAAATATTTCTTACTGAGGTCTCCTACTTGTCTATTGTCAACCAAAACATTAATTGTCTGCTCTTGAAGATGATATTAATCTTGTGACATAAGACATATTCCTTGCCAACAATGCACAATTTCACATTCCTCGCAACAATACACAATTTCATATTCCTCGACAACAATGCACAATTTCACATTCCTCGCAACAATACACAATTTCATATTCCTCGACAACAATGCACATTTTCATATTCCTCGACAACAATGCACAATTTCACATTCCTCGCAACAATACACAATTTCATATTCCTCGACAACAATGCACAATTTCATATTCCTCGACAACAATGCACAATTTCACATTCCTCGCAACAATACACAATTTCATATTCCTCGACAACAATGCACAATTTCATATTCGGTATGTCATGCAGTCCCTCCTTTACTTTACTCACAAAACAACTCAGCAAATTCGAGGAGTTTTTACAATTCTAACAAGAATGAGCACTGAAGCGCATACATGTAACATTTGTACCTTATCTGTTATCTGAGCATAGTATCACTTACACTTCGGCTGTTGCTCCTTCTTGTGTAATCCAGGATTACAGTGACACGACACGCATCAGTGTGTTCTATATCGGATACTTCTTCATGCTGGTGGAACTCCTACTTCATTGTTTTGCCGAGAAGAGCAGGGATTACTCCAATGTTGTGGTAAGTTGCTTTCTTTGGCCTTGTTCCGGTTATACTGCCAACCACAACAGAATGTAGAATATGTATGTTTAGATAGTATGTACATGGTTCCGGTTATACTGCCAACCACAACAGAATGTAGAATATGTATGTTTAGATAGTATGTACATGGTTCCGGTTATACTGCCAACCACAACAGAATGTAGAATATGTATGTTTAGATAGTATGTACATGGTTCCGGTTATACTGCCAACCACAACAGAATGTAGAATATGTATGTTTAGATAGTATGTATGGTTCCGGTTACTGCCAACCACAACAGAATGGTTCCGGTTATGTACATGGTTCCGCTGCCAACCACAACAGAATGTAGAATATGTATGTTTAGATAGTATGTACATGGTTCCGGTTATACTGCCAACCACAACAGAATGTAGAATATGTATGTTTAGATAGTATGTACATGGTTCCGGTTATACTGCCAACCACAACAGAATGTAGAATATGTATGTTTAGATAGTATGTACATGGTTCCGGTTATACTGCCAACCACAACAGAATGTAGAATATGTATGTTTAGATAGTATGTACATGGTTCCGGTTATACTGCCAACCACAACAGAATGTAGAATATGTATGTTTAGATAGTATGTACATGGTTCCGGTTATACTGCCAACCACAAACAGAATGTAGAATATGTAGAATATATGTATGTTCCTAGATAGTTTATGTACATGGTTCCGGTTATACTGCCAACCACAACAGAATGTAGAATATGTATGTTTAGATAGTATGTACATGGTTCCGGTTATACTGCCAACCACAACAGAATGTAGAATATGTATGTTTAGATAGTATGTACATGGTTCCGGTTATACTGCCAACCACAACAGAATGTAGAATATGTATGTTTAGATAGTATGTACATGGTTCCGGTTATACTGCCAACCACAACAGAATGTAGAATATGTATGTTTAGATAGTATGTACATGGTTCCGGTTATACTGCCAACCACAACAGAATGTAGAATATGTATGTTTAGATAGTATGTACATGGTTCCGGTTATACTGCCAACCAACCACAACAGAGAGAATATGTATGTAGATGTATGTATACTGTGTAGAATATGTATGTTATAGTATGTACATGGTTCCGGTTATACTGCCAACCACAACAGAATGTAGAATATGTATGTTTAGATAGTATGTACATGGTTCCGGTTATACTGCCAACCACAACAGAATGTAGAATATGTATGTTTAGATAGTATGTACATGGTTCCGGTTATACTGCCAACCACAACAGAATGTAGAATATGTATGTTTAGATAGTATGTACATGGTTCCGGTTATACTGCCAACCACAACAGAATGTAGAATATGTATGTTTAGATAGTATGTACATGGTTCCGCCAACCACAACAGAATATACTGCCAACCACAACAGAATGTAGAATATGTATGTTTAGATAGTATGTACATGGTTCCGGTTATACTGCCAACCACAACAGAATGTAGAATATGTATGTTTAGATAGTATGTACATGGTTCCGGTTATACTGCCAACCACAACAGAATGTAGAATATGTATGTTTTAGATAGTATGTACATGGTTCCGGTTATACTGCCAACCACAACAGAATGTAGAATATGTATGTTTAGATAGTATGTACATGGTTCCGGTTATACTGCCAACCACAACAGAATGTAGAATATGTATGTTTAGATAGTATGTACATGGTTCCGTTATACTGCCAACCACAACAGAATGTAGAATATGTATGTTTTAGATAGGTATGTACATGGTTCCGGATACTGCCAACCACAACAGAATGTAGAATATGTATGAAATATGTATGTTTAGATGGTATGTACATGGTTCCGGTTATACCAACCACAACAGAATGTAGAATATGTATGTTTAGATAGTATGTACATGGCTCCGGTTATACTATGTACAACAGAATGTAGAATATGTATGTTTAGATAGTATGTACATGGTTCCGGTCATACTGCCAACCACAACAGAATGTAGAATATGTATGTTTAGATAGTATGTACATGGTTCCGGTTATACTGCCAACCACAACAGAATGTAGAATATGTATGTTTAGATAGTATGTACATGGTTCTAGCTAACACCAGAATCTAGACTATTATCTTTTCCGGTTATACTTGTAAATATGTCCTGCTTTAGATGAGTATGTACATGGTTCCGGTTAGCCAAAGCAGTTAGGTCTGAGATACACACATAGTTCCGGTTACACTGCCAACCTGCTGACAGAATTATGGTCCTACTGGCCCAATCCGGGACCGGAACTCAGGAATACTGCGTCGCAGCTCGGACTGAGTTGCGTCCCTTGGCAGTATGTATTGACCACTGATCCACCCGTTCAGCAGGACGCTGGTCTGCAGTGGTGACGTATGTGGCCTATGATCTATGGAAATATGATATGCTAATAATTTATGTAAATAAGGAATATATACAGCGCTCATGTCCACTGTCTTTCTCCTCAGTATCCATGTCCTGAGCTGGAGTCCTCCTACCTTTCCCGACTGACCTTTTCATGGACAACAGGGTAAACATCATCACGTGTCTAGTACAAAGAACAACAAGTTAACGTAACAAATAAAGTTTTTTAGCCTGCTATGAAGTCGAGATCCATTTAGGCAATGAACTCACACAATCCGTTTAATAAAACCGAAAATAACAATTTGGTCTAGCATCTTTCATAACCTTCCTGTGGTCGTAAGTCATCTGTTATCCCAAATGTCGCACTGACAATTGGAGGAAACCTCCGCATGTTCAGAAATGTACTCGTGTTTTGTTCTCTGTTATATCCTAATTTATAATGGTTGCCGTGGTATTCGCGCTATTTCCTTGTGCAGTCTATGTGATGATATATATTTTAACAGGCTCATGGTCCAGGGATACAAAAAGACCTTGACGGAGACTGATGTGTATGACCTTCACCCTCGGGAGCAATCTGCAGGGGTGATAGAACGTTTTGACAAGGTGGTGAAGCAGACTAGGAAAGACTTGAAAAGAGATTGGACCAAGTCCAGCTACCAAAATGGAAGTATGAGGTACGTTTGTATTCTGTCAAACGTGAAGAAAACATCATAAACTGACTCTTGAAGGATTTTCATGTCATGAGTATAACTACTGGACAGGTGTTCACCCATCTATACACAAAGAACTAAGTTAAGCACCCCTTGACATATCTCACGATTGAATGAGCCCCAATGTTAACCCTTTGGGGCATATCTGGGACATGATTAGTCGTCGTGTGCAACATAGGGATCCTCCTGTACAAAACCAACAACCCACTGGAAGCTGCTTCACTCGAGGAATGGCGTAGACTGGTCCTTCAGAGGATCAGGAGGCTTACAAGATGTATGAGGAGAAGTGCGCTGGCTGTCATACAGTCACATGGAGGTTACACTCCGTACTGACTTTGAGGGGCGATGGGGTAGCCTAGTGGTTAAAGCGTTCGCTCGTCACGCCGAAGACCCGGGTTCGATTCCCCACATGGGCACAATGTGTGAAGCCCATTTCTGGTGTCCCCCGCCGTGATATTGCTGGAATATTGCTAAAAGTGGCGTAAAACCAAACTCAATCACTTACTGACTTTGAATCGCGTATGACACGCAAAATGACATCTTGAAGATTGACATTCACCAATAAATTCAACATAACACATTCCAGAGCCATACTTGTACAGACATGGTTTTGTATAAAAATCAGTGTTTTTAAAAAATTAATATGAGCAATTATCATAATAAAATCATCAAGGATTCCAATCATTTTCCAAGTACATGTACTTCCAGGCCATCTGCACAGTAGGTCATATGATCCCAGTACCCAAGTCACTGTGATGCAGGCAATGCAAGTCAGGTGATCCAAGTGCCTATATTACTGTGGTTCAAGTCAGTATAGTGTTTATATATATGATTGCTACAGGTACACCAACGGCTCGGTGTCGTTGAAAGCTGATGGAACAAGCAAAAAGAACTACGGCTACACACCTCTACCAAATGGAGACATGACTGAATCCACTCCGCTACTCACATCGTCGTCACCCCCAGGACCAATGTCGTCGTTGTGGAAGGTGTTGTTCAAGACGTTTGGGTTGGAACTGTTGCAGGCACAAATATGGAAGGTCATCAACGATGTGCTAATCGTGACCAACCCTCTTATACTAAAGTGAGTGAATGAACAAGTGGTGGTTTGTAATGCTACATGACAAAGAATGAACTCTCGACAAGACCAGTGGTTTACAGTATGAGCTATGTTTTGAGAAACAACAGTCCCAAATAACACAAATTCGTCCAATAACATATTCTAATCAAATGACTTGGAATCCTTGCATCGGCATATAAGGTTACCTGGCGTCTTTGGAACATTTACATCTGTGACACCTGTGTTAAATGCAATCAACAGTTATATTTGATTTTGAAGCTATTATAAATAAACATCACTTAGTGGCTGTTTCTCATAACAAGATCAAGGAAAGCATTTCAGTCATGAACTCTAGATGTGTCTGAGTAGACTCGAAAACCGCATTCAACAGAGGTTTTTTTAGCTATGTCACAGTGTGTTTTCTAATGAGAGGTGAAAGCCCGAAGGAATGTAACTCTTGGATGTTAACCACCATGGTGAACCAGCAAGCATGGCAAGAATGGGATTCGAACCCAAGATCATGGGTTTCTCGCATGCCTGAGGTAGCTTTTGCTGCAGACCGAATATGAGAGTCTCTAAGGCAATAGATAATAGTTTAAATTATAATTTCTGAAAAAATATAAATATCCCTCTAACAGACTGGCGTCCTTGGATGCACTGTCCGCGTATCTAGACTCGCCACTTTAAAGGATAAAATTACTATACATCCATGGCTTAGCATTCAGTACAGCCTTGGAACAAGGATAACTGAACTTCGGCGCCTCGAAGTGTACCAGATACTTAATAACATTGAATGTATATAGTTACATTGCAAATGATTGTCAGACAGATTAGTTAGGCATCAACTGCTGACATCTTGGTTCCTTGAAACTGAGGCTTCCCCTATGGGGTACCATTTAATTTGCACATACGAGACCATTGCTATGATTTTGATTATACCTAAATGAGAGTTATCATAAAACGTGACCTTTACAGGGCTCTCATTGCCTATGTTGGCGATGCCAGTAGTCCTGTCTGGATTGGTTACCTTCTGTCCCTGGGGATGTTCGTCAGTGTACTGTTGCAGGCGGTAACCTTCCACGTCCTCAACCACTACACCATAGCCCTCGGCATCAGGGTCAGGGCAGCACTGACATCGGCAATATACAGAAAGGTAACATAGACATCGGCAATATACAGAACGGTAACATAGACATCGCAATATACAGAAAGGTAACATAGACATCGGCAATATACGGAAAGGTAAGTGACGCATAGACATCGGCAATATACAGAAAGGTAACATCAATATAGCAAGTGTTTCACATGTAGTAGAAAAGTTATACATTATTCTCATTAAGTGAAACCGGCGAGATTTAGTATAGGATTAGGTTCTTAATTGGGAGAATCGGGGGCCCTGTATGGATAGTTTGTTTGTTTGCTCTTTTACACCGCACTCAGTATGTAAATTATCGAGTTAGTTACCTCTTACCCAAGCATGTGTTTCTGAAGACCATTCTAACCCGGATGTTCACGGGTTCTGTATGAATAGATTCTGGCAGGTGTCTGTAATAACGACTGATTCTGTTTTATCTTATGGCCTACCCATTTAATATGATAGGAAAGTGTTACGGTTAGACGTCAGGAGAAACCAAGTAAAACGGTCTAGGACAGCCAGAGACACAGAATGAAAGCTACTTTCAAAAAAATATGATAGTCCAGAAGGTTATGTCCTCTGTGTGCCCATGTTCAGAGATTCAGGGCCATCATCCCAGTATGCGCCTACGCCCAGCTTGTACTCCCGTGGGTCAGCAGGGTAACTCGGTGAAGGAATAGTTGGCTCGTACATCCAAAGACTTCGAATCCCACATATTTACAAAATCAGAAGAAATATTCCTTGAAATATTGGCAAAATTGGCGAACCCATACGAACCCTCACATCAGACCACATACCCTCCTCTTCAGGCACTTACGATGAACAATGAGGCAAAGAAGCAGGCGACGTCAGGTGAAATTGTCAACCTGATGTCCGTGGATGTGACGAGGGTACAGAAGTACTGCGAGCAGATCTACTGGGTATGGGCAGCGCCGGAAGAAATCGCTATATGTCTGTATCTGCTGTACTCAACACTTGGAACAGCCATGTTCGCCGGCCTGGCCTTCCTGCTACTGATCATTGGCCTCAACGTCCTGGTCATGGCGAGGATGAGCTTGCTGCAGGCCAGGCTCATGAAGATTAAAGACCAGAGGATCCGACTGGTGAATGAGGTGCTGAATGGTATCAAGGTACGGGTCTGTCGTATCGTTCATTCTGGGAAAGAAGAGTGTCGTTCCAAAGCTTCACAACCAATCCAAACCTGGAATTCCCTAATAATCGTTTGATGAAAATTGTACTGAATGTGTTGGATAAAATTGTTCTGATTTCTTGGATAACAGATATGAAAATAATAATAATAGATTTAGCATGGATGGAATGCTTTCATAACTCTACCTTGATTGGCTTGATAACCTTGGTCTGATTGCCTGGGTATGAATGAGCAGATCGGGTAGCCTTGTACTTTCTATTTCTCAGATATTGAAACTATACGCCTGGGAGGAGTCATTCAGGGATAAAATACTCCGGGTCCGGAAGTATGAGTTGATGGTTATATGGCGGATAGCTCTTCTGCAGGTCATCCTCACCGTCACCTCCATGATAACCCCTTTCAGCGTGAGTAGCGTCACTCCATGATAACCCCTTTCAGCGTGAGTAGCGTCACTCCATGATAACCCCTTTCAGCGTGAGTAGCGTCACTCCATGATAACCCCTTTCAGCGTGAGTATCTTCACCTCAACGATAACCCCTTTCAGCGTCACTCCATGATAAACCCTTTCAGCGTCACTCCATGATAACCCCTTTCAGCGTGAGTAGCGTCAATCCATGATAACCCCTTTCAGCGTGAGTAGCGTCACTCCATGATAACCCCTTTCAGCGTAAGTATCTTCACCTCAACGATAACCCCTTTCAGCGTCACTCCATGATAACCCCTTTCAGCGTGAGTAGCGTCAATCCATGATAACCCATTTCAGCGTAAGTAGCGTCAATCCATGATAACCCCTTTCAGCGTGAGTAGCGTCACTTCATGATAACCCCTTTCAGCGTGAGTATCTTCACCTCAACGATAACCCCTTTCAACGTCACACCATGATAACAGCTTTCAGCGTGAGTAGCGTCAATCCATGATAACCCCTTTCAGCGTGAGTATCTTCACCTCAACGATAACCCCTTTCAGCGTCACTCCATGATAACAGCTTTCAGCGTGAGTAGCGTCAATCCATGATAACCCCTTTCAGCGTCACTCCATGATAACCCCTTTCAGCGTGAGTAGCGTCAATCCATGATAACCCATTTCAGCGTAAGTAGCGTCAATCCATGATAACCCCTTTCAGCGTGAGTAGCGTCACTCCATGATAACAGCTTTCAGCGTGAGTATCTTCACCTCAACGATAACCCCTTTCAGCGTCACTCCATGATAACAGCTTTCAGCGTGAGTAGCGTCAATCCATGATAACCCCTTTCAGTGTGAGTAGCGTCAATCCATGATAACCCCTTTCAGCGTGAGTAGCGTCACTCCATGATAACCCCTTTCAGCGTGAGTATCTTCACCTCAACGATAACCCCTTTCAGCGTCACTCCATGATAACAGCTTTCAGCGTGAGTAGCGTCAATCCATGATAACCCCTTTCAGCGTCACTCCATGATAACCCCTTTCAGCGTGAGTAGCGTCAATCCATGATAACCCATTTCAGCGTAAGTAGCGTCAATCCATGATAACCCCTTTCAGCGTGAGTAGCGTCACTTCATGATAACCCCTTTCATCGTGAGTATCTTCACCTCAACGATAACCCCTTTCAGCGTCACTCCATGATAACAGCTTTCAGCGTGAGTAGCGTCAATCCATGATAACCCCTTTCAGTGTGAGTAGCGTCACTCCATGATAACCCCTTTCAGCGTGAGTAGCGTCACTCCATGATAACCCCTTTCAGCGTGAGTAGCGTCACTCCATGATAACCCCTTTCAGCGTGAGTATCTTTACCTCAACGATAACCCCTTTCAGCGTCACTCCATGATAACAGCTTTCAGCGTGAGTAGCGTCACTCCATGATAACCTCTTTCAGCGTGAGTATCTTCTCCTCAACGATAACCCCTTTCAGCGTCAGTGTCACTCCATGATAACCCATTTCAGCGTAAGTATCTTTACCGTCACTTCATGTTAACCATGATTAGCTATGCTACCTTTACCTTTACGGCAATGTTTACAATAAAGATCCCCACTGATGTTCATCCTTTGTTAACCAGTGTCACTGGGTTCGCAGCCGTGTGGTCAAAACGGTGTGACTCTCCTTCCACAAGAATCTGACATATGGTACTGCTCAAAGCGACGCTGAACCCACTAGCTCTATTCTTCATCTGTGTATTGTGCTTCAGCGTATGTCCTATCCATGTCCCAACTTCTATGCGTGTGTTGCAGGTCGGCCTGTTCACCTTCGTGGCCTACGTGTTTCTCAATGGATTTCATAGCCTGGACGCCGGTACAGCTTTCGTTGGTCTTTCTCTGTTCAACACAATGAAGAACCCTCTGACACTCTCACCCAAGATATTCAGTGACCTTGTGAAGGTATTACATTTATTAACCGTCTTACCTTTAACCAACGTTAGGTCGCCGCGAATAGCTGCAACATTTCTGATGCGGCGTTGAGCAATACACACTCACTCACTCACTTAACTAACGTTAGGGCCGACTTGGTAAAAACGTACGCTCGTCATGCCCAATCCCTGAATTCGATTCCGTCCTTTTGCTGCGATATTGCTGAGAATAGCTCACTCGCTTCATGATCAATGATATTTTTAGATCGTAAGTCAAACACTTCAGTTACAAAATACTTCAATTCTATGGGTGTCTTTAGGACAATCATAAAATAAAATTAAAAATGTTCCCTGTATATCTAGATGCTCCCCTTTCCGGCAGTATATACAGAATGTTTGAACTGGGTACACATGAACTATTATTAAGAACATATGTGTGTCAGTCGGCATAGGGATACAGAGTGAGTGAGTGAGTTTAGTTTTACGCCGCACTCAGCAATATTCCAGGGGCGGTGGGGTAGCCTAGTGGTTAAAGCGTTGGCTCGACAGGCCGAAGACCCAGGTTTGATTCCCCACATGGGTACAATGTGTGAAGCCCATTTCTGGTGTCCCCCGCCGTGATATTGCTGGAATATTGCTAACGTAAAACTATACTCACTCACTCAGCAACATTCCGGCGGCGGGGTTACAGAGGTTAACCCGGTTCTATATATTTGGCAGTAACCTAATCTACAATATAGATCAATTGTATCTCACCCTCCAGGGTGATTAGATATGAAATATTGTAATAAATATAGATTATTTTATTAAATTGCTGATAAAAGGTTTGAGTTTTCTGAACTTTTTCTAGGCTCGCCTAGATAATGTACTATATTTTATATCAAAAGACATTCGGTGATATTTTCCATCAAACTCATTGAGTACAATGGTTAAAAGTAGTACATTCAGGAGTGGTGTATCCTGTGTCATTACTGTCAACCACCTTTATATCATCTGTCAGTGGTGATGTATTTACAGTCTGTGATCAGTGTGAACCGAGTAAACCGGTTTCTGCATTATGGTGACCTAAAAGCTAAACCAGCAACAAGAAGAGAAGGAGGTACGCTTTTGTTTTGTATTCAATAAAATCTATATCAATTTGATGAATAGTGTGAGTGAGTGAGTGAGTTTGGTTTTACGCCGCTCTCAGCAATTTTAGTCCAGCTATATGGCGGCGGTCTGTAAATAATCGAATCTGGACCAGACAATCCAGTGACCAACAGCATGAGGATCGATCTACGCAATTGGGAACCGATGACATGTGTCAACCAAGTCAGCGGGCCTGACCACCCGATCCCGTAGTCGCCTCTTACGACAAAAATGGGTTATTGAAGATCAATTCTAACCCAGATCTTCACGGGTAAATAGTTAGAGACCATCCAGCTTTCGTGACAGTCACTTTTTGGGATGGATTTTTGATAAATTGGACGCGACCTTGTAGTCAAGATTCGGTAATCTGGAAGTTTTATCATTTTTTTTATTTATATGTGGATAAACAAGAATCTACAATGCGATACACGTGTTTTGTATTACCCGTGCATGTTGACAGGTCACCCCCTGGTTGTCAATAACGGGACATTCACGTGGGACCAAGAGGCCCGACCCGCTCTCAGCAAGTAGGTACAGCCTATCTGAAGGGAATGTCATGTAACGCTTTGCCTAACAAATGGCGACGCCGACTATTTCAATATCACTTTGTAGAGTTGCCTCCCTTAGGCCTGCCAGAAACCTGTGATCCTGGATTCAAACCCTTATTTGGGCATGAATGATATTTCCTGGTCAGTCAGCACCATATTTGGTCAACAAAATACTGCTTTCTTAGATCTGCATAATTTCGGGTTTTCGTGACCGCTACAGCACTCTTTAAAAACGAGGTTATAACAAACTCACTGCTTTCAGTTTACTTTAACTTTTTGCAGATATATAGAAATATCGTCGTGTTACTTACGGACCATACTGATAAATGATCCGTCATTATGATGAGGTACTTTTAGTTGTTGGCGATCCAAAGCCTATGTTTTAGATTTACTAAAACAAACGTCAAGGAACAAACACACGTTGTAGAGTAGTATAAAGTGGGTGGGCATGTTGCCATAAACTGACGGGTAATAGTGAGTGAGTTTGGTTTTACGCCGCTTTTAGCAATATTCCAGCAACATCACGGCGGGGGACACCAGAAATGGGCTTCACACATTGTACCTATGAGGGGATTCGACCCCGGGTCTTCGGCGTGACGAGCCAACGCTTTAACCACTAGGCTACCCCACCGCCCCGACGGGTAATAGAGAGTCCACCATGTCTGGTGGTGGCAACAAATGAAACCAGCAAGAAGTGTGTTTCATACGGGTATCATAGCCGTGTTTTGGAATTAGTTGTTTCGGCGACTGTTTTCACCCGTAATATTTTGATGACGTCGTAACCATTTTGGTCAAATACAAATATTAAGTGTATACACGTTTTTTTATAACTATGACGCCACCTTGTTGTTTGTGGTATATCACCCTTTGCTCTGTCCCCAGCATCACGCTGCGCGTGTCCGAGGGGAGCCTGGTGGCTGTTGTTGGACAGGTGGGGTCGGGCAAAACATCCCTCATCTCCGCCATCCTCGGTGATATGGACACCATCGACGGTTACGTCAACGTCAACGTGAGTTCTCTTGACCTATGTAGGCCATTCACACACATAAGCCTGACATAATACATTTGTTCAAACAAACGCCAATGTGTATTCCGGTCGAGAATATCCCGGGAAAGTGTCATACTTTCCAGATGTCATTGAATTCACTCATTACATCGATCACTAGTTTTGTTCTGGTCCGTTTTCGATTGTTTACAAGCACCGTTATATAGCAGTGATAATTCTGAGTGGGGCATTAAACATCAGAGAAACTGATATATGTGTAGGAGAAAGTCCGAAATCCGTCGATTAGTTTCGCTCGTGAAGCTCGTTCGAGGCCGGTAGGCTGAGGACTGGCTTCACGAGCGAAACTAATCGACGGATTTCGGACTTTCTCCAACTTAAAACAAAGTCTGCACGTGTCGACCAATCTACACTGTATATTAGTGTTTTCGTCGTGTGCTTTTACTTGGAAAGTCACACTCGCACGCAACGTCCATGCGCAATGCACGAGCTCAACAAATCTACGGATGTTTCGTATCAAATGCTGAAGCGTTCTGTACGTGGTTTACTTCGAATTCAGTTGTACTTGTTGGCTGTTTGCAAAGGAAGATGGATCCCGATGAAAGTTTGTTTATAACGAAAATCAATTTTGTCCTTCGTGCGGGGAACGAGCACAGACTACGCAGAGTCGGGGAGAATACGCAAATCCAACTGATCGGGCTAAAGCATAGAAAATGCGACCGAAAAACCGTCACTGTCGGGGAGAACAAACCCCTCGGTAAGTCTAGCAGTTCATTTAACGTGGTAAGAATCATGATGTAATTACCTGTAATATGTTGTTGGGGAATTTTGGTTCAGTAAATGATAATGTTATATTTCACATGTGTATAACAAAACAGAACTATTATTTTCGAGACTTTTAAGGATATGTTATCTATAATACATGGTACATTTGATTTGTATAAAGGTGCATAAAGAAACTGATTATTATAATATTTTCCTAAAATTAATTCGAATACTGTTTGAACACTTTTATTTATCCTGCACGTGTTTTATTCAAGGCCACACAAGGGTTCGTGTAACAGTCTGTACTCGAGACCTCTCCGCTACCAGGTAGCTGATGCATGGTTTGCTCACGTCCCCATCGGTGTACACCCACTAACACAGACGGTAGTTGACTCTACAAGGCAGCCAGATTCTCAGGGTTTTTCACCAACCACTGTCTGGGGGCGACACTTCTCTACTGCGACACGCCTCTCTGGTATTGATGAACAGCTCATCACTGAACGGACCGGACACACGTCATCAGCAGTCCGTAGTTAAAAGGTATTGTCTTTTACAATAATTCGTTAATATCTGACAAATGAGGGAATGCACGTAAAATGCTGAATGTTCTTAACATTGAAGCTTTTGGGACAGATCATTTACATTTCTATAGATTTCGTATTTCTATAAATATTTCATGATTTTAGTTAAGAAATATTGTAAGAGATATCAGTTCTAAAGTAGGACAATATAGACTTGTAGACAAATTTCTGCTTTTCTTGTGTCACAATAAGTTGGAAACATTAATACTAGTACCAACATTTACAGTTAAATGAATAATAATTCCATCGTGTTTTAATAACATTGTTTGAAGCTCACATATGATGTCTGTTTCTGATTAAATGGCATAATAAGTGATATAATATACCTCCACACAATTAAACATCTGAGGGTATTCTACAACAACACTACTGTTTCTTTCAGCCAGCGTCTAAAGAAATGGCCAGGAGAGAAGATGATATGGTCCAAAGAAATGGCCAGGAAAGAAGAAGACATGGTTCAAAGAAATGGCCAGGAGAGAAGATGACATGGTCCAAAGAAATGGCCAGGAAAGAAGATGACATCGTTCAAAGAAATGGCCAGGAGAGAAGATGACATGGTTCAAAGAAATAGCCAGGAGAGAAGATGACATGGTCCAAACAAATGGCCAGGAGAGAAGATGACATCGTTCAAAGAAATGGCCAGGAGAGAAGATGACATGGTTCAAAGAAATAGCAAGGAGAGAAGATGACATGGTTCAAAGAAATGGGCAGGAGAGAAGATGACATGGTTCAAAGAAATGGCCAGGAGAGAAGATGACATCCTTCAAAGAAATAGCCAGGAGAGAAGATGACATGGTTTAAAGAAATAGCCAGGAGAGAAGATGACATGGTCCAAAGAAATAGCCAGGAGAGAAGATGACATGGTCCAAAGAAATGGCCAGGAGAGAAGATGACATCGTTCAAAGAAATGGCTAGGAGAGAAGATGACATCCTTCAAAGAAATAGCCAGGAGAGAAGATGATATGGTTTAAAGAAATAGCCAGGAGAGAACATGACATGGTCCAAAGAAATGGCCTGGAGAGAAGATGCCATGGTCCAAAGAAATGACCAGGAGAGAAGATGACATCGTTCAAAGAAATGACCAGGAGAGAAGATGACATCGTTCAAAGAAATGACCAGGAGAGAAGACGACATCGTTCAAAGAAATAGCCAGGAGAGAAGATGACATGGTTCAAAGAAATGGCCAGGAGAGAAGATGACGTCGTTCAAAGAAATGGCCAGGAGAGAAGATGATATGGTTCAAAGAAATAGCCAGGAGAGAAGATGACATGGTTTAAAGAAATAGCCAGGAGAGAAGATGACATGGTCCAAAGAAATAGCCAGGAGAGAAGATGACATGGTCCAAAGAAATGGCCAGGAGAGAAGATGACATCGTTCAAAGAAATGGCTAGGAGAGAAGATGACATGGTCCAAAGAAATGGCTAGGAGAGAAGATGACATGGTTCAAAGAAATTGCCAGGAGAGAAGATGACATCGTTCAAAGAAATGGCTAGGAGAGAAGATGACATGGTTCAAAGAAATGGCCAGGAGAGAAGATGACATCGTTCAAAAGAAAAGAACTGCAACAGCAACAAAGAGCTCATCGGCAGCATCCGGTGGCACAGATGAACCGACTTCGGAGAAGAGATTATTGGAGTGAAATAAATATAGTCCTTAAAGACGGCAACCCCACCTCCGTTCAGTTGTATTTCTTGAATCAATTAAAAACCTGAAACCTGATTTTGTTATATTTTCTGGAACTGTTTGTGACAAGGTGCACCGATGGACAGTTATCACAAAAAAGTTTATTTGATTAAAGTCCCTTCTCGTACATGTGTTGTTCACGATTACAAGGCTTCATCGGGTGTGTTTTGTCGCAAATGGATTGTACCAGGTATTCTGGGTGGCTTTTTAGTCACGTGATGGAGAAGGGGAGTGTATTTCAAAGGCTGCAAGCATGTAGAACAAATCAAGAATTTTCGTACATTCTAGACAAAAGACTGCTATTTGATGTCTCAAATTGAAAATATTCATGCTTAAACAACTTTGCTTGAAATTATGAAAATGAATAATACTTCATGGAACTTTAATTTAATGAAAATCAATATATGTTTTCGTAATACATAGAATCTCACAGAGTGTCTTTAGATCAATTATATCAACACTATGCGATGGAAGGTAAACACTACGAGGCTCCCCATATTCATACGTTTCCTTGAAAACTGCGTGGGACTTCATGAAGTGTATATATTTGTAAACCTGAATCAAGGTGCAATGACGTATGTTTATGAAGACATTATTGGTATTATGGGAGGGAAACGTTAACCATGATAACTCATTGAGAAAAATTGTGTCGAGAAATGTTTTCATTATAAAGGTATTTATATTAAAAATGCTTAAACAAATCTTTGTAGTATTCATTTTCCCCCCATATTTCATCTATAAATCTCTTAATACTTTTTCAGGGACGGGTTGCTTACGTACCACAACAAGCTTGGATACAGAATGATACTGTTCAAAATAATATTCTGTTTGGCAAACCTTTGCACCGGCGGAACTACATCAAGGTTCTGGAGGCATGCGCACTAAAACAGGATCTGGATATACTTCCAGGGGGCGACAAGACGGAGATCGGGGAAAAGGTTCAGTCACCAGTGCTCAGTTCCTTCTGGTCCATCTCTATACCGTTTGGCTGAGCAGAAAGAGTCGTGTTTAAACTCTTTGTTATATTTTCAAATGTTTTAAGCGATTGGACATTTAGACGAGACATTCTGTGTTCTCCTTGTTGTTGGTCTGTTTATTGTAAGCGAGTCGCGAGTTCAGCTCGGAGTGGCAAATTCAAAACGTGGGAAGTGGCCAAAACTTCTAACTTATGCTTCAGGTATATACATGATCTGATATCGTTCAGTAATGGTCAGGTCACGTCCCGGATTTGTGACCCATATGAGGTAGAAAAAGACCACCTAAATGACCTCGCCTATTTGATCTTTTGATAATTACAAATATACTTAAAGTAATAATAATCTGTCTACAAGAATACTCAGCAAGTACTCTTCCAATGGTCAACTTTTCCTTTGTGTCGAACACTATTCCACCAGTTCCAGCATTTGGTGTCTTGATTTCACAGCTGTTTGGGTATTATTTAGCATGTTCTTTCCACAAAGATGTCAACGAGCACAGAACGGTTAGACACACGACACATGTGGGTCAAGATAGACTCCACTTTTCGCGAAACCGTGCATCATTACAATATGATAGCAATTTGTGAACACATTCTTATGATATAATCTGAATCGTGCAGAGACATGTCTTATGACTTGGAAAAGCTTGAACGTCTGCAGTGTCTAGAATATTCTTCGTGTTTCCTATCTTGTCGTTCAAGTAACTTCTTCAGAGAAGGTTCGAAGGTTTTTATTTTTTCTCAACTTCCACCAACGGTGGTACATGAAAGTAGTGAAGTGAAAATTTGCATCATTATATACACATATACACCAAGATGGCATCGGAGATATAATTGAGGCAGGATAATGTACAATACAATATACATGTACATACATATTCATATATTTCACAGCTGTTTAGGTATTATTTAGTATGTTCTTTCTACAAAAGATGTCAACGAGCTACAAACTGTTAGACATATACATTAGAGAATGATACAATTTAATCTTATGACTCTAAACTTCTATTGATACATTTAATAAATTTTGACAAGTCTGTAACCATTTAGCTGAACAAAGTAATCTTTTGAGAATATTGACGTACTCGAGGTATGTACAGCTGCCGCTGTTGGTGAAGAGTTTGGCACCTGAAAAGATAGTGAAACTCATCACCGACAGCGGGTGAGTTACATAATTTACATAAACGATCATGAGAGCGTATCTAGCGAGGGCTGTCATCTACATCTAGAGTTTTCCTATCTCGTTATCAGGGAATCAACCTGAGTGGAGGACAAAAGCAGAGGGTGTCTCTGGCTAGAGCTGTCTACAACGATGCTGACATCTATCTCCTGGACGATCCTCTCAGTGCTGTCGACAGCCACGTGGGCAAGCACATCTTCAGTAAAGTGGTGGGCAAGACCGGACTTCTTCAGAAGAAGGTAGTCAGACAAGCATAATCTGAACTGTTGGACAACATCGAGTATACTGGTTGTTAAATAGTGGACGTATCTTCACCTTTTAAGCTCAACACTGTATTTTATTGTTTTCTGATGCTGATTTTATGTTTCCTATATTGATGTCAGGACAGAATAATATGAAAAACTACAATACATCACTATATATTTGATTGAGATGACAAAACTGTAGGATACATAAAGAAACAAGAGTAACAAATATCACACAACAATCGAGTGAAAAATATAACATAATCTTATTTTATAATGACCGTTTTTTACATGCAATTTTTGTCAATACGATAGTGAGGTTTGCTGACTTTGTTCATGAAAGACATCGTCATGGTTCATGATCGACTATTAACCGACATACAGCTGGAATATTGCTGAGTTGGGCTTTGAATAACAAACATTTTCTTGAAAATAAAGCGTACAAGCATTTTCATATAAATTGTTTTACCCTCTGCAATAGTACATGCATGTCACGAAATGGAGACAACAGTGGTTGACAGCACGAGGATAAGCTGGGTCAGAGTAGGCATTCCAGCTGTTTAAATTACCTGTCATATTATAACGATTCACGTAGATCTGCAGAACTTGAAAACTCCGTCAAAATAACCAAAGAAATGTATCAACAAATTTGTATTGGGAATATACACATTGAATGAAATTAATCATTGAATATAACACAGACAGATGCACCAATAGCAACTATCGCTCAGTATGTGAGGTTTCCAAGTTACTTTTGTCATATTTCTTTGAGAACTTAATCCATTGTCTAGCTGTGGCATCAGGGGAACCATGCTCCACTCTGGATGTTGGTCACTCTCACATTAAAGTTTGTATTTAATACGAATAATATGTTGTGAAGTTAGTAACACAGTGGTCCATATTCCACAGACACGCATTCTGGTGACCCACGGTGTCCACTGGCTGCCTCAGGTTGACATGATCGTTGTAATGACCAATGGCAAGATCTCTGAGATCGGTTCGTATAACCAACTGATGAGTCACCATGGCGCCTTTTCTCAATTTTTGATGACATATTTCACGGAGCCTAAAGAAGAAGAAGACTCTGAAGACGACGTTGGTATGAAACATCGTGTTTATCTCAATACTTTTGTAGATAGTGATTATCAGTAAGAGCATCGATCATCGATATCTGAATAGAGTGACACACAATGAGCCATGGCAAACATTAGTCTGTGAATGGTATGCGCGAAGCTTAAAGGTTGTATCAAATATCGCCTGTGATACAGTGCACACCGTCGATTGTATTTGTTACATCCTCGGGATCAGAAAGGGTAATTCTCTTCAATAAAATGATACTTTTGTCCAGTTCAGGAGATGGAGAAAGGAAGTATTTAAGCGGCTGAAGGTGCTCCACACTACCGACAGCGAACTCGAGTCGTCAGCAGATGAGTTTGATCGAACTATTGAGAAAATGAGAAGGTGAACGAGAAGTTCTGAATTAATTTCAAAGGGGATATATTTGTAGTTACTGGTGGTTTAACTGCGCCCTCAAATGTATGTTTCAGGTGGTCAAATCACTCGATCAAACTGATTTTGTTATTCATTTTAACCGTTACGATATCACAATTTTGATGTACCTAAGGCTTCGGTTAAACGTTTTGGTCAGACTCCTTTGGTTTGACTATGTCAATCCATCTGTATAAAGAAGCAAATCAGCAAGGAAGGGAGCACAAATTGGTGACATTTGTCGAAATGTCGCATGGATGTCACAACAATGCTTACGTTTGTTATAGATATTATATTGTGCCTTCAGAGATTCACTGCTGGAGGGATTGTCTTCCTCAATAAGAGTAAAGCGTGATAGGAAGGACAGCAGGGTGGAGATAAAGGACATGAACAAGTTGATAGAAGAGGAGATTGTGCAGTCAGGTGTGGTGAGTGTCAGAAAAAGTTGTACAAACAGGTGTGGTGAGTGTAAGAGGAGGTTGTGCAGGCAGGTGTGGTGAGTATAAGAGGAGGTTGTGCAGACAGGTTTGGTGAGTGTAAGAGGAGGTTGTGCAGGCAGGTGTGGTGAGTGTAAGAGGAGGTTGTGTAAGCAGGTGTGGTGAGTGTAAGAGGAGGTTGTGCAGACAGGTGTGGTGAGTGTCAGAGGAGGTTGTGTAAGCAGGTGTGGTGAGTGTCAGAGGTGGTTGTGTAGTGAGGTGTGGTGAGTGTCAGAGGAGGTTGTGCAGGCAGGTGTGGTGAGTGTAAGAGGAGGTTGTGCAGGCAGGTGTGGTGAGTATAAGAGGAGGTTGTGCAGACAGGTGTGGTGAGTGTAAGAGGAGGTTGTGCAGGCAGGTGTGGTGAGTGTAAGAGGAGGTTGTGTAAGCAGGTGTGGTGAGTGTAAGAGGAGGTTGTGCAGACAGGTGTCGTGAGTGTCAGAGGAGGTTGTGCAGTCAGGTGTGGTGAGTGTAAGAGGAGGTTGTGCAGGTCAGAGGAGGTTGTGCAGGCAGGTGTGGTGAGTGTGAGGAGGTTGTGCAGGCAGGTGTGGTGAGTGTAAGAGGAGGTGGTGCAGGCAGGTGTGAGTGTCAGAGGAGGTTGTGCAGGCAGGTGTGGTGAGTGTAAGGGAGGTTGTGCAGGCAGGTGTGGTGAGGAGGTTGTGTAAGAGGTGTGGTGAGTGTTGTGCAGTCAGGTGTCGGAGAGTGTCAGAGGAGGTTGTGCAGGCAGGTGTCGTGAGTGTCAGAGGAGGTTGTGCAGGCAGGTGTGGTGAGTGTAAGAGGAGGTTGTGCAGGCAGGTGTGGTGAGTGTAAGAGGAGGTTGTGCAGGCAGGTGTGGTGAGTGTAAGAGGGAGGTTGTGTAAGAGGTGTGGTGAGTGCAGGCAGGTGTCAGGTGAGTGTCAGAGGAGGTTGTGCAGGCAGGTGTGGTGAGTGTAAGAGGAGGTTGTGCAGGCAGGTGTGGTGAGTGTAAGAGGAGGTTGTGCAGGCAGGTGTGGTGAGAGGAGGTTGTGCGTGTGGTGAGTGTCAGAGAGGAGGTTGTGCAGACAGGTGTGGGTGAGTGTCAGAGGAGGTTGCAGCAGGCAGGTGTGGTGAGTGTAGAGGGAGGTTGTGCAGGCAGGTGTGGTGAGTGTCAGGTGTCGTGAGGTTGAGGAGGAGGTTGTGCAGGCAGGTGTGGTGAGTGTCAGAGGAGGTTGTGCAGTCAGGTGTGGTGAGTGGTGTGGTGAGAGTGTCAAGAGAGGTTGTGCAGGCAGGTGTGGTGAGTGTGAGAGGAGGTTGTGCAGTCAGGTGTGGTGAGTGTGAGAGGTCAGAGGAGGGTTGTGCAGTCAGGTTGTGCAGTCAGGTGGTGAGAGGTGGTGATAGAGGTGGTTGTGCAGACAGGTGTAATCGGCAGGTGTTTCCCCTGACAGAAGAGAGTATTATGCAGAAGTGTTTACAAATATAGAGAACATACAGAAATTGGAATCACCTTCATTTTGTTTTGACATGCACATGTTTGCCCAACAGGTAAAGAAGGCTGTGTACCTGTCGTACGCCAAGGCCCTAGGTATAGTGAGCTCTGTGGTGATGTTCCTGTCCTTCATCCTGTACCAGGCAGGCACTATAGCGGCCAGTGTCTGGCTTAGCGAATGGACAGATGACCCACAACTGAACAACGCCTCCCTTCCCTCGGACAGTCCGGAAAGACGAGAAAGGACAGATCATTTCATGGGCATTTATGGTCTCTTTGGAGTCGTTCAAGGTACTTCTTACTGTTCATTCTGTGTTAGGATGTTTCCCATGTCAAAGATTCAGTTTTACAGTGTCTAATAACAGTGTCTCGTAGTCTCATAACAGTGTCTCGTAACAGTGTCACGTAACAGTCTCTCATAAAAGTGTCATAAAAGTGTCTCGTAACAGTGTCTCGTAACAGTGTCTCGTAACAGTGTCTCGTAACAGTGTCTCATAACAGTGTCTCATAAAAGTGTCTCGTAACAGTGTCTCGTAACAGTGTCTAATAACAGTGTCTCGTAACAGTGTCTCATAAAAGTGTCTCGTAACAGTGTCTCGTAACAGTCTCTCATAAAAGTGTCTCATAACAGTGTCTCGTAACAGTGTCTCGTAACAGTGTCTTATAACAGTGTCTCGTAACAGTCTCTCATAAAAGTGTCTCATAACAGTGTCTCGTAAAAGTGTCTCATAACAGTGTCTCGTAACAGTGTATCATAAGTGTCTCGTAACAGTGTCTCATAACAGTGTCTCGTAACAGTGTCTCATAACAGTGTCTCGTAACAGTCTCTCATAAAAGTGTCTCATAACAGTGTCTCGTAACAGTGTCTCATAACAGTGTCTCGTAACAGTGTCTCGTAACAGTCTCGTAACAGTGTCTCATAACAGTGTCTCATAACAGTGTCTTGTAACAGTGTCTCACAACAGTGTATCATAACAGTGTCTCGTAACAGTGTCTCATAACAGTGTCTCGTAACATCGACTATCTACAACACGACTCCGCGGGAAATCCCTGTGTATTTTTCGATTTTTAACCGTAAACGAGGACAAGCGTTTCAAATTAACGCATAAACCGTCTGAAAGTATGAATACCAGAGAATATGACACCAACGGGATACCTTTCGGTGATACAGCACAGCAGGCTCATTGTAAAGGTAGTTAACGGCCAAGTGCAACATTCAGATAACTGAAGTCACGGCATCTGATCATGAACACCCTTTTAACAACTTCCCCAGGTAAAACACTGGGTTACAATACACAATATAATATGTGAGGTTGCAGTTTCATGTTATTTCACGGAATGCTCATATACAATATATCTTACACTTCGTTGTAAGGTAAAGGGAATCTAAGATCCGTGTAGTATTTTCCCGTCATCCTCACAAAGTGATAACCTTGGGGATTTATTACGTAATTACTATCAAGATTAACGGGATTTTTCTTCGTATAATACTGAGGGTGTTTTCTACACAGCTGCCGCCATCACGGTGTATTCTATTCTGATGGCCGTCACGTCGGTCCACGCCTCCAGGATCGTCCACAGCAAGATGCTAGGTCATGTACTTCGTGCGCCGATGTCCTTCTTTGACACCACACCCATTGGGCGGATTCTGAACCGCTTCTCCCAAGACATCGATACTCTGGACAACGAGCTGCCCATCACGCTGATGATGTGGATTGGCCGTGTGTGCACGGTACTGAGTACCGTCATCGTCGTCAGCTACACCACACCATTGTTCCTGGCAGCAGTGGTGCCCATCTTCATCATCTACGCTATCATACAGGTGCGTGCAGGTGCAGCTGGGGGTCAATAATGAACCTATTGTTTCAGGGCACATATAATCCGTCAGTGCCTCCAATATACAATGAGCTGTGCTAACGTGCACCTAATCCTATAAGATATGCACAAACGAAACATAAAACAACGTCGAAAAAACCTTTAACAGATATTTCTATTCTAAATAAAAAGACGTGCTAAACATTCCTTTCCGTGCTACGCATAAATGTATATTGATTTCAAAAACTTTAAAGCCAAATATAATTTTTGGATACATATATAACGTTTTGAGCGTGAAATGGTTACAGAATGTAAAAGGATTATATTCATAATCTGTACAAATGATCGATCATATCTTCATTATGTATGTAAATATTTGCGTGACAAATGTTGAAATGTAATGGTTTTATCTCAAGTGGATAAAATGGCAGTATCAGCGTCAGTACCACACCCTGGCGAAGTGACCAGCAGTAGCCCTGAAACGTTGTGTTTGAGTAATAAAGACGTTGTTAAACAATTATACTCCTCGTCGTGAGTCTTCAACCCGTATTATACCTTGAAAATGTTTCTGTACCAACCACACTGTGGAATTATTACAGGCTTTTTTGAATGGCATTGAGACGTGATACACATTAGGAATACACCTGATGAAGGAGTAAGGATATACTCCGAAACGTTGTGTTCCTCATAATAAAGAAGTTGACATCCATTAAAATACTCTCTTCCTCATATTACAGAGGTTCTACATACCGACATCGAGGCAGCTCCGACGTTTGGAGTCCAAGACTCGATCTCCCATCTTCGCCCACTTCAGCGAGACCCTATCTGGGGGCAGCGTCATCAGGACGTACAAAGCCGAGGACAGGTTCATCAGACACTCCGAGAAACTCGTGGACATGAACCAGAAGTTCTCCTTCGCTACCAACACAGCCAACAGGTATAACTTCATTTGCTGCGGTATGCCTGGTATGCCGTTGTATGAATGGATCATTGAATATCAGTGATGACACCAGGTGTTCGCGAAAATGTTAATAGACTGAGTGTAACTATTAAACGGATTCAATGTTGTATGATTACGTAGATGGCTGGGCGTCCGGATCGAGTTCCTGGGAGCTCTGGTTGTGTTCCTGGCCTCTCTTTTGTCTGTCTTCCTGAAGGATTCCATCAGCGGTGGCACCATTGGACTTTCGGTGTCCTATGCTCTTGACGTAAGAGAAACAATGATGTTCCATTCCTGGTTTCCCACCAAGCTATCTCTGGGTACAAGTTAAGACATAAGGGGCGTTCCTACCAGTTGGATTTATCCAACTTGTCCGACACTTTGGGTAGTTGTAAACCTAAAATAAAGGGAAGTGAGCACAACTCCTTAGCCCTCGAGTCTGAGCACAGTGTACCTCCTGCCAACTCAAGAGTGGTTAGAGAGCTGCACTTGTCATTGAGAAACCCCGCGCGTAGGCTGTTTGTTTCCGATAACTGCTGCTGGCATGAGAGATTGATTTCAAGATTGAAACAACAACTGTTTACGTTTGCCAAGTTAATACGAACCCGGGTTTGTTTACCTGCAAGTAACTTGTCACAAGAATTTTGCATTAGTGTAATGGTACAAGCAGTCAGATTTGACAGTTCATCTCTTCCAGATTACCATCAGCCTTAACTGGCTGGTGCGACTGACTTCAGACATAGAAACTCAGATTGTGTCGGTGGAGAGACTGAAGGAATACACGGAGGTACCAATGGAGGTGGGTACTGAGTCAGTTCTCCTCTACACTAGTTGGGGTGGAGAGACAGAAGGAATACACGGAGGTACCAATGGAGGTGGGTAGTGACAGTTCTCCTGTACACGAGGAGGTACCAAGGTGGAGGTGGGTACTGAATCAGTTCTCCTCTACACTAGTTGGGGTGGAGGAGTTGATAACATTCAGAGGTACCAATGGAGGTGGGTACTGAAGCTCTCCTCTACACGAGTTGGGGGGGAGGTGTTGATAACATTCAGAGGTACCAATGGAGGTGGGTACTGAATCAGTTCTCTACACTAGTTGGGGTGGAGGTGTTGATAACATTCAGAGGTACCAATGGAGGTGGGTACTGAATCAGTTCTCCTCTACACTAGTTGGGGGTGGAGGTGTTGATAACATTCAGAGGTACCAATGGAGGTGGGTACTGAATCAGTTCTCCTCTACACTAGTTGGGGTGGAGGTGTTGATAACATTCAGAGGTACCAATGGAGGTGGGTACTGAATCAGTTCTCCTCTACACTAGTTGGGGACGGAGGTGTTGATAACATTCAGAGGTACCAATGGAGGTGGGTACTGAATGATCTTTTACTGTACACAAGTTAACAGGCTGAAAGAGTACAGAGGCGCCAACCATATTCACACAAGTTGAGTGAGTGAGTTTAGTTTTACGCCGCACTCAGCAATATTTCAGCTATATGGCGGTGATTTGTAAATAATCGATTCTGGACCAAAAATCCAGTGATCAACAGCATGACCATCTGCGCAATTGGGAACCGATGACATGTGTCAACCAAGTCAGCGAGCTTGACCACCCGATCCTGTTAGTCGTGTCTTATGACAAGCATGGTTTACTGAAGATCAAGTGAGGGGTTAAGAGGTGTTTATCAATACACAGAAGTACCCTGGCTGGGGTTATTAAACTATATCCTTTGCCATGCAAGAACATTTCTCACTATAGTATACATGATCGTCCATATGTTTTGTCACAGTAAGAAGATCATCATCTTTTTCGTAAATTACGGGCATTTCTCTTGCAGGCCGCGTTAAGGATATTTTCTACCCGTCCTCCGATCGAGTGGCCAGACAAAGGCGAAGTCCAGTTTAACCGCTATAGCACCAGGTTTAGACCTGGACTAGAGTTGGTCCTGAAGGACATATCCTGCCGGATCGCCCCAAGGGAAAAGGTAAGTGCAGGTCGGATTAGACAGGAAGAAAACGCTGACTTGACAAATTTGAACAGAACATGGAATTAACGTTGATTCCACTCTGACCGTACGTGGGCTGTCCGCTGAAATATCCAAGCGCCTAATAACTTACGTTTTGCGCTGAAGTATATTTCCCTTGATTGTTTGCATTGTTTTTGGATTGGATTCCTTTTGCTCTGAACATATCTCATGTTAGCATCTGTAAAGGTAAAACACAAAAATAGGGTTGGGATATTGAGCAAAGATTAATTTTAACAATGAACAAATCCACAATATTTTAGAATGTAAAAAATCGCTGATAATGATATAGCATATATCAGTGCTCCATAAACTCTTCAGGAGAAGCGTTAGCATCATTAGAGTGAAAAGTAACAAAACTGAGATACATTCACAGACAGAATGACAAAACACTGCACATATTCTACACAGACCGAAAATGGTTATAGTGAGACGATGCGGGGTGAGTGCCTGGTTTAACAGTTACACGAGAAATATGCATTTCACTTCATTTTGTCTTTAAAAAAAACGGTTATACAATGTAAACCCCAGGCACTACATCGTGAGATCATTTTAAGCGTTAACGATTAACCATCATGGCACAAAACGTCCATGAATATGACGCCGAGGAAGAAGGCTGTCGTAAGAGAGTCACGAATACTTCTTTAAGATACTTCAGTTGTATTGACTGTATTCGTGACATCGAGTGGCCCACTTATTTAAAGTGCCACAATTGGATGGATGGTCGTGGGTTTGGGTCCCAGATTCGTCCAAATCTTGATGTATGGTCTGTAAGCATGGTGTCTTTCTTTCTGTCTCCGACCACGGGTTTTCTCAACATTAACTAACAAACCGTTATGCAATAGAAAAACACCAATTAAAGCGGTGTTATATAAGTACTAACTCACTTCCTACTTTTCAGGTCGGAATAGTTGGACGTACAGGGGCGGGGAAGTCGTCGCTGACGGTGGCGTTGTTCCGTTTGATAGAACCAGCATCAGGGGACATCCTTATAGACGGATACAGCGTGGGAAAGCTGGGCCTACACGATCTCAGGGAGAAGCTTACCATTCTCCCACAGGTAGGCACCAGTAGGCACTCATTCGGGCATGAAGACGACATGACGAGGTGGAGTGACCCAACGTATGTTCCTCTCCCCCAATGTCCAGGTTCGATTGCCCACACAGGTACGTCGAGATATCACTGGAATATTGTTAAAGGGGGCCTAAAATGTTACTCACTCACATATGATTATCTTTTATTCATGGATACAATGTGTGAAGCCCTTTCAAGGTGTGATAAATAGTTGCGGGTATAGCAACGGGCAGTAAACTTGGACAAAGTACTGTGACTATGTGTCCCAGTCCACCAAGCTGTGAATGGGTACCTCGTGAGGATGGGAAAGCCACAATAACTTGGTGCGCCTTGTGGCAACAAGAGTTGTATGATTCCCAGGGAGCTGAGATTGATAATAAGATGTGCCGTTGAGATTGACATCCAATGATCGAGGGAAAAAATACCAGCGCCTTGAGCATGCATTAGTGCGTGGATATGTGCGGTATATAAATATCCAATAATAATAATGATAGAAAATGATGCTTTTAAACTTCTCTGGAATAGGCCCATATACAGCCTCAGAAGAATTACAGCCATCAAACCTGATCTTGTCCTTTTTGATAAAGCCAATGAATTTATTTATATCATTGAATTTTCTGTCCCTTTTGACAGCAATGTGATTGCCAAGATACAGGAAAAGCATGCTAAATATGCGGACCTCGCCTTTGAAATGTCTGACTTGCATCCCAAGTACACTGTCGTCAGGCTCCCCATTGTTCTCGCTGCCCTTGGTTTGGTACCTCCTGATCTCTTGGCGCAGATCAGGAGAGTGCCCGGGTTCTCCAACGGGAGCACAGCCCTTCTGACATTCTGGGTAATGCAGAAGGCTGCAGTGTTGGGAAGTCTACATATTCTCCGGAAAGTTCTTTGTGTGTTCGACTAGGCAACGTTTCCTGGGAGAAGTCCCATTCGCTGTCTGGGCTGCGTGTAGAGGGGGCTAGGGCCCTGAGCTGATGATGAGCCTTACCAGCCTAATTGTGCCAGGATCACCCGAACCCTCTCTGCTGCATACTATCTTTAATCTGTAAAACATAATAATGCTGAGATACTCAAAGCGTTACAAAACCAAACTTCTCAGAACATCTCACCATGGGATGTCAAAATGTAAATTACCTACTCTTAATATACAGGTGCAGTCTGAAATACGACTGTGGGCAACTGAGAAGGTGCAAGGAGAACCTGTAAAATATATAAAATGCTGGCAGCTGAAATCATACCAGCTCAGATTGTTAAGGAATAATACATACGTTTTTTCTTCTGATATTAAAAGGACCCGGTGATTTTCGGTGGAACCCTTCGAATGAACCTCGACCCCTTCGGTCAGTACCGCGACGCTCAGATCTGGGTGGCCCTTGGTCAAGCCCACCTGAAGGATTTTGTGAACTCTTTGTCCAGCGGTCTCGACTACCAGTGTGGCGAGGGAGGCGAAAATCTCAGGTGACACCAACATCTACACTAATATTCATGCTGTTGTCGAAAGATATGGTCTCCTCGGCTTTTGTAAAACCATTCACACAAGCTATTCACATAATTGCGACAAATCACCACGACAGTGGAAGCCTCTTTGCTTGCTGACGGCTTGCACTGTTCTGTAGTTGTATAAGTAGCAACCTCGCTGTTCACTGGTTACAAAGCATTCGTCACCACTCGCCCCTTTCCGTATCCTCAAGAAGACTCGTCCCCGTCTCGATGCTTGTTATGTGCGAAAATACGACAAACCAATCAGAACGTGCGTAATGGTTCCGTAATGGTTGCGACTACTTAAATCGTTTATGACATTATGTTATTGTTTAAAAAAAATGATGAAAAATATGTATCGTCATATTCAAAGTACTACGAACGTAGCTAACAGAATTGTGATTGACGGGCTTGCTGTGGTGATTGTACGTCCGCTTCCAACAGTTTTAGGAGATGTAATTATAAATCGCTACGAGTATAAATACATCGCTGCAATAATATCATATCTGTATGTAACTAATCAACTTTAATCTTTAACATTGGATTCATATTTCACATCTCTTCGAATATTTTAGTGTGACTTTTTTGGTCATTCATATAGTTTTCAGCGAATTCATTTAAAATTCCACTTGGGGTATGACAGCAAGGTTATACGAATGTTCAGTTTGAGAAATATTTTAAAGTCATTTTTGAGTTTCTGCTCTGGGATTTAATGTAGCTGATTTTTAATGATACATTTTATTTGCATATTGAATAAAACAAATCCCATTTGTGATTATTAAAGCCTTTCCAGAAATATAATTGGAAATATACTGTATATATGCGTGTCGTAAGAGGCGACTAACGGGATCGGGTGGTCAGGCTCACTGACTTGGTTGACCCATGTCATCGTGTCCCTGTTGCGTAGGTCGATGATCATGCTGTTGATCACTGGATTGTCTGGTCCAGACTCGATTATTTACAGACCGCCGCCATATAGCTGGAATATTGCTGAGTGCGGCGTAAAATACACACAAGCAAATGAAACAACATTACTAGAATATCAGATTCTATAGGCCCTTAGATACCGATCATAATGCCATATGGGTAAGTGCGAGATTGTTTTAGCGAGTTTGCTGTAGTCTGATCGTAACACATTGTTGTCCCCTCAGCGTGGGACAGCGTCAACTGGTGTGTCTGGCCCGATGTCTGCTGCGGAAGACTAAGATCCTGATTCTGGATGAAGCTACGGCAGCCGTTGACATGGAAACTGACGACCTCATCCAGGAAACCATCAGAACCGAGTTCCATGACTCAACCGTCATCACCATCGCCCACAGGCTCAACACCGTCATGGACTACGACAGGTAGGTCGCATTCGGCACACCCCATCCCAAATGTCATCTCGGCCAACACTGGAGGACTCCATATTGCATAAAAACTATCCGGCTAAAAGCCATAACCTTAGTTATGATTAAAAATATTTTACATTTATAGAGCACAACCTGCAATGGAAATGACACAAAACTAGAATATATTTTTCTGTATAAAAAAATAGTTTAAGATACTATCCTTTTAAGATCACTGCATCTCGGAATATTATCGGGTACGTTTTAACTAAATCACCGGTAGGGGAACGTGTGCACTGCACAGCTGACTGCTATTTCCGGCGCTGTGTACGAGACAATTACACACAGTAATCTTAATACCTGCATATAAGACAATGCCTAACAAAAACAAACTAGAACTGAATAGGTTAATAGTCTTTTCTAGCGATGTTTAATTGCAAATTTGACGTCTTTGGTCTTCTTTCGTATGTTCGTTCACGCGAAGCGATGTCAGCCACAAATCACAATGTTGACACAAGTATAATCCCGCCTCTCTCTGATTGTTTTAGTAAACACGATTCAATTATGACAGCTAGCTTTGATCATTTCATGACTATCGGTTGTGAAAACTTTGTGATGGATACCATCACTCAGGTGTTTGAAATGCGCGATAAAACAACTGCGCGAACAGGCCTTATGTGAACTTTCCGCGAAAATTGCACCCCGCGAAAATATATACGATTACAGTATATTCAGTCACGTGACTATCACATGACGCGTCCCACCCATTGTTGAATTTGGTTCAGTGGATAACTATTTAGTGGGAAAACATTTCTTGAAAGTCGCCCGACATGTAAATTTGCAAGCGTTTAGACTATCCGCTGTAGAGATTATACGCCTCATCAAATAATATTCCAATACGGCTGATGTCAGTCCCTCTGCTCCAGCTGCGAGATTACTCCACACTAGAACTGGATTCACAAGTTTCACTTGTTCATGGGTCTATTAAATTAAACAACACATGTGTCACTAGTGAAAGGACATCTTATTAAAGGTAATAATACAACTATCTGAAAATCAACCCCGTGTTGAAGGAAGTGGAGGTGTCGATCGAGATGCGTTAACAGTCATGCAAGGTCAATATTCCATTTCTTCACGATATATTATGTGGGAATACGATCGTACCGACAATTAGACTACCGACAAAATGATTTAAGCAAAGTTTTGAATTCCGTCGGCATAGCTGTGCAACTGGTACAACAGCACAACTAAAGGGCTTGGTATGTTATCGGTCTTTAGCTATCGGACTCGATTGTTTAAGGTAAACATAATGCAACGATTTTAGCCGACTATAATGATTATTGAAACAAAAACGACAAGCGCGGATAACTGTAGCGAGTGGTAAATTGAAATATCTTGTCACGACTGTTGCGATATTCTAGTCATATTAGTGTTGTGGCTTGTCTATATTTCATGGCATACTCTTTCAAATATTGTTTCTATTAGTTTTAAATGACTATCACCCGGTATTACCTAGCTGGAAGTAAACCTGCCAACACTTACACTTATGCATGTTACGCCCTTCAACCTACAACGGTCTTAATTGTACAGAGGTGCTTATACGATCCATCACATGGCACTATCTTCGGCTTTCATTGCCTGGTACGATCTTTAACGTACAATCTGCACACCAGGTATCAACTTATAGCAGAATCTCGCAACAGAACTGTTTCGCCAAGATCCGGGTTAGACTTGGTCTTCCAACAAACCCATGTCTGTTGCAAGATGCACCTAACAGGATCTGGTGGTCAGGGCCCCGTTTCACAAAGCTCTCGTAAGCCTAAGATCTCGTAACTTTCCTCGTATCATTCGTACCTCCTATACTGTAACATAGGAGGTACGACGCTACGAGAAAAGTTTCGAGAACTTAGGCTTACGAGAGCTTCGTGAAACGAGGCCCAGGTCTGGTGGTCAGGCTCGCTGACCTGGTTGGTGCATGTCATCGTATCCCAATTGCGATGATTTGTCTGGTCAAATCTTCTTATAGCTGAAATATTGCTAAGTGCGGCGTTAAAGATCACACAAAGTTAAGTTGCCATCCATTTCGAGAATGCAAATATATCTTTCTTCTACAGGATTATGGTCCTGGATCAGGGCCACGTGGTTGCCTTCGACTCCCCGTCCAATATGCTGCAGAACACGGACAGCTTGTTCTACAAACTCGCCAAGGACGCCAACCTTGTCTGACCTACCTCCTCACCTCGTGTGATCTACCTGCCTCACCTACATTCAACATAATCAGAAATTCACAACCACGAGCACATTGGCCCGACTGAGAAGATACATTGCTTAAACCAATGGTGATAGTGGCAGTTCAGGTTCAAAGCATTCGCAAACCCCCAGTTAGTCCAGTAGGTCAAATGTTATGCTGTACATGTTAATGGGACACAGTTCGCGAGGATGTTACCTTTTGAACTCGGAGGTGACGGCAAGGACTACTACACTTTGTTGATGCAAGACAGAAACAATTCCCATTTGGCAATAGTGTTAGTTTTGTTGAGACATCACTATGTGAGTTAATGATTGCGTTGTACTGAATGTCCAGTCTGTTTCAGAAGGTGGGTGGGATGTGACGGATGAAAGGGCCCATCACTGAACAATCATGTGTTGTCTTAATATGATGTCTCAAATTGACTTAACAGTAGTTAGGGTATTGATATTCAAACATCGAGAAGACATTATGGCTACTAAACGTTATTTAGGGTAATTGAATATGGAACTTATTTGTAGGCTTCGATAGGGGTAGCCTTGCGGTTCACTTCGGTTCAGACCCCCGCCTTGATATTGCTGAAACATTGCTGAAACATTGCTAAAACCGGCGTACTCAGGCAGCCACTGTCTTATGGGTAATTGATCATGGAGTTAATGAGTGAGTTAAGATTTACTCAGCAATATTTCAGCTATATGGCGGCGGACTGTAAACACTCGAGTCTGGACCAGACAATCCAGTGATCAACACCATGAGCATCGATCTACGCAGTTTGGATACGATGACATGTGTCAACCAAGTCAGCTTGTTGACCACCTGATCCCGTAGTCGCCTCTTACGAAAAAAGTAGGTTACTGAAGATCAATTCTAATCCACTCTTCACGGATCAATTGATCATGGAATTGACGGATAACTGAAAAAAAGTTTACACATGTCATGGTCTGAAAGCATTCATACACATTCCAAAGAGACGGTAATATTTGTGGTTGGCTGTCCCCTGATTTCCGATGCCCTCCACCCTTCGAAATAATAACCGGTTCCTAATGAGAGGGGGAGGGCATTGCGAGTGTACCGGTTCATCGCAACCTGAATTTGGCCAGACCTAGTTCCGGGCCTATAGGCTATTGTATGTGTAGATACTGTTTATCTTTAGGGAGTTGTCAAAAGCATAGTGCAAAATGTCTAGCAGGGAATAAAGTGAAGTAATATTGTTCATATTGCTTTAAATAATAATTTATGGATAAAACAATTAGGAAAATCTAGATGATTGTAAATTGAATTTGACAGAAGAGTATGCCGTATCCTTTAATTTCTGTTCTGTCGTGGAGTGTTTCAAATCAGACTGCCATGTAAACTGTTACGGTGTATATTGACAGGCTACAGTGTAAACAGTACCGCCTTGAACCATAGCTCTATATACTTAACTGAACTGGTGCCAAACCTTAAGGCAAATACACCAAAGTAGAACTATGTCATTCTAATAGAGTGCAGTTGGTTCATATCCACCGCACTCAGCAATATTCCAGCTATATGGCGGCGGTCTGTAAATAATCGAGTCTGGACCGACAATCCAGTGATCATCATCATGAGCATAGATCTTACGACAAGCATGGGTTACTGAAGATCAATTCTAACCCGGATAGGCAAAAGAACAAAGATAGACTTTAATCTCCACAACATACAGTTCTCCGCAGAAAGAATATTCGTCTAAGTTTAGACCTGGGAGGTTTTCGATATGGATACCTCCTGTGCACTTTGCTTTACAGTCAAACAGTCACAAAACCATTCTAAACGTACTAACATATTTGTTGCTTTAATCACACCTAACATCAAAGACATTCCAGCTTGAAGATGATAGCCGATTTCCACTGATGTATTTTCCCACCTGACCTCACACATAAATAGACCATTGTGCATCATTGTGCTATATTTTGCATGCTCTTTCTACGAACATTCCAGTTACTTGATCCGAGTTAGAGACTTCTAATACCTCAATCTTAAAAGTTGCAATTTATCGCACAAGGGACTAAAATGGTGTCTGTCTGCTTCAGAGTGTACAAATGTCCCAATGCCTGTTCGTTTGAACACTTGCCTTGCCTTTGCGTGTATTTGTGACGAGAGACACGGCAAGGCAATATGCTAACACCGTATCATCACTATGTAATAGTAATAAATGCTTATGATGCAGTCGGAATGGTACTGTGGACTGATTTCTAATGATAATAGAGAAGGTGTTTGTCATTTAAAACGATTTATGCCGTCGAGAACATTACCAATAAGTCCTCAACCTCCATTCAACACCACATGGAAATACAATATCAAATACACAACAGACACAATTTTCATATGGAATTTATTTAATATTTAAACAATATTAACAAATCATTCTTGTCTTTACAAAATAAATAAATAACTTATATCACTGGATGTCTCTTGCATCCGAAACACATTTATATACCATGAAGTGGAATGACTTAGTTATCACATGGCCGCCATGGATGTTTCGCTACCGATATTGTGCATACATGAGATGATATGGTGATCATATTTGGCATGGTCAAGATCAAGGAAGATGCCCCAATTCATCCAAGATGGCAATGAGGATGAGCTTGCTGGACAGGCACAGAACGCATGTTGCAGTAGTAATATCTGGCCCTGATATGTGTCTTTCCAAATGAAAAACAGGTTTGTACAGGTATTAAATATATTATCCCCTTCCAAAATCTCTGAAAGCAACAACACATACGTGAACATGACGTAAAATAATGAACTCTCCATAAAACAGCATTGTTCGTTGATGAACAATTGACCAGACTTTGCATGTGTTTATAACCACGTTGGTGCTGAGCACCTGCTGCCATCACTATTTGATGGTCATTCATAAAAAACGAGCTCAGAACGTAAACAGAATCGTAGAATCGACTTGACCAAGATTTCCTATGACTGTAGAAAGCGTTTTGCATTTATTGTAGATAGAGAGGTTACAATCCACACAAGAGGACAATATCAAATGAACGTTATCAGCGCCTTTAAAAAATGACACAGATTTGTAAACCTTGAACTGCCAGCTAAACAGAGCAATACAAACAAGACTGACTTTAGCGTAGGACAAGGGTTGAGATCGTTGCCATTATATTATACTCATGCCAATAATGGTTGTCACTCCCCACCCACACCCCCTCTCCAATAAAAAAATTGAGGGGGGTGACAACCATTATTGGCATGAGTATATGTATAATACGTTTTAGCATTTGGCGAAGCATTTACAAACCATAGGAGAACTCAGGAGGTCCATTTGTGACATTCTTGGTAACTTGCATGCTTGGCAAATCGTGTAATGTTGTTTTGTTGATGTCATGCTGATGACAACAATGTAATGCTCCTGTCACTCGGAATGATATCACACAGACACTCAGGCACTGCTATGTACATGAAAGACAAGAGTGGATCTAACACACGTCCTCTCATTGAGCAAGACATCATCAACGAAGGTAATAACTCCATGCCCAAGCAAGCAAATCCAATATTATTCACAGGGCGTCTGCCACTCCTCAGAAGGGCTCAGGCACACACAGAGCGAACAGCTTCACCCACAACAACATGATACAAATGGTCCTAGAATTACACGATACAGATCCGCTACGAAGCTGCCTCGAAATGTTTATCTCGAAGGTAATGCATCGGAATTCATCCGGGTCAATTCTCGAACACGGATCTCTGAAGTTCCGGTTGCCTTTCGAAATAACTGCAATCCCATACGTTCTGTTTCTCCGGAACATAACTCAAGTGTTGCTTCAGATTCAACCGAAGGTCCTCGGACATGGCTTTGGGGGACAGCTAATTCTGACTGGCGGGTCCCGATTGAATGTCAATACTTGAGCTCCACCTGTTGGCGAAGCAGGTTCGATAACTCTTCGAAGACTGGTAGTAGATCCCGAAAACGTTTGGCGTGTTAGCTGAAAGACGGCGACACAGCTGCCATATCGAATATATGTCACAAAATCGAGATAGATTGGTGCTAGGATATTATACTATGTCTTCTGCCACCGTCATAAACATGTTCAAACACAGGTGCAAGCTTGGCGTTGCCATGGAGACCGTTCCCGAACCTGTGAGCGTGTTTTTTGGTCATCACTGGCGACCATGTGTGTTTTGTTTCGTCATTCCTGTCATGTTCTTTCGATATACTTTCTGTGCTTCCTGGAAACAGAAAACAATCATAATGAAGTAATGACAGCAGATTTGATTTTGTCACATTGATCATACATGACATAACAGTATTTCCCATATACCCGTAAAGATGTAGGTTAAAAGTGTTGTATTCAGCAACCCATGCTTGTCGTAAGAGGCGACTAACGGGATCGGATGATCCATCTCCTATAACGCCAATAGTCAGGCGTTGATTTTCCTGTAGAATAACCCTTGTGTTGTACAACGTGTGGCATCCAAGATTTCTCTTTATTAATGATCGATTATGATGTGGAACGATTTCGTCAAATTTAATTTTCTTCAAATCAAGTGGTTGGTATTTCGAAAATAAGTCCGAAGTGTGACAATTTTACTATCTGTATAGGCTGACTCGGTATTTAACTAGGCGATGAGTGATCGGTTACACACTACAGTTGTGTGTTTTTAACGCAATTTTCCTAGTTACATGACAGCGGCCGGAAAATAACTAAGTCTGGAACAGACAACCCAGTGATTCACTTAATGAGCATCGATCTACGCATTTGGAATACGAGATGCAGCAACGTCAGCGAGCATGATCATTCGATACCGTTGGTCGCCCTACCCGGATGTCACGAGGGCGATACAAATAGTGTTTAACTGTGATACCAAAACGGCCTTTCCGACATATATTAGGCTGAAACGTTTGTATTGTCCGAGAAACACACGTGTTTCTTTACGCCGCCAACCTTCAAGCATAATCTGTTCACTACACGGAACCAACCTGAGACTGTGACCTTCGGAACAATCCGTGATGACGACCGTATGACAGGTTCGGGGTTTCCCATATAGAGCCCACGGAGTCCGAGATAAGGAACGACAACTCTGGCGACTAGTTTCTCCAGTTTATAATAGTTCTCTCCTGGAAAAGTCTCGCAAACGCTCTGAAAAGAAAACAACAATTGTAAGCCATTATGATGTAAATTTGCATAATATTGGTAACGTAAGAATATTGTCTGATTAACCGAATCAATACTGTCCAAATTTCAGAGAGTGGGTTCAGTTATCACCGTTCGGAACACTTCAGTGGATTATCACCAGGGGAGTGTCATTTAATGTAGGACTGACTGACTGAGTTTGTTTTTACGCCGCTTTTAGCAATATTCCAGCAACATCACGGTGAGGGACACCAGAAATGGGCTTTGCACATTGTACCCATGTGGGGATTCGAACCCGGGTCTTCGGCGTGACGAGCGAACGCTTTAACCACTAGGCTACCCCACCGCTCCTAATTTAATGTAGGAGGAAAAGTCGAAATAGCGCAAGTTGTTGTTGGCATTTCTAACACTATGACAAATGTTGGTCAAAGTGAGTGGGTGTGACTTTGTGTCAGTCTTAGCAAGATCCCAGCAGTATCGCGGAGGGGAAACCAGAAATGGGCACTGCACATTGTACACATGTGGGAATCGAACTACTGCACTACCTACTCCACTACCCGCGTTGGTACCAACCATCTTCTTATAGTCGCGCCTTTCTAAGCAACGAGGACATAACAATTACACGATGTGTGTTATAAATAACAATATTTCGATCAAACTCAGAATAGCAGCCTTGGACGTCCTTACAAATTGTTCACAGTTTTCTGCCGCCTAGGATATATACTGAGAGAAACAAATAAAGGATCACAGAAATATTCAAGCGTTCCTTAATATTGTCCAGTTTTCATCCTCAGCTTTGAATAGCGCTGTGGTGGTGAAAATTGGAAAATAATAAAGGAACGCTTGAAATTTCCTGTGATCCTTTATTTGTTTCTCTCAGTATATAACAGACAGCTGAGGTCACAATAACCGGCTGCACACACCGTTCACATGTGGAGTACAGAACCCGTTCTTGGGAATAACACTTAATACTGCTGGGGCACCTGACGCCCTCACTGCGCTAGGCGTTACATGTCGCCAGCCTACTGTCTCACCTGCAGAATCAGCAGCATCTGTCGGATGGATGGAGGCACATCACCGGTCAGGTTGTCTAAGGCGTCTGGAAAGTAATTTTGTGAACAAATGACTATCGTTAGAGAGTTAGTGAGTGAGAGCCGCAGTCAGCACTATTCTAGATATATAACGGCTGTCAGTACATTAACAGTGAGTGAGTGAGTGCGTTTAGTTTTACACCGTATTTATTCCAGCAATATCACAGCAGGGGACACAAGAAATGGGCATATTCACAAAATGTACCCACGTGGGGAATCGAACCCGGGTCTTCGGTGTGACCCCACCGGCCCGAGTACATAAACAGTTTGGGGCAGGACGACAAGTGGTTTTATGTCGTAGGTGATCACATCCTGTGACCGTCTTGGTGGCGCGTTAGAGTACCAATGTGGATCGTGGATCTTTGCTCAAAATCATTCACTCTACTGCCTATTGCAGACACAGTTATTCACAGGCCCTTCTCATATAGCCTACGTACTGGTAAATAAATCTATACACAATACACATTGTTATTTTTACGGATTAAATAATAAAAAGAACACAAGCACCATACCTTCAATGCTGACTTTGAGCATGACGATGTTCCTAAATTCCACTAAGGTTACTTGTCGAATTGAGGCACCTGTTGTCTGTAACAGAAAGAACGTGTCAGCACCGTATGATCACCTTAATTATGTGTCATGTGCTTGTAGAATGTTACAGGACACCGTCCGTGAAACGTGTGTCATGATACAAGTTAATCACGATACCACTTACCATTTACATTTGTGACAATTCAGAATAATGATTATCTAATGCGGAGGCATTCAAGCACATAAAGGAGTATATTCGTTAAACAAAATGTAGTATGTCATATGTGATAGGGGCTATACTTGGATAAAAGCAGGATGTATCTATAAGTGAGTGGGTTTGGTTCTACGCCGCTTTTAGCAATATTCCAGCAATATCACGGCGGGGGACACCAGAAATGGGGTTCACACATTGTACCCATGTGGGGAATCGAACCCGGATCTTCGGCGTGACGAGCGCACGCTTTAACCACTAGGCTACCCCACCGCCCAGGATGTATACATAAATCGTCATTGACAGAACAGTACATAAAACTTATAAAAACGGACTCTTGCTAATCCGGCTTTCTGCCATGTTCCTATTTTGGTATCCCCGTCAAAATCCCACTGATCAAGTTACGGGTATAGCGAGCAGGTTCTATGAACGGGTAAACTATTGCTGTGAACGGGGTATGCTTGTGTGAGTAACGTGACTGTCGTCAGATACGGTGGAACCAACATCGTGTACGGCCGACACATAACGCTGTGTGCTTGAATACATAACAGGGTATGTTTGTATGTGTACCGTGATGTAGACACAGTGTACGGCCGACACATAACGCTATGTGCTTGAATACATAACAGGGTATGCTTGTACGTGTACCGTGATGTAGACACAGTGTACGACCGACACATAACGCTATGTGCTTGAATACATAACAGGGTATGCTTGTACGTGTAGCGTGATGTAGACACAGTGTACGGCCGACACATAACGCTATGTGCTTGAATACATAACAGGGTATGCTTGTACGTGTAGCATGATGTAGACACAGTGTACGGCCGACACATAACGCTATGTGCTTGAATACATAACAGGGTATGCTTGTACGTGTAGCATGATGTAGACACAGTGTACGGCCGACACATAACGCTATGTGCTTGAATACATAACAGGGTATGCTTGTATGTGTAGCGTGATGTAGACCCGGTGGCGGCAATATCTCGGCTTGCTTAATATAACGGACTCCTGATTAACGAATATTACAGTATTTTGAAACTTATAACGACAAACACATAACGAGCATACATCGTATATGTAAAGTTGTACACACCGGGATATATAGGCTCAAATAGTTACGATGGCTATTCAAATAACGGCATATCCGAACATATACCTTCTGGGTATAGTTATACAGACCTTGAGAGGGTACAGCACCGCCTGAAGGTCAGGCAGTATCTCTGTGTAGAAGTAATCCCATGTTTCACCCAACTTCTTCATGAGGTCAGTGCCTGGTCAAAATGATTTAAAAAATACATGTAATTGCAAGGAAAGTAATTTCGAATGGCTTATTTTTGTATACTTATATCGATTTATATATTCATTATCATTATATTTGGTTAGCTATAAGTGATGATGTTCAACGATAGCTGTATATAGTATATGTAAAAGGGAAACTTCTTGGCTATGCCAGGAAGCAAAGTGTGCCTCGATCCGGAATATACCTCCTACAACAGGGCACCAAGGTATATACTCTCACTGACAGAGTCGTAGCACTATATAAAAGGCTGAGTGAGTAAGTGTAAAATTTAAAGTCAATTTGGCAATATCGTGTTAAAACATAATCCATAATTTAATATGTAATAAAATCTGTCTGCGAAGGACAGTAAAACGACTAGAATATCACAGTTAGAGATTTAAAACTATCATTTAACTTGAGAGTCTATACTATTTAAACATTACAATATATAACTGGGCTATAGATCACCAGCACTGGAAGGTAGATCAGCATACTAGGGACTTATATAAACGGACTTTTAAAGACTACGCCAGTGACAGAATATACCTTGATGCCTGTTTTCCTGGACAAGTCTCCGTACCTCGTACAAAATACATGTAGATAATATGGCAGCGAAATCTCTGCGGCGTCTCGCCAATAGACAACCTTCCACATGTCAAGAATATTGTGATCCCACAATCTAGGATATCGGCATATACGATTCTATTGTGAAGTGGGGAATGACAAAGGTGGAATACAAATGTCCCCCGATGTGTGATGGAAAGAGTCAGCCAGTGAGGCCATTTTCTACACATACTACATACACTGTTACCGATCTACAAATATGTACTTGAATAAATGTATTTGGAGAGCTTCAGTTGAAACAGGTGAAATATTGTAATTAGTATGGTTTCTTTATTAATTATTAGCGCCCTCACCTCTGTCGTTCTTGATCGATTCCCGCATTATGACCATCCCTTTCTTCAACAGCTGATCCTGCAACACAATAAATAATACTACATACATGTCCAGCAGATAGAAGACTTTACAACAGAGGTCCCTATCACATAAGTGTGTAAGAAATGAGTGAGTGAGATTTTACGTCGCGGTTTACACTATTTCAGCTGTATCACGTCGGGGGACATCAACAATGTTGCGCAGGTTGTGTTCATACTACAATTGCCACTTCGACATATGCAGCAAAACGCAATAGTCACTCTGCTACCCCCTTGCAGCTTCCATGTGTCTGATTACTAATATAATAAGAATTACTGATATAACTACAATACTTAATAAATCAGTTTTGTTGAACGTTTGGCCTGGAAACACGAAATACATGTATACCGTATAACTATGTATTACTAATATATAAATATTGATACAATATTCTTTGAATATATCAAATTAATAGTACCGCCTTTTGTTTGTAATAACCATTTTACTTAAAATGGTGTCCAGGACACGTGTCGATAAACACCAGCTGCCCATACTAAATGTTTAAGGATTTAATGAGCCGGGGTTAATCTGTCAATGTTAAATTTGAAATCCGTTGCTACAAGGGAAAATATATATTTTAACAGTGTTTTACTGAAATTACTGATGTCGGATTTTTTGCTACATCGTATATTTAAATAGAGGGTAATTGGAAATATGTCTTGATGTTACTCTAAAGTTGTTTTCAAAATTTAACTCCCTGCTGTACAATGTGTCGTAGCGTTTTCACAATTAAACAAGTATTACCGATCTTCCCCAAACAATCAACACGTCGTTAAGGACAGGGCCTTTGGAAAAGGTGCTTTACTGATTTTATAATAAAACTGTTGAAACAAATCATAGTATAAATTGTTTTTTTGCTCAGTTTGAATTTTTATCTGTAGGTGATGAATAAACAGGCCTGGTTTAAGTCATAATACATTTCATGTGTCTAAAAATGACCTTTAATGAAGATTTATCGTTGGATAGATTTACACTTTTAGTCATGTAAAAATCCCTTTGATATTTTGGCTTTCAAGGCGATTCTTACTGTTGTTGGAATAAAGAAAATTCGTTATCGTTCTGATTCCCCCCTGATTCTTCGTTTCTTAAAGTCTGCGAATACGTAATCCAAGCAAAATATATGTCTCGTCTACACCTGTATGGAGTGAATACCTATGTATGTCTATGACATCCCGTATATGACATCCCGTACAGACACGTGTCATCAACAACGGCTCGCGACGTACGTTACAGTGACGTCATACAAACTAGGATACAATGTATATCTACAGCGTAATTAAAGTTGTTTACTAACCGGAGCACCACATTCCACTAACTGTATAACAGAAGATTTGTTATTCCTTGTCGGTAACTACAGTGTGAATCATATGTCAAGGATATCTTACGCAAGAGCCGTGCTCATTTATCGAGAAGCTAGTCTTTCTTAAGAGCTGTCGCCTTCCGGGGATTGGGGTAATGCCAGTTTTAACGGGGTGTCCTGTTGGGGAAAACCAACACGTCATACATCCGGGCTTCTGCCAATGCTTTGTACACCCACAACCTACGGTTCTTTCAAAGCGAACCTCTGTTCAAGGCTTTAGAATAGTAACACAGCTTATATGTGGGTGTGTATGGCTAAACGTTAGGTGTAGTCACGCGTTACTGTTGTAAGCTCACCTTGTAGGATATCGTTTTGTAATAATATCTCACCTTGTAATAATCTAAAATAAGAGGTCCCGCCTCGGTGCCCGCGAGGTACCTGAAAAAAACATTGAAATATTATCGATTCTGAATACTGTAACAGTCGGTGAACCTAAAGTAGGTTATGTATTGTATATCGATTTCTCCCAGCTTCACTCCTCGCTCCGCTCCTTGGCGTTCTGTGACAACCCACACGAAGCCAATACATTAACTCACAAAGATGTAGTTCTGCCTACCATCACAACACCGACTAGCCTCGGGCCACTCTCGTGTATCAAAACATCTGAGTGTAGAGCTACGTGCGCAACAGCATCAAGTGCGGTCAGGGTCACGTTGTCTTGAAATTAGTCTGCACGATTTATTTTCGAATTTCCGCGAATAATATTGATCTGGAGCAAGATCAATATACTGAATATATTAGCAACAATATATGTAAATGGACTTATTGGAAGTTTTTTTTCAAATTGATTTGGTTCGGGGTTCTATGAAATTCATTAATGTGTTTTATGAGAATGACTCGCATTTGGAGTAAATTAGAATTTATTGAATATTTTCGCTGAGTATCATAACAACGGTAAATATTGTGATACTGGGGTGAACAAACGTGGAGGTGGGACGTGATGGGGTAGTAGTGGAACTCCCACCCTTTCTCCATCGGAAAAATTGTACGATTTCAAACCAGTGAATGAGGTTAAATTTAGGGAGCAGTCCTGCTTAGAAATTGAAGTTCACTTAGAACGATATACACTCCCGTCCGTCTTGAATTAAGCATATCACGTGTTCCTGACGTATTAATATATACATAGTTGAGTGTCTTGGTGACGTGTTTTTAACACAAAAATGGCAATTAACTGTCAATACTGTCAAACAAGCGAAATTGTTTCCCGAATTATTTCCTGTATGTAAAAAAGGTAATACACGCCTCAATAAAACCTGTTCATCAGCCTTTCAAAAACAAAACCAATATCATCAATGCATCAGCGTCTGAGATTTTCACGAGGCAAACCACGAACCTGACATTCTCTTGCAATATACCCAGCTCGTTCTCCTTCAGCTTCTTTCTCTGGAAGAGTTGAACAATGGCTGCCTGGATGCTGCAATTAAGATCATAGCATTTATTTGCCAGACAGAACATATACATACGTTCATGACGAAGGCCCGGGTTCGATTCCCCACATGTGATCAACGCGTGAGGACGATATCTGTTTACTTATCGCCGTGATATTGCTAGGACTATAGCGGCATAAAATCATAGTCAGTCACTTAACAAAATAACAGAAACTATCTATGACAAACATGTATATCGAGGAGGGCAATGCTTTCAATGCAGTGTGTGTTTTCATACAAACACCATGGAGAATATAATCGTTTTGTATGAATATTTTGAAATATACATACCTGTTCTGAATTATTTGCACTCGTTTTTTGTGTCCTATCATAATCCATTTCAAACAAGACACACGTTTGAGAAGCATCTTATATAATGTTACTTCCTTGTCAATGCGTAGATCCACGACGCACTTTCACAACTCGCTGTCCAGTATCACTGGCTCGGTAAACAACCCCAAGAGCGTGTTAGAATAACAGATCTCCAGAACCTTGCCTCCACACTGGGAAGAGTTTCATCATTATTCGCAATAGTTTCTTATCTCGTAACCGTTTTTCCTATGTCACTGTTTTCCTCGCAAAGCGGTGAAATGAGATAACCCAATTTAAATAAACTACCGATAACGTTAAATCACGTCCACGACAGCTGAAAGACGAGTGTTCCGTCCCGATCACAGAATTTCCTTGTGTCTATATCATGTACATCCAGTGAAATAAGTCGCAGGTTAATCCAGTGATTGATTTTTGGTCATTTATAGGCGTGGATATTATTCACACAAGCCATTCAATCACAACGCGCGAACCGCACTGCAATAGTCGTAAACAAGCCACGCCGCGTTCCTCCGTCATTGGAGCTCAATGTGAGCTGTTTTCCTTCTTTCAGAATACGCGCTGTGGCATAAACAGTCTTGACAAACAACAGCTGAAACTACCCTAGATAAATCCTTGTCATCATCACAAGCCAATTAATGGGATCGCTTGGCTTACGTGCAGTTGATACAAATATGTCCGGTATCAGACGCCTGTGACACAACCAGGGGCAATAATTGTTATTATAATCTGGACTTAATTTATAACGAAAGCCCTCCTTATATACATCGCGTTGCGTAGACTTTCCTTCAGATCTAATCTTAACGAGCTCCATGCGGGGTTCGGTCGTGTCACCGCCACACACAAAGAAAGTGTTGTAAATACATCCTTTATGGCTAATAGCTGTAGTTGGATCCATGTCTGACTTGATAAGGAGTTTAACAATGGTGGTGTAACCTGGGCGGAAACGGACCTGGTTGTGTCACCGTATCGTGGGTAACTAATACGTGTTGGGGAAGCGCAAAGGGAGCTGTGGGGGTAGGGGGTCGTGCTGGGCAATGAGTGTACAAGGCCGTCAGGAGATAGGACAAGAAATGGGAACGCAGTTCGTCTTCAAAAGAGGAGTAACTAGAAGTATAATATGTGCTTCATTATCAGATGTGTCCATGTCCAGAGTGAGTGAGTGAGTGAGTGAGTGAGTGAGTGAGTGAGTGAGTGAGTGAGTGAGTGAGTGAGTGAGAGTTTATTTTTACGCCGCTCATTAGCAATATCACGACGGGGGACACCAGAAATGGGCTTCACGCGTGACGAGCGGACGCTTTAACCACTAGGCTACCCCACCGCCCCATTTGTGACTGAGTATTGTTTTACGCCGCTTTTAGCAGTATTCCGACAATAATACGGCTGGGGATACCAGAAATGGATGTACCCATGTTGGGAATCGAACCGGGGTCTTGGGCGTGACGAGCGAACGCTTTAACCACTAGGCTACCCCACCGCCCCCTGTAGCATGTGACCAATTGTTTTGTCAAATGGTCGGTTTTACAGAATCCAGTGACTTATTTTTAGTCATCCAGTCAGCACTGTATTCGTTCATACTTTATGAAGCAGGACGTACCTTTCGAGAAGTTGCTGCCTGTTGGAAGCGTCGGACGGTGACCCCACCCCCAGCCCCGGGATGGTCGACCCCCTCCGCCCACCCCGGGGGAGACGGGAGCCGATGTCCACATTGGCAAGGCTGTGCCTGAAACACAATCAACGCAAACTGAAACACAATCTGATTAAAAGCAATTCAAGAACTAAAATCAAAACGGTTCACAAGCAGTGTGCGAAATAGCTATGCCTGAAAGATACTAGCCCACAAAATAATTCACTAGTCCGAAATTTGAATGTAGAAACAGGTTTCATTATTAAGCTGCTAAAATGGTGAACATTTATATCAGGCCATAATCTTGCATGATATAAAAGTGTGTTATAGCTTAACAAGTCGGAGATGATATATACGCAGAGAAACAAATAAAGGAACTAGGAAAATTCAAGTCTTCCTTTATTATTTTCTAGTTTTCATCACCAGCTTTGAATAGCGCTGTGGTGATGACAACTATACATGATGTGGTGATGACAACTGGAAAATAATAAAGGAACGCTGGAATTTTCCTGTGTTCCTTTATTATTTTCTGGTTTTCATTCTAGCTTTGAATAGCGCTGTGATGATGACAACTATACATGATGTGGTGATGACAACTGGAAAATAATAAAGGAACGCTTGAATTTTACTGTGTTCCTTTATTATTTTCTAGTTTTCATCCCAGCTTTGAATAGCGCTGTGGTGATGACAACTGGAAAATAATAAAGGAACGCTTGAATTTTCCTGTGTTCCTTTATTTGTTTCTCTGCGTATATATTTACAAAATAACCCCATGAAAATTCACTCGCCAGTCGGGCCAGTGACTGTGGATATTTTTACTGGCCCGACTGGATCTTTACTAGCCACGGGCTAGCAGGCCAGTGGCTATTTCGCACACTGTTCACAAGTCTGGAGTCTACAAGTACAAGTGCCGGGGAGAAGCGGTGGGTTGAGACACCTAACACGAAAGGTTCCGAAGCCCACAACACAGACCTACACTTCAGAAATGCACAACAAACCCTCACCAAACACACAATAGAGACCAAAGAGTAGATCTGTGGATAACTATCTGATAACATGCGCATCTAACAATTTTACACGCTTGGATAGACCCGAAACTATATGAATACCATTTCGAAATTATATATTTATTTTATGTCGCAGTCAACAATATTCCCACAGAAAGACGTCAGAAGGTAAATAATCCAATCTACTGCTCACAGTCAAGTGGTTGATATTGTGAGCACGCTGTACGGGTAACGCTGACCTCTACTCAACCAAGTCACCGAGCCTGGCCACCCTCTCTGTGTGGCCACCACTATAGGTTATTGAAGACCTATTCAAACTCAGCATGCCTAAGGGGTTAAAACGTTATAGGTTAATCAGTGAGATGGAGCATTATTCCGACAATCTCGACTGCTAGTATTCCAACAATCGCAACTATTCTAACACCAGCTAACAATGCATTTCAAGTATGTCACCCACACTGGCCTGACGAGGCAACGCTGTACTGCTGCACCGTCCTGTTACAATGGACTGCTCTTTAAACAGACGCATTCTAGGGTATTGTTTATGATTTTAGTAAATTACACCTGTTCAAGCCAGTTTATCAAACTGATATATGATGATGAATAAATACTGATGACTTGAACCTTATAATCTGCCTCAGCACCCACATACACTTGACAGACAGCAGCACTTCACATAGCCTGGTATCAAACATACACAAGCAAGCAAAACAATCTCATGTCCCTCGCTATCACGACAGGCATATGATTGACAGTAACATGCGTCAGTTGTACATTGCAGACAAAATAGTGCGCATGTCGGTGCTTTCAAATACACACTCTGTGTAACAGAAACCAAAATATTTGAACATTTCATAGTGAATGATGGATAAACGCAGCAGTAGACTGCAAGGAGACATCCTGATCACTCAACATGGCGTTGCTAAAAGCCACTCCTATGGTCATGTTATTTTATGACACAGTCGACAATATTCCTGCAATATCAGGGCGTTCTGTAAATAACCAAATCCCAGTATATGAAATCAGCACATAGAACAATTCAGCTAGTTCGTACATGTTGAGACAATCAGCAGAGATCAAGGTTATAATATTCCTACAGCTTACAATCATCTAATCAAGGCCAATCAAGAATAACCTCCCCTGCCCTTTGTCCACATAACCATTATCTGTATCACAACAACTATCAGTATGTCACCACACTGTACATCAACCTCAATTGTATACAATCAAATATCTTTCATGTGTATATTCTCCTTGTGCAAAATGTTGTATATCACTTGCTTGATAACGGCGTTAGCATCTACACCTACATCGCATCCATTGCAATAAGTTTAATTGTTTTTCTTCAAGTCTACTCCAGTCTGAATACTCTCCCGATCCCAACATACTGGATGACTGCCTGAACTTTGATGCTGCTTGTGTTGAATTATGTGGGACCTGAACCCGGAATATTGTAGGTGTTATACGTTCACCACTAACATGACACCCATCAGCACGGGGCGGACAGACCAAGGTACATAATCGGAACAAAACGGGGTCCGAACCAACGCCACAGGTTTTTGCATGTAAACGAGACACTGCATAATACGAACCAAATTTGTTAAAGTAAGACCACCACTTTGCCTATTGCCACAGAAATACCACGAACACTGTAGTACGAACGTGGTGTCGTAATTCAACCACGAGGTGACATCTGAGAAGATTTAAATATTTTAGTCGGTCATTAGTCTAAGGTATAACTTTCAGCGTCAATGTCCTGTTAATTGCATCGCTTCAGATACATTCCGTAACGAAATCCTCGTGGTCACATAATGTCATCAGCCGTCCTGGATGATCCAAATATTGAAACACACAACAGTAAACTGAATACCGACACTACCTGTTCATGTGGGCCCCGGCGTGAAATGAACACGGAGCAGTGAGTCGGGATGAAATGTACAAGGCAGCCGCTGTTAGATTACCGTAGAGTGTGCGCTCCAGATATGATATGTACATTGGACTTGATATCAAAACCTGTTATCAGCCTCCCTATCATGGATCATCAGATCAGGTATGGCTCTCACTGAATATAAGCCAGAACTTTACAATAGTCGCGGACAATAGAAATGGTCAGTAATCTTAAAACTGAAGAGACATTAAAGAACAACCAATGATACGACAATAGGTAATCTGTCATTACACTAAATCTAACGAATATAAAAGCACATGTATATTTAGCTAAACAATTTACTTTCGTGTGCTAAATAAGTAATTCAAATTGCTGCATTTATTGAAAATAAAGGTCTTTATAATTTTATTTAACAAGATTAGTATTCGTACAAAAAGGGATGGGGGAGGGAGTGGAGAGCCACCTCTGTATCCCCGTATGTATTTCAGAAGATCTGACCCAAGATAGAGGTCAGATACATATCTTTGACGGCGCATTGTTAGCGACGAATCCGGTATCTATCTGTAGGGTTATTGCCGTTGTTATTCCACTTAGATGTCAGCATGTACAATATTTGTATGCTTTCTTTCATACTAAATGACAGGGGATGGAGCAATTCCTAAGCGTCTTTCAAAATGGGATGTAGGTATTGTTAAGATGATGTTCGCATCATTGCTCTAAATTGAAGCGCGGTAAGTACGTGCACCCACCGCCCACAACATTCCATGTACTTGAAAACCAGTGTAACAAGTGCTCCGCATTGACTCCGCACACGAGTAAACTGGGTGTGGACAACAAACCGATACATGGCAGAGATTATCTGCCTCTCCTTTCACATGCTTCAACAGACACAGGCCTATTCTGCATACATCACGATCAGCTGATCATTATGAAGTTAGTCTCTAATCGCAGATTATGTCCGAGTTAATCCGAGCCCACACGATCGTGTTACACCCATCATTCCGAATGTATTAGCGATGACGAAGGTTATTCATACATTACATCGTGTTATAGTAGGCCAACTCAAACCCCCTTTAATTCGTTGCATATAGTTGTGTCCCTTACTAGTGACAGGATCCTATGATCGTGGGTGCAAATCCCTGACTCGGCCTGAGTATATTTCCAGGATTATCAGACCTGTCTCACGTCAGGCTCAACTCTCACGCACGCACGCACGCACACACACACGCGTGTCAAGCTGACAAACCATAATGTAATGAAATACTGTGCTAACGTTGTTACACCAAACACACTCACTCATTCGTGTCT